CTGCTCAGTACACGGAATTGAAATTGCAGAAAATCTTCGGTTATATTTCGAAGAAAATGTTTACGTTGTTTACGAAACGTCCACGAATTTTCCGGGAACTTTAAACGCTCGTTAACGTTTAACGTGACGTTCCATATTTTTATTAAAACCTAAGTTTCCGCGGTAAATTAGTTAGTTTTCTTATTAGACTTACGTAAGTTACCGCGCTTTCAATAATACGGACGCAAACTTTATGAAAATCCCAATGAAACATAGCTATTAAAACGCAACCCTACGGCGTACTTTTCCATCCACCGTGTTCAACGTTTAGGAAATTTATAATTGAATTTGTAGACTATTTACCGAAAGGTAAAAAGAAGGCATAATATTAATTCCGATCAGCACCCTAAAACTTCCAGAATAAAGTTTTTTATACATAAAAGAATACATCAAATGTACAACCATTACAGTAAAATGTAATAACAATATATCGCTATTTCTTTTCAATACTTTAATAAATTATTCTAAAATCTAATACAGAAGTAGGAAAATTATTCCAAGAAAAAATTTATCCTTAAATATATTTGAACCATCTTGAAAATTTCTTCAAGAAAAATGAAAAAATAAATACCGATAAGTTGGAATACACCGGGTGACACAAGAAAATGGGATAACTTTTAAACAGCTTGACATCGCGATTTGAAATTTGGAAGGATTAACATAGGCTGAATGTCCATTTTTTTGACAATATGTAGCCAATAGTTGAACTTCTGATTTGAGCGGAAACGACAGTAACTTTCGAATTTTAAAGGGGACAATCTATACTTTTTTGCATTTTTGAGTTCAGGAGATCATTCTACGTGACATAGGATGGTTTTTATCATTCTTTTGTTTGTTTTTAATTTTTATTTAATTTTTGAAACTTGCGTCTAGGAGGCTGTGACCATCATAAATACTCTTTACCGGGCCACCTGATCATACGAAAAATTGTAAATGAAACTTTTATTTATTTGTCTAATGGCAAATAGCATTTAATGTAATGAGCTATTAATTAACAAAACGGTCAAAAAATAATCTCACAGGAAGGAAAAAACCAGATAAGTAGAACATTTTTATAAAAACAGAATATTACTTAGGTGGCTTTGCTTCTATTCATCATCATGTCGGCATGATTGAAAATCCTGACAGTTTGTACATTTTTATACATTATTAGGGAAAACAATATTTAATTTACAAATGGAGAAAAAGTTGATATGTTTCTGATATACGGGGAATGCAGAAAAAACTCAAGTCAGTAAGATTAAAAATGCAGAAGAAACTCTCGACAAGCTCATGCAGTGGAAAGGAAAAAACAGATTAGTAATTAAAAAGAAAACAAAAATTCAAGGAAGAATTTCTTCTGAGATTCAACAATCAAATTTTTTTGTTGAAAGTGTTTTATTATGGGGAAACAGTCAAAAACTAAGTATTGCATGTATACGTACGTCATAAGCGATCAGCACTTTTTATCGGAAACTCAGTAGAACAAGAGAATAGATTTTTTTTCCTTTTGAAATCTGGGATAATTCAATACAATATTTTAAAAATCTGAAAATAAAACCTCTACAATGTCGGTAGAATCGATTTGAAAGTGGTATCAACGAGTGTTACTGTAGGGCAAGTTTTACGTTGACACAAAACATCACATGCATTTATTTTGGAACTGGAGTTTTGTATTTAATTGAATTAAATAAGTGCAATAGATATTTACTTAATAACCAATTTATTTTAAGATGAAACATTCATAGAATGTTGTATACGACACTCCCTGGCTCTAGAAATTATATTCGGTGTAACCCTTCCTAACATTTCTGAAGTTATACTATCAAATACAGCCGATATTCTCCGCTGCAATTATTGTAGGTCGAACACAGTAGCTACATAAACACGGTCTTTCACGTACCCCCAAACAAAAAAATCTAACGGTGTCAAGTCCGGTGACCTTGGGGGCCAATTGACTGGACCGTGTGTTGAGATTAGTCTATCCCCATAAACATCACATAGGTGTTCAGTGATGTCTTTAAAATTTTGGAGAGGCGCGCCATCCTACTGAAAATACATATTTAATGTCACGGCAAGACGCAAATCATCTAACGAGTCTTCAATTTCATTTCATGGGAATTGTGAGTATCGTACACCAGTTAAGACACCATGAAAAAAAAACAGGTCCTGTACAGACATTGATTCCGAACCGTTCTTGAATCTGTCCGGGACGAATAATTCTTTGATTCTTTAAAGACCAGTATCTGTTCTGTCATCAGTGAACAAAATTAAGTTAACTAAATTATTATTTTCATGTTACAAAGTCGGCTTCATAAAGATGTTGATAAAGGTTATACTTAAAAGAATGATAGCCGTGTTTTCTTAAAATTCTCCTCACAGATTCTCTTGAGATGTCTAATTCTAATGCCACTTCTCTTAGCGACGCAGCTGGATTTACGTTGACGTATCCCACAACATTGATTTCCATTTCTTCACTTATAATAAAATTATCATGTCGATTATTTTGTGGATTTTTCATTTTCAATTCCAGCTTTCTGAAGAAACAATGTGCAGGAAGACGACGTCCCGGATAGAGGGTTGCACAGAATGCACGGGACTGTCTAGAGTTTTTTCTGCATTCCCCGTATATCAGAAACATATCAACTTTTTCTCCATTTGTAAATTAAATATTGTTTTCCATGATAATGTATAAAAATGTACAAACGGTCAGGATTTTCAATCATGCCGACATGATGATGAATAGAAGCAAAGCCACCTAAATAATATTTTGTTTTTATAAAAATGTATTTACTTCTCTGGTTTTTTCCTTCCTTAAAAACTTTGGTGTCAACATGTTGCAAAAAAAGTAGCGACTTTAAAAAGCTTTTGTTCCCACTAGGGTGCAATTTGAAAAAATTAGGTTATCCTAAAAAATTAATAGTTCATTACAGTACAGTAAAGAAAAGTTCATTTACAATTTTTCATATGATGGAGTGACCCGGTAAAGAGTATTTATGATGGTTACAGCCTCCTATATGCAATTTTAAAAAATTAAATAAAAATAAAAAAAACAAAAAAAAAGAGAAAAGTCATGTTATCTTACGGATCTCCTGAATCCCAAAATGCAACTGGAAGTGCAACCATTGACTACAAATTGTCAAAAAATTAGACATTCAGCACAAGTTAATTTTAAATAATACCTAAATACCTAAAAGTGCTATAGGGCCATATATTGTCCCATGGCGCCCTTCAGAGAACTCTGTAGGTGGCTTATGTGAGAAGAAATGTCGGGCATATTAACGGACATAATGCTCCCTTCCAGATTATACGTATTTAATTGTATTATTTAATTACTATTAAATAATATATTAAATAAATAGAGTTTCTGTAATAAATTAAAGTTGTTTTTAGAAAAAAAAAAACTATTGCAATAATAATATAAAATATTTCGTTAAATTATAATTACATCATGGCTAAAAAACAATAAGAATAAAATAAATAATAAATACATAAAATAGTAACACGCTTATTTCTTACCATTTCTATACGTTTTCCTTCTATTTGTCGATCTTTACTCATAAATAGCCAACACAACAGACTTCAAACAAAACTGGATACGTAAAAAATACAAAATATCATAAAAACCTCATTTACTTTTTCTTTCGTATCTTTCTTTTATTATATTATGTAGGCTAAAGGTTTAACAATAATCAAAATATAACAGATTTAAAGATAATTTTAAAATAAGAAATAACTAAGTAATAAAAAAATAATATTAATAACAGCATATTATGTTAAAATAATTTTGAGGCAAACGGAAATTTTTCATTGATCTGTCTATAAACAAATCAAAATTTAATCGTTTTCTTTAAATAAATTATTGAAAAAAAGACACGCGGTTCCTGCCCCAAACCTTAGATTCTCAAAAAAGGGAATCGTTTTTGTCACAACTTAGTCATGGAGAATAAAGAATACAAAGTATGTGTGAAGTTATAGTGGTATAAATTACATTTGGTTAAAAGCTTAGTATATATTGAATGTTTTAATTAAATTGCACCTACAAAAAATATTTACCATTGCATATCAAATATCAATAAATCTAAATATTTTTTATACTATACTTCGCATGGCAAATATGCTAAAAAATAAAGTTTTCTACATATTTGCTCATGAAAATTGTAGAATATTCTTTTATAAAGACAGGATAGCAACAGGACACATTCTGAAAGCTTTGTGGATATATTTCAGAGGTTTTAAGTTTTAAACGTCCTTTAAGAATATTTTCATTCAATAACTGCTCAGTTATGACATGTCAACATATATTCACAAAGTAAAAAAGAATGGGTAGGCCATCGTGATAATAAGAAGTGCTTCGTTTAAATACTCATATGAAGTAAAAATATACGAAAGTACTTAAATGGATTCACAAATTAATAATTTATGGGTTTTTAAAAATATAATTTTAATTTACAAAAATTCTTAAATTTGTGCATTTTTTTCATTAATTTTGCAAGCTAAATAATTGCATTTTAAAAAAATATAATAACATAATTAGTAATTAATATTTCTTCATAATTCTAGGAATTTTTAAAAAATCTAGATCTAATAATATGTCGCTTTTTACAAAGAGGCATATGGAGCAAACTTGTTCGATTTTATAGTAATAGTGTTACAATGAAGTAACATAATAGGGTGCCCAAGTTCACAGAGATGAACTTGCGTCAGTAGTAACAAACCTATGTCCACACTGTTATTAATATTTCTATTATTGAAGCCACTTAATAAATAATCAAATTTTCCCTGAAATGGGGGCCACTTTTCCATGGACATCCCGTATACATTTTATAAAGCAATTTTGACAAAACGGATGCCAAGCATTCTATGGAAATCCTCGGAATAATATTTTATCGGCAGCCGAGAGTTTATGCAGATTGCTCGCCCAGTTCAAAACAACCATTTTAACGATTCCGTTTATCTTAATTTTTTTTTCCCTTTTGTAGCGTTAATGCACGCCTTAGTGTTCGGCAACGTTACCGCCATTATCCAGAGGATGTATTCGAGAAGATCGCTTTATACGATGAAATGGAGGGATCTCAAGGACTTTTTTACCTTACATCAAATCCCGAAGGAACTGAAAAATCGAATGCAGGATTATTTCCAAACTATGTGGTCGCTTAATCACGGGATTGACATTCACGAGGTAAGCCAACAATTCTATTTATAGACAATTTCTTTATTTTGGTGACGAAAATGTTTTTCCTTTAAATTTTTCTGAAGTTGCGGAACCACCGGTCGGAACTGCTTTTGGTAATTCAGCTTTTTGAACTGGCAAAGTACTAAAAAATACAACTAGGAAAGTAGCACAACTATTTGATATATTAACGTACCATGCGCTGTTAGATATACACTGAGTTTGACTATTGAGATAATTCTCAAGCTGTTGATGTATCAAAAACCATGCACCTTTACCTATTATTGAGGTCGAATAGAGAGATACTTGGCTCCTCGAGCTGTTGATATATCAGCAGGCACCTTTCTATTGCTATAAGATATATACTACGGTATCTGAATTAGATGCAACAGGGTGTTCAAAATAAACGAATATATTTGGATCATTTTAAATATACATCATATATATTATTGTTTTTTCTGAAACACCTTACAAAAACCTATAACTTTTCTTAGTATAGCATATTTACCCTTCTTTATTTCCAAAACTATTGCTATAATATAATATAACAGGGCTTTGTTAAGTTTAAAAAATCAACAAGAAAAAAAACTTTGTTGTAGCAGTAGATAAAGCAATAGACAATAAATTTTGAATTCGCAGAAAAAGTAAATAATAATAAATACCTGTTACTACAAATTAACTTATCTTGTTTTTAAATATTATTATGGCGCAGTAAATGTTCAAAAATATGCTCTTCTACTTGTATATGTTTTTAGAAAAAATGAAATATTGGAAAAACTATTTGGTTTAGTATTATTTAGTTAGTTTAGTATTTAGTAAGTATTGTTATTAATAATGAAGTACAAGAATTTCAAAACGAATTCAAAACAAAAAGTAAAAATAGAGTTTGCCACTTTTAAAAAATGTATGTTTTATTCGTCGCATTTTTTTATTCACCCTGTATATTTTAAAATAATTTTAAATTGTGCATTCTAACAATCTTTAAACCTTTTGCCATTTTCTCACAACTTTCGAAAAAAATGAGATAATTAACTTTACTCAATCCTTGACTCACTCTGTACAATATATATTGGTATAGTAGGACTAGACGTCTATCGAATTCATTGTTCTTCATTTTCGTTAGAACTCAGCAAGTGGCCGGTTTTCAGTTTCCAGAAAAAAGTGAAAAATGGTTTATATTGAAAGCACGTGAGATTACGAGTTCTTTAGAGTTGTATCGAATAATTTAGTTGCATAGAATAAAGCACCTTGTCAAAAAACTATCACACACATCACTGTACTAGGTAGCTAACTAGGTACGTATATAAAGTTGGTACCATGTCAAAAATAAATAAGTATAATTAAAAATGAATTTGACCTTTGGTCAGCTTCACTCTTACTCTCACTGTCGTCGTCATCCAAGTGCACAATAATTCTTTCCCACGACATTTACGTACGAAATTTGCATTTTTAAATTCGATCATACCTTGAAAGGATTTTATGAAAATTTGTACCACGAAATTGAAAGGCAATTAATTCATTTTAAATGTTTCGTCCAATTTGAATCTGAAAATAAAACAGGGTTATGAAAAATTCCAAAATTCATCTAATTTGAATCTGGAAATGAAACGGTTTCTCTATGCAACAAAAATCCGGTTTTGAAAATACCAAAAAAGAGGGAAATGAAAAATTCCAAAAACTATTAAAATTATTGGGTTTTTTTTTGAAGACCAGTTTAACTTTTTATCCGGACGAGCGAATGAAACTTCTGAAATTTGTCGGAGAGTATTTTGCTGCTGGAAATCAGGTTATGGTGTTTCCTCTAAGCCCATCTTCCACCTGGAATGCGATGCAGAGTAGATTTAACTTTTATCGTATACAGCGTGGAAAATCCAATTTAGGCGTCCTTAAGACAAATGGAATATACATGTCAAAAACTAAAACTAGCAGTAATTGCGTTAGCTAGAGTTGCGATTGAGAAGCTCGTTTTCTATTCCGGAAGCGTAAATCTTTACCTGCCTTGTCGGAAAATGTGAATCCTGAAATCTTATTCTTTTCCTTATTCTCGGGTAACTTCGTGTTTAGTTTTCAAATGAAACGTCAGACATGAATAATATCGCAGAATCGTGGCCGTTTGACCCCATATGTTATGGGAACATTTTCAAAAGTATGATTTAATTTTACGGAATTCAGGGATGTTGCGCCTTTCTCAGGGTATAAAAAACATTTATCTGAAATTCCAACCAGTCTACCTTCGTCACGTAGCACAAGCCAGAACTTCCTACGTTATGCCCCTGCTTGACAAATGATATAGAAATTCATGCCAACAGTTTTCTAACCAACGTTAATGTTGTAAATGGGGAGTGTAATTAGATGTGTCTGTAAAAAGCACAATTTTACTAAGTAAAAAAGTTCTAGATCAGTGGTAGTAACTCAAATAACAAATAAAAAAATACAGTCTTGAAATAATTATACTTTCAACTAGCAAGCTGTTTACTTACATACATGATTGGTTAGTTTCTTGGTGTGATTTAATTTTCGATTCTACTTTTTGAATATTGGCATCTACTCCAGGATATTCCTAAATATAAAGTCAGAAGTCATTCTTTGCGTCATTCAGTTAAACATAATTATTTTCACATTTGTTTTAGGTTCTGCTTTATAGCTTTTGCAAATTTTGAGATATTTAACCCAAATTAATGATACCATTTTTTTTAAAGAAACTTCCACAGGCTACTGTAATACTTTTTATAAAACTTCTGGATTCCTCCTGCGTGGGTTTTTGTTGAGTCGAACTAGCTAACGTCTCGCCAGTCATCCTGTTGGCTTCTTCAGAGTTTGACTGAAACTGGCTCGCATTTTACTCGGTGCCTGCTTTTATATTGTTTAAGGTGGGCGGAGCTAAGTGTGTAGTGTATTTTGTAGTGTATTTTCACCACAACCTTCCAATAGCAATGAAACCGAAAGCAATCCCATACTTGCTTATATTCAAAACATCACCGACCACATATCAAAGGTTCTAAAGAAATATAAAATATAATATAAAAATCACTCAACATCTTCGATCCGTCAAAGATCAAATTCTATTTGAGATGACAAGAGTTTAGAGCATTCCATGCATATGCGGCAAAGAATACATTGGAGAGACCGACCACGCAGGAGGAATCCAGAAATTTTGTAAAAAGTAGAACGGGATACAAAGTTCTTTATCTAAGTCAAGACAAAATGTTAAAACCAAGAGACAATCTTTATCTTTATCAGGGATCGCATTGTGGCTCCATACTGCTTGATATAAATAAATTTGATTTTATAAATTTGTAAATTACGGATAATTAGACATTAATGACAACCCATAATGTAGAAGCGATTTTCACAATCCAACTTTCTTCTTTAGCTCGTACATCTTTTATTCATGTTTTAGGTTATATCAGAGATATTGAGATGCGGTTTTCAATGAATTGTTGGCCCCAATTTAAATATTTAATAACGTATTTAATTAACCAAATTTTATTTTTTTATTATGTTATGAAACTCTATCTGCCGGCAAAGCAAGCAATCGCAGTAGCCTTACCAATTTGATAGCCTAGGAAGCCCATTTTAGAGACTCCAAGTGTATTAAAATGCGTTAAGCCTTTTTGAAGTTATCAATATTTATTTTCGATAATATTCTAGCACCCCCCCCCCCGCACATACTTCCAGAGAGTGTTAAAAAAATGCCCCAGTCTTACTCAATACTCTAATCTATCTAAATACTATTTTGTAGACCCAACAATTTCAAAAACTCAAAACTTATTTTCAGTACGCAGTACCTTGTTCCCCGGTATAAACAATAATGAATTTTTGATAGTGATTTTTCCATTTTAAATATTTAAACGTCATAATATCACTTCTACCTCTTCATGTACCTCTTCTAATCGAAGGTCGGCGATAACCACAACAAAGTTTTCTCGCCTTTCTGTAGCGAGTATGACTAATGTTCATTCCAGTACATTGTTGGATTTTTTTCATCCATATATATCACTGATAAAACTTATATATGGTCAGTGTTGTGGTTTAGGTTTGGAATCATCCAAAAAGAATCGTATTCTATCCAGCTTATTTAGGCTATGTATTAAAAGTAACAGATCTAATTACGGATATTTTTGGTACATCATTTTAAGTTTCATTTCACCAAAAATCATTTTTACACACAAATGCTTTCCGGTTCTTGATATTTGTTACTCATGAGAGTTGCACTAAAAAATCTCGAAATGTGCCGTGATTAGATTTTGCGAAAAGTCGCATCCTCAAGTCGCCCATTACATTTTAAAATGATTCATGTTACTACGACGTAGTTCACGTAAATTGTCTCTTACAGACTTTAAAAGAGTTTCCGGAGGAGTTGCGGGGAGACGTTTCGATGCATCTACACAGAGAAATCCTCCAGCTGCCCATATTCGAAGCGGCATCGCAAGGATGTTTAAAACTATTATCGCTCCACATAAGGGCGAATTTCTGCGCACCAGGCGAATACTTGATTCACAAAGGGGATGCCCTCAGTTACGTTTATTACATCTGCAACGGATCCATGGAGGTCGTACAGAACAACATGGTCGTCGCCATATTAGGTAGGCCAATTTTAGGACGGATTTGTTTTCAAAGACAAATATTTTTAACAGTCGAAAATTGTAATTAATATAGAATCATTATAAAAAAGTAATGGAATTCATAAGTCAATAGTTTAGCCTTCCTCGAACCTTGGAATATGCCATTAATTCGTCATACCAATGAATATGTCTAAATACTCAAGTTGGTGTAAAAAGTAATGTTATAGTATATCAAAGAAATTTGACACAAAAAATATTATTTTAACCTTTCTTTATATTTATGTCACAATCATAAGATCATAATTTTATATTAACAAAGTTTTTTGTTCCACTGATAGTCAAAAGATGACTAATTAGTTATTGTTTAATAAAATGAGAAAGATTGTATCTTAATGACTATGAATTAATATGAATGGTAGCTATAGGGTCCGGAAAACGTTTGTTGTGTAGGAAATTTATCAACGACATCCGCTCGAGCAAAGTAAGTGGAAAAAGAAAACCAGAGCGTAATAGAAAAAAAAACTTAAGGGGCGTAGATAAGATCCCTTTTTTACGGCAAAGAACTGTCCAATAAAACCAATTTGTCGCTACTTTTTACAGAGACGAGACGATGTTCTCGATTACTACACGAAAATATAGGGTTATATTCGAATTTAATGGGTCATTTGGCAACTCCGAAATTGATCCTGCGACCATATTCAATTAATTCACCTCACGGCTGGAGCAAATACGTAAATAGCAAGTGTCACATAAACCATAGCATGTTCTAATTAGTGTTCTAACATCAAGCTAACGTTCTAACCAATTCTACTCGTGTTTTTACAGATTAGTCTGACATTAAAAATCTATCGTTTACTTTTTACAATACTTCTGGATTCCTCCTGCGTCGGTTTTTGCTGAGTCAAACTTGCTGACGTTTCGCCAATCATCCTGTTGGCTTCTTCAGGGCTTGACTGAAATTTGCTCGTATTTTATTCTGTACCTGCTTATACCTGATATATAGGAGCTAAATGAGAGGCATAAACACCGTCTCGGATGACTGATTCCCATATCGGTGGCAGGTAGAGACCTGAGTCGCGGTTGTTTATAGATTTCTATATACTTTCGTTGGTGGAAAAACTGATTACATGCGAGAATTTTAGTTTTATAGAATAAAATTTTATGTCCCGTTTCATGATATGCGGCAAAGAATACATTGGGGAGACCGGACAAAAAATATCAACTAGACTAAAAAAACAAGAAAGATCCTTACGACTAAGACAAATAAACTCATCAGCTGTTGCCGAACACAATCATGAAACCTGGCATAAAAATTTATTCCATAAAACTAAAATTCTTCCATGTAATCAGTTGTTCTACCGACGAAAAATCTAGAAATCTAGAAATCTATAAACAACCTAACAATCTTAACCGCGACGCAGGTCTCTACCTGTCACCGACATGGGAATGAGTCTTCCGAGACGGTGTTTATGCCCCTCATTTAGCTCCGCTCCCCTCAAACAATATATATACAGGTACAGAGTAAAATACGAGCCAGTTTCAGTCAAGCTCTGAAGAAGCTAAAAACTTAGGCAGGAGCAATCCAGAAGTTTTGTAAAAAGTATTAGAGTAGCCTGTGGAAGTTTCTTTGAAAAATAATATATCTTTTATTTGAAGATTTAAAAAAAAACACATTTAACTTATATGCACTGGGTCACACAATGTCAACATTTAGGGGGGTTATTTTTGGATCTATTTTAAAAAGAATATGTCATAAGTCTTAGCTGTCTTCACTACTATACCTAGCAGTAATTTTTTAAGAAAAAGTAGATATTATAGTGTACTTAAAAAATTATCTGATTAAAATTGCTTAGAAATGGTGGAAATAAAAATATCTATGACAGATATTATAATATGAAACTATTTATTAGTTAAATCTTTCTTACCCTGTATCTCAGGCGTGAAGTTATCTTCTCAAAGTTGGTGCAAAAATCATGCCCTTGAGGGATCACATTCTATTGGAAAACACCCTTGTAATTCGTCTTACCAGAAGACTGAAAAAGTAGTGACCTGAGAAAAACAAAAGTAAAAGGAAAAATATACAGAGGGGTGCAAAACGCTGTTGTAGTTATTTCTATATTTCCATTTGTATTCACTTTTTTAGTTTTAGTTATTTTTTCGAAGTCATTTCTATCGTAACCTCAGAGTAAAAAACAATATTTTTATGTGAAAATGTTAAGAAAAAAAAGCAAATCCTTAGTATTAACTACAGAAAATATTTCTCATATTTCCGCCAGTCCAATATAAAGGCGCTTTACCAGTCGGACGTAGACAGTGTTATTCAAGCTATAGGCGACATATACACAATCTAATACCCTAAAGCACTGAAATAAAATGACAAATGGTAAATAGTAGGGAAGAAGGCATTTTTGAAGTTCTTTTAATTGCAAAACATTAATTTCTAGGTTAATAAATGTAATGTGTTTTAGTGTATATTATTATTAGTTTTTATTAACACAAAAATAAGTCACAAGTAAATAAGCACTACTTTCCCTGGGAAAAACAACCTAAACCTCAAAGATCTCGAACAATTTGATAGTTTTTTTTTTTTAACTTAACCATGCTGAAAAGCTTGTTCACCAGTGGTGTGCCTTGGACTACATCATCTTTGACGTCATTGGTTTTCATTTGAATAATAATTTACATATGTATTCAAGAAGTCTTTCATTTGAATCCGGGTTAATAATGCAACAACAAATCTTTAGTTCACATTTGTAAATCACAACAAATCTAAGGTAAAATTTTTACTGGTCTTTCAATTGCCATACCTACAACATATTTGTGTTGTTAAAAAAAATTCGACTATCGCGGCTCGGAAAAACATGAAAAAAGTAATAGGCCTTTCAGCATTTTCAGTGCACGGCTGTATATAAAGCCTAAATAATTCGCGTGCGTTTATAATTACACTCCAACTGCTATCGTTTTATATCCTCATCCATAAATAATCCAAAGGCTTCTCCGGGCGACTATGGAGCCGCGAAATCCAAATTTATACTCGACCATCAAGCGGCTTTTAACGCGGGATGGTATTTAATCGGCTGCCATAATTCTCTAGGTTTTTTTTTTTTTTAATTGCCGCAGGTTAGTTTGGCCATAACGGCAACGTTTTTCCAATTGTTTCAGGTAAAGGAGACCTCGTCGGGTCGGATATCAATATGCACCTCCAGCACTCCTCAAACGGAATGTCAGGGAACGATGGTGGCAACCGTGGTTCAGGTAATCAGGATATCGTGATTAAGTCCAGCAGTGACGTACGTGCCCTTACCTATTGCGACTTAAAATGCATTCATATGCAGGGCTTAGTGGACGTGCTAAGGTAAGTTTCTGCAACATGTTTGATTTTCTAAAACGTCGACCTCAAATTTTGATTTTTGTATTTATATTACGATAAATATTCAACTAAACCACGTATACAGGAGTCCATTATTTCAATATAAACAACAAAAACAAAAAATGTTTAGAATAAAAGATTCGTCGAAAATGTTATTGTGAATTAATTAATTATTATTACAAATTTTTATTGTTCGGTTTATTTAGAAATGTGTTTATTGACCACGCGCTATATCTGTATTTATGTATTTAATAGTTTCCACAGTATCATGACAAAATAAGTAAGAATATTGTCTGTTTTCCACTTAAAAAATAAATTTCTAATGGTTTAATGAATACAAGACATTTTTTGAAATAATCGACCCTTCTTCTCTTCTCTATTTTAGGATGGTACTGCTTTAACTTTCTGATATCAGCATACCAATCGTTTGACATTTCTTATTAGATTTAGATTTAGGAAATGGCGTTTTTGTGTTATTAATTTACATTTTGTCATGCGCTATGGTCAATACAAATAAGTAACGCGCCACTTATATCCAGACTTATGTTTATATGAACTTTTTAGCTCTTTGTAAGATCTGCTATTATAGGTCATGTACCAATCGTTTGATTGCTTTTTTTTGTGGTATTTTTCTGCCCTTCTTTTGACCCTTTCGTTTAGATTATCATTGGAATAATCTAATATTATTATAAATTATTATACAATACTGTCAGCATAAATAAGTAAACAAAGGTGATAACTTTAGACGGTTAAGTGAACCGGCTTTGGCAAAAAAATATTTGCATCAGTTTTCTTTCCTTTTATTTTATTTTTATTTAATTTGATTCTAATTAATTGCTAAGTTTTCTTGCAGCAGCGTCCCATAATTGAGTTAACTATATAGTGAGTTTTATTGTCAGTTACACGTTATTTAGTGACCTATAAAATCTGGCGGTCATTACATTCAATATAAAACAAACGACTGACATCTCACACTTCTGATCTCCCATCTCTGCCATAATGACGTCGTATTTTGCTACGTATATTAAATCGGATAATAGAGACTTCCATAAAAAATAATCGGCTGGGTGTGATGTCTGACAAAATTGACCGTCCTGGACGTTAGTGGCAAAAGTCGCACAGATACAATCTTTGACTGAATAACTTTTACACTAGGTGTAAGAATTATATTGTTTAAACTTTATTAACATGGTTTAGAAAACCAAAAACAAAGAAGAAACAACAAACAAGAAGTAATACAAAATGTAGCTCACGTGCACAATATAGCATGTAAAAATATGAAATAATTTATTTAATTTAAAACGTTCATTCTACCATTGTTTTAGGAGTTGTAGAAATTCACACTTTTTTCTACATTTCTATATGAACCTAGCAGCGTAACTTGTCTCCTTTCAACGGAACACATTACATTGGAAATAATGTAGTGAGCCTGTCCAATTGCATTCATCGTCAAAATTTCGTGCTATATAAATAAGGATTTACAAGCTACACGTTTTCTTTTTTTAAACATTGGCAATTTCATATAACGGTTTAGAAGCAAAAGAAGTACAAAGGAATAAATCAACGTTAGAAAATTTTGTAATTTCATTTTTCAATTTACGGAACACAAAGGCTAAGAAACTGTAATGGGTTTGTTTGACAGCGTGGTTCCTTAAATTTTCTTCTTATTAGTATATCAATTAAAAAAATTGGCAATAAATATGTTTCTGAATCCATTGCTTAATTTTTTTAAAATATGCAAATATACTAAGACCCTCGATTAAATCATAGAAGTTACTGCTAAAAAGTTTAAAAAATATATTATTTTAAGGAAAACTACAACGCAACTTTTTTTTATTTACAATTTTATTCCTCCGCCAAAGGAATTTCTACTCACTGCGTCGAACGTGATATACATTTATTATTAATTCCGTTACTCAAATGAAATTACGTTAGTGCCCGCGAGGCTCTAGCGTTTTCGTCCTTTGCTTTCAAGCGCGTTTGAATCGACTCGTTCGTTTGTACCGTTGCCCTTAGAATAATTACTTTGCAATCCGATATTTTCTAAATGCCGTTATCAGTCGTCCGTTTTTTTTTTTACTTAATCAAAATTATTAAAGCGAGGCATACAGTGCGATCGTGTTGTTTCGTGGTATAATTACAAGACCAGCGACAAATTTGGTTTATTTACACTACAACTCATTTCATCGTAAAATTTGATATACTAAAATTGTTTGCTTTAATATGCTGAATGTGATGAAAATGCTTATCCAGGGTATCTAACAAGTCACTCACAGCAACCAACTCTCTTCTTCTAAAAAGAACACCCGTTGTATTATTTCTTTTGTGAATTTCTGTGTGGTACACGAACACACAGGATTTACCAATCATTCACATGCAAAACTTCGTTTTTTCAAATGCAAGTCCCTATATGTTGTTGTATGGTGTGTGGCAAAATTTGATGAAAGCGTTAAAGATGTGAAACAAATGGTGTTGAAAAATCGTCGAATCATTATTAGAGAAGTAGATGATGACGTCGGCATTTCTATTGCCTCATGCCATGCATTTTTTTCCAAATTTTTGAGCATGGAAAGTGTAGTAGCAAAATTTGTTCTGAAAGTGCTTAATTTTGAACAAAAGGATCGTCGAAGGAGCGTCGCTAAAGTGCCGTTAAACGACGTAAATGATGATCCTGATATACTCAACAAAGTCATAACTGGTGAAGAATCATGGGCATATGGATATGACATCGAAACGAAGGCCGAGCCGTCCCAATGGAAGAACCCAGAATCGCCAAGACCGAAAAAAGCACGTCAAGTTCGATCAAATGTCACGGTTTTGCTTACTGTTAACGTCCAGAATTATGGGAAAACAATCCATGCATTTTGCATTACGATAATGCACGTGTTCACTCATCGTTGCTTTTGTCTAACTTTTTAGCCAAAAACAAAACCACAATAATGCCTCAGCCACCCAGATTCAGTGGACATTGCCCCCTGCGACTTTTTCCTGTTCCCAAAACTCAAGAAACCCATGAAAGGAAAGGGGTTTGGAACGATTGAGGAAATAAAAAAAAAATCGCGGGAAGAACTCAAGGTTATACCACAAAGTGCTTACTAGAAGGGCTTCGAGGACTGAAAATCCGTTGGTACAAGTGTATTAAATCTGGGGGGATTACTTTGAAGGGGACAACATTAATTTTAATATTAATAAAATAAATAAATAAATACTTTTGGATAAAACTTAAAAGTCGCCTTACTTTTTGAAAACACCTCGTATTGTTCTTTCATATTGTCTATCAAAAATCAATCAAAAGACAAAGTCCTTTCAATATATCATTCAAGGTTATACCATAAATGTCAGATAAATTGCAATAATAGTTTCCGAGAACCCACGTATTTCATTTTTTAAGGCCCACACACACCTCCAATCATTCCTAAATCAAATAAACTAGAGTTGATGAAGTCCAGAGACATAATAAGCTACTCTACAATGTTTTTTAGCGTATTCTCAGTTCCCCACATTTTTTCTTCTATTTCTCTCCACATTCCACTGTCTTTATTCCCTCTTGCAAGAGAGTTTTAACGTTCCTCACTTTATTCTCTATTCCATTCACTGTACTGTATTCTTTCTTTTTTGGAATTGATCATGAAGGACATAAATAAACAAAGTCATTACAATAATTACTTCTATATAATAATGTTTTTATTAAAACACTTAATAACCTAACTAGTATTATTCACGTAATGGACACTTGATGTGCGTCCGGATTTAAAGTAGTAACGGTATCGTCAGTATTTATTAATTCATTTCTATAAGGGGTACATTACTTCTTTTACACAGCCACGGAGTGCAAAATCCAAGCACTACAAACCTAGTGTTAAGTTTTTCATATCTCAACATGATGTAATTCTTTGGCAAATTTTGGACACCCTCTATGCGATAAATCAATTTCTAATGTACTATATCTGCGTTTCAGTTTACCATACAAAGGATTACCAGATATTAAAAATGAAATAAAAATAAATTAAAATCACGGAGTTGTGTGAGGTACTTATGAGAAACTGTATGTTGAGTTGAATTATGAGTGATTTGGCATAAATGGGAGTATCTTGTACTGTAATACTTTATATATTGAAAAATTGCGATTTCATCCAGAGATGACAACAACAATAGACTATCGTTAGCCGAAATCTAAGCGGCAGACAGTTATTTAATTAACAAAAGCATTGCGGTTCCAGGTTGTATCCCGAATACCAACAGCAATTTGCCAACGACATTCAGCACGATCTGACTTTCAACGTCAGAGAAGGTTACGAAGCGGAGGTAATATATATTTTGCCCGATTAAGACCCAGTTTTATAACTATTGTTTAGGTTCTAATTTGATTTGTTTCCATTTTATATGAACTGCAATAGTCTTAGTCCTTTTTTCAATTAAATTTAAAGGTGCGTTCGAACCGGAACATTTTAGCTCGAACGAGCCCGGATTGCAGTTGCGTTTAATTAAGTAGAATTAGAGTTAGCATTCTCAAAGATCCTTCGAGTCAATATTTAGTATCCGAAGAGTCCTATAGACTCGATTAAAATTTCAGAACACTGAGCATATCTTCAAATATTTCTTTGAAATTTCATAAAAAAGGGAGGTAATAGTACGGGTAGCCAAGATGATATTCGATCAAGCAGTTCTAATTAAAATTCGATATTATTTTTTTTTAATTGTACTGTAGTGTTAATCGTTTTTTTTTAGTAGAAATTACTACTTTCTTGCAATGAACACAGAAAAAATAATATTATATTATGATCAAAACAAATATAAATTGTACTCAAGAGCAAAGCAGCTTTATTTTGATTTGATGATTTGATAAGAATTCAGAAACTACTTTTAGATTTTGAACTAAACCCATTTATGTGAAAAAATATGAGTTTTATGCATGACTAAAGTGTCTTTCCTTTTGATCAAATATAAAAATGATGTTGACAAAAGTTAATTAGAGTTAAAAACTACTTTTAAATATCAAATTTTATCCTAACTTAATTTTTATCGCCCAAAGATCTAATTGGAGTTAAACGCAGTTTACAACTGTTACAAAATTTCCTAAATGACATTTTTTGATTTTGTCAAAAATAAAAGTACTTTAGTATTGAGTGAAATTCATATTTTTTTAACAAAAATCGCATACAGCTCAAAAAAAAAGGTCTATTACATTTTATGCACACCGACGGAGCATATATTTAATTAAATTTCTAATTATCTCCCGGAGCATCCTTCAAGTTTATTTTCCCTTTTAAGATAATCCCAGATGTATTCAATAGGATTAAGGTTTGGAGAATTTGCTGGCTGGAGTTTGCTGGCTACTAGAAGTTTTTTATAGAATAAAAATTAACACTAATAAAAAAATATATCTTTATGAACCTACCACTCTGGTTTTATTTAAAAAATGTAGACTTCCCATTAATTCATTGCCTACTGGTGCCCACTCTGGCTTTGCCTTCAGTCCGCGTAAGCCCTATATTCAGTTTCCCCCCAGCCCCCTAATATTGATATTGTTAATTGTACAATGATCTAAAAATTATAAATATATTTGTATATAAAAATCGGGAGACGATATCTTATTAGAGTTGCTACTGCTTTGCGATGCAAACATTTTCCTTATTATTTTTTATATACGCTTATCATTTAGAAGTTTAAATCCATTTTTTTAAATTATTCCGTGCTATTATATATAATAAAATAAGTATAACGCGTTCAAGATCTGACCGAGTCTGTCAGTAATTAAAGTCTGCTTCAGAAAAGTGTAGAGTAATAAAACTTCAATAGGTATGCAAAAGGACTAAACTACGGAGTGACCCAAGGGATCCTGGAAGAAGTTTCATTTTTTGACATTGAATGCAGGGTGTGGGTCAATTTATCGATATTGCCTACTGTTATCCATTCACCAACACCGAAAATAGTAAAAAAGAAGAATATTATTTTAAGAAGAATTAGCCATTATGTACATAGTACATAGGAATTGTCATTTCCTCTTGGCATTATAATTCTTTAATCACATGATGAACTGATTTTCGCTATTTCATTTTACATGTCGTGTTGTGTCTTGCTACAAATCACTTCAATTGGTCCCATATAAGTTCTATAGGATTTAGTTCGCTATTGCCATATATTGTTCCTTCTTTATCAAATTTTCAGCAAATTAAATATTTTTGATAATTAACCAGTCGATAATTTCCTGCTTTCTCTAAGATGAAGTTGGAGTCTGCGTTTTTCATTTAAGTTCTATAGGATTTAGTTCGCACATAGCCCATGTTCGCAACTTAGTTGCAATATGTTTTTCTGCTACATTTTCTACGGCGTATTTTATAAAACGATGTTTGTGTACATTTGTTGTATGTAATAGTTCTGTCTTTACCAATTATTTTTAATTACAAAATTTTTTTTACTCGATAGATATAATTTACTTTTGGTTATCCATAACTACTACTGGATCAACCGGTTAATATGTTATCGTTTTACCAAAATAGTATCCAAGAACGTTCACGATAGTCTCCCATATGGCACAAGCGAAAGGTTGGCAAATCTTCTTTCAAAAATCCCTCTTATTGGCGAAAGTTAAGCTACGCCTTGAGCTAAGCGTAATTTCCTATTTTAGTACTCCACAGATTTGTGAAATAGACTATTACTGTTTTCTTTTAAACCCTATCGTAAATAATAAGCGTGTTAAAATGGCCACCTTGTGTACGCAACTTAGTTATTCCCTTCCACTGAATAATTCGGCTGCAAATAAATCGAGCGTATATCCAGAATGTTCGTCCGAGCTAAAAGTTTTCCAATTAATGATTAATTAATTTTGTATATCATTCGCGACACTTTTCGCATGTTGTTGTGTTCATTTCCATTCGATTTGTAGCAAGAATCCGAAGGAAACGGGATAACGTCTCTCACGCTTCCGAGCATCAGCGAAGACGACGAAAACGCACACGAAGAAGGACGACGATCGCCCGCGACTTCACCAAACCGATCACCAATTCACGCTTTGACTAACAGCCCCAGACACGCGAAATTCAATTTGAGGTACGCGTTTCATTTTGTTAATTAATTTTGAGAGAAACTGGGAGTTCGTGGCGAATTAATTTACACAAAACTCTACGATCAGCTGCCGCCAGCGGAATGTTTTCCGATAAGGCCTATTTTGTTAATAAAATATGACTTGTTCTAACAAATTAACGGTGGCGTAAAAAAAGGGTAATCCTGTACGGAATTGGCACCTACCGGAAGTTCCACCAAGAACAGTTCTCTACTGCATATCGGAAAAAAAATATAAGATGTCATAAGAAATTGCGAACAAAGTATTAATAGGCCGAGTTATTAGAAATAATATCAGTCAATATAGATTTTTTTAAACTTAAACTTATTTGCCCTTTTCTGCTAAAACAAAGTTTTGAGAAAGATTAATTAATTATTTAAATGTTTATAATTGCGGATTCGGTCATGAGGACCAAACAAGCTACGTTTAAAAGAGCGTTTCTTACTCTATATTCTACGTTAAAACAATGTTAATTTAACATTAACAATAGATGCTAGGGGGAACTCACTTACCTTTTGTTCAAAAATTTTAAATGCATGTTTAATTGTTACCAATAATGAAGGGGAATAAAAGCTTAATTTCATATCTTTATTTAACCAGAGATATTGGAAAAAATATAATTAAAATCAAAAAAATAAACTCTCAACTGACGTTATTTTTGAGGAGTCAGTAGTCTTGATTATGACAGCTCTCAGAACATATGCGAAAGAAACAATTAGTTTACTTTGATACCGAAGATAATACTATAATACTACACGGATTAATAAGTGAAAGTTACAGTGTTAGATCATCTCACTAGGGTTTTATAATATTTGATTGTTTTTAAATGCCTTTATTAATTGAAGAAGGTGTTGTATCATTAAGATACATTCCTGCAAGGGCTGTTGAGGGATACATAGACGATTATGCAGTTTTCTGTCATGACAACGTCTTTGCGGTTGCAGCAATTACATCAAGTCACTTTTTGGCAACGCCTTAAAATTTGAAAATGATTAAGGGCTTATTTTTCCATATTTATTACTATTTTCTGAATTACTTGCGAAATATTTGATTTTGAGTATTCCATCTTATCAATTTACGAAAACCCGAAACTGAACAAAGTTTGTCATTAATATGTCCATGGAGATTTAAGACGGAAAGATTAAAATTATAATTTGCTGCTGTAAAAGAGAAACAAAATAAATCCCTAGACTCACATTTTAATAAACATCTTATTAAAATAGTAATATTAAAAATAAAATTTAATAAATATCTTATTAAAATTATTTTTATTTTTATCTTTTTTTATCGCTAAATCTTGTTTTGATTTACAGTATAAAATATAGAAAAATAACAATATTCATTCAAATTCGTAAACAAATTTGACATCGAAAATTAATATTTTCACTTCATTTCAGTCATAGGAATGTTTTTATCGAGAATTTTAGAAGATTGTTGCCGAGATTGAAAAGACAGATCATCACGTTTCATGATACTTCTGCGTAATAAAATGGCTCGAAATCCTACGGTTTATATGTCTTTAACGTAACAATAATAAAAATAAAAGTAAAAGGTCATATATAACGAATTTAACACACCCTATTCAATATATTGCGAACTAAAAAAGGATTACCCGTACTGAATTTCATTATCCACTTGACCTTTAGGACACTTTTCCAAATGGATGCACCAGAAGATCATATTTTAATCAATTTTATTATTATTGGACAGTGTATCCTAAATTTATTTGTCACTCTAGAGGGAAAATTGGTACTCGCTAAATAATTACTAATAATTATTCCAAAATATGAAAAGCATGTTTTTTTGGTCCGTTTATTAGGTGACAACAGATCACTCTCGTCTGTGATACGTAATACAATGCGACCCATTTCAAATCACAAACCATGTGATGGAAACAAGAATGTGAAAATAAATGACAAAAGAACAACACAAAGAATTAATTAATTCAACTAAACGACGATTTCAATTAAAATTAAATTACGAAATAGAAAGTACTTGTTCAATATGTATTTTTTACTAAATGAATTAAAGTCAATTTTCAAAAGCCTTTTAAATAAATATTAAAATTATGCGAATAAAGACAGCCAAAAAAACTCACTAGCGCATATAGAGTCAAAGTAAGAACTAAAATAAAAAGAAGCCTCCTTTGTAATTGAAATGTTGTTTTACTTTTATTTTTACTTTGTATGTGTCCATGTCATCTCCGTAATATGTATGCTATGTATGCTAATAAAATCCAATTTTCGTGCCCTTCAAACACTCGAATAGAAATATATTTTAACAAATGGAAATCAACCACGATGTAGATTACAAGAATTCCACGACACTATGCAGAGACGTTCTAGAATTGGCGGCGTAGCTACTAATCACTTAGCAATGCTGCGGGAAAGAGTGGAACGCCAACGAAGCGTAATCACTTCCCAATCCAAATACAATTCGACTGAAGATATCGATAATAAGAGCGAAATAGAGAGCAGGGAAAGCACCGAGAGGCTCGATAATCAAATATCCACGTTACATCAAGATGTGGCAACGTTAAGTCTTGAGGTAAGGCTAAATGAATAAAATAAATTTATTTGCATTTCGATTGCTTTGTTCTTTACTTTTATTTGTATTCGGTTTGTAGCGGAAGCTTCTAACAGCCAAGAAATTATAACAAATAAGGCATATTTTTGAAGCGAACCATTTTTAAAATAGTTATTTTTGTTTGGACATCAATACGCAGAAACAATTAACAATTACTTATATTTTTGGAAACTCTTAAATTGGGAGATGAATTTTGATGATTATTCGTTCTCAGTTTGAATAAATCTGACAAATGCGATTTTTTACGATTCAAATGACAAATCACATTGGTAAAATACATTTTAAAAATCTATATAATTAATATTGTAGTTTTTAAAACAAGACTTTTTTTGTTCTTAGCTTATTTTGTCTATATCACAACAGAATTTGTAATAAAATTACCCTAATTTATTTATTCTTTTTAGTATTGTTACAATCCTTTTATGGTCGTTAAAAAAAATTATGAAACTTGGAACAAGATTTTTTATTCGTAGTTTATTTTGTCTATATCACAACAGAAGTTTCAAAGATATCTCCAAAATCATTAGGTAGTCCTTTAAGCATGGCTCAGTTTTACGAATTAGTATTAAGACTTTGTATAGGTGCTTTTCTCGTCTATAATTTTAGTAAACTTAAAAAGTTGATTTATTTTGTTTTTCTATTGTTTTACAAAATATAATATAATAATAAAAACTGCAACAGGCAAATAAATTAAACATAGAAAAAAAATCAACTTTTGTTTCGCTAGCTTCACGGGTAAACTTATAGTTTTCGGTAATGTTGGGATCTGCTAATCATTTTAAGGAGTTTAAACCAATATAGCCTTTCAATAACTTTTATGTGACATAGGTGCCACTCTTTTCATTTTGGTAAGTGGACTATGACCTGCAAGTTATAATTTGCCGCTGTAAAAGATAAACAAAATAAATCCCTAGACCCGAGTTTTGACAAATATCTAATAATTATTAGACACGGTCAAAATGACACCAGTAATGGAGTTTAAAGACAAAACATCAATCGAAACGTAGAATTCGTGTTTCCAGTGTTTTCAGAATTTTTTGTACTTCAGGAAAAAAACTTTTTTATTATCTATATGAACCTTATAAAAGGACCATAGCAGTATCGCATATTTCAACATCGAGCGTACAAAGAAAGGCACAATACAAAATTTGATGTACAGTCTGAGATAAATCAGCACTAAATCTGCAAACTAAATGCAAGCTTCCATATGCTCTTATTGTAAAAACATTTATATGGTGAGCGAAAAAGACTTCCAAAAATTAATTAGCTTCCTTTGAACATATGAGTTCAAAGGCACTTATAAAATGAAGTGTCACCTATATCACATAAATGTGATTGAATGTCGAGTATTGGTTAGAAGCATTAAAATGATCAGTGGATATCAACATTATGGAAAACAAATCAAATTTATTTATATCAAGCAGGATGGAGCCAGAATGCGATCCCTGATAAAGATAAAGATTGTCTCTTGGTTTTAACATTTTGTCTTGACTTAGATAAAGAACTTTGTATCCCGTTCTACTTTTTACAAAATTTCTGGATTCCTCCTGCGTCGGTTTGTGCTGAGTCAAACTTGCTGACGTTTCGACAATCATGTTGACTTCTTCAGAGCTTGACTGAAACTGGCTCGCATTTTACTCTGTACCTGTTTACATATTGTTTGAGAGGGGCGGAGCTAAATTAGAGGCATAAACACCGTCTCGGATGACTGATTCCCATATTGGTTAGAGGTAGAGGGCCGAGTCGCAGTTAAGTTTGTTAGGTTGTTCATAGACTTTCGGATTTTTCGTTGGTAGAAGAATTGATTACGTGCAAGGATTTTAGTTTTACCGAATAAAATTTTATGTCCGGTTCCATGATTGTGTTCGGTAACAGCTGATGAGTTTATTTGTCTTAGTCTTAAGGCTCTTTCATGTTCTTTGAGCCTAGTTGATATTTTTCGTTCGGTTTCTCCAATGTATTCTTGGCCGCATATGCATGGAATGCTGTAAACTCTTGTCATCTCAAATGGAATTTTATCTTTGATGGACCGCAGATGTTGAGAAATTTTTGGACTTTTGATATATGAATGTAAGGAAGGACCACAGTGCCAAGTGTAGGATTGCTTTCGGCCTCATTGGTATTGGAAGGTTGTGGAGAACTGTATTTTTTATCGAACGCTTAATATAATTAATGTGGAAATTATTAGAGAGAAGAGCACAGGTAAGGTGTTTTAATTCTGGGTTCAGTGACGGGCTGAGATAGTTTTACGACTCTGTAAACAAGAGAGTTGATAACCGATTATTTTTGGGCCGGATGGTCCGTGTGCGTAGATTCTATTGATAAGAATATATGGAAGGTTATTATTAGTTTCCAACTCAATGGTAAAACGTATGTTAGGGTGTTTAGAGTTTAAATGTCTAAGAAAATCTAGTAGGGTTTCTTGACCATTAGACCAAATAACAAAACCATCACAGACGTAGCATTTCCACAATTTTGGTTTTAGATGAAAGGTGTAGAGAGCTTTCTTCTCAAAGGCTTCCATAAATATATTTGCGATGAATGGTGATAGTGGGGAACCCATACCTGTTCCCGACGTTTGTCCAAAAATTTTACCGTTATAAAAAAATATGTTCCAGACAAGCATTTTTGATTAAGGTGAGAAGGTTCGGTTCCAGATTCTCGGATTTTAATATATCTGAAATGATGTTGAGAGTTTCAGAAATAGGAACTTAGGCAAAGCGGGATTCTACGTCTAAACTTAAGGGAATATGTTGAAAAACCAATGGTGCTGATAATAGGTCGAAGAGGTAATCCTGGTGTGTGAGTCCGTAGAGACGAGGAATTTTAGAGTCATGGGCGGCAAACAGATTTTTTTTTAGGGAGTCTGATAGAGAAGAAGCCTTAATAACAGACATAAGGTTATGATCCATAGATCACGTAGGAACTTTTTTAAGTTGACGGTATGATCCGTCTGTAAGAATATTTTCCTGATATTCATTTATGTCCGTGACCACCGTAGACCACCAAAAACTGATCCAGAAATTTTGTAAAAAGTATTACAGTAGCCTGTGGAAGTTTCTTTGAAAAATTTGTATTCCGTTTATAATATGGTTTCCAAGTCGAAACGCATTGAACATTAGCAAAAGTCAATAAAGTTGGTAGTTGGTTTTTATCATTTAATTTTTCCATACTTTTGGTATGCGATGTGACATTTTCATAACGCAGGTACGCAACGCAATACAAGCCCTTCAAGAAATGGCAACGCCCACTTCCACTCATGGTTCAGTTCAATACTCAGCTCATTCCAACCCTAACATAGCCGATTTCCGACACTCTTCGTCGACGTTGGCCCGAAGCAACTCGCATCCTCCGGAGATCTTTTGCTGGGAGGGTCCTCCGATTCCTTCGCAAAACTACGCCCCCATCACCCTCGTAGACAAGGAAACGCAAACAGAAGACGAAGAGCTGAAGAGCTTCGTCCAGAACAACGCCAAAACCGTTTTGGAAATGTTGGGGTTGGATCCGCGGAAAATTCTCAATAAAAACAACCTGAAGAAAAGTTTCAGTAGTCCCGACTCGATGAGCAAATCGGAAATTAGTGAAAGTTTTGTATGTAATATAAATAGCGGCTACGATTGTAACATATCTATGGACGATGAGACCGACAACGAACAAGAAAGTACCGAGGAATGTCCATTTTTATGGACCCGATCCAGGTCGAGTAACAACCGAAGGGTGCACATTTTCGAAAATGTAAGTTCGAACAGGCAACAGAGGGCGCTCAAATACAGAAACAGCGTGGACAGTTAGATTTGGTTAGTTTCAAGGACTCTGGGAGGGTTATACGAAAAGCGTTCATATCGCTAATTTTAAACCCGAATCGTATGCAAAATATATTATTCGGTGAAACAGGATATTATCCCTATAATCCCATAATTCCTTTAAATCTTCTAATTTCCTCTGCTCTGAACTCCTTTATACTTTGCTTAGACCATAGTTCCGTTTCGGTATACTCTGCCAAGTCCGAAAGTACGAATAAACAAAATAGTTGTAAGTTCTACCCTAATTTATTTTAAAGTTAAAGCTAATTTAAATTTAAATTAAAAGACCCACAGGAGAATACAAAAATTAAATAAGATGAAACTTACATACCAGATGGGCAAAAAAATATAGAACCGTGGGCCCCTGATTATAAATTAAGAGTTTTTTTTATTTGATTTTTTTTCGTTATTTTTTTACAACAAAAATAACCTTCCGATAAGAATCTTTCAACTATCTTTTATTTGCCTGTAATATCTAAAATATTCAATATTGGGTCCCGGAATCTTTGAAACTGGTCTCAAAAGCGTTATTTGGTATGAATGAACGCATCGAACTTTTTTTTCCAAAAGCTGTGCATTTCATTAATTATCTAGGCAATATATTGACTAAAACTAAGTAAAGGATGAGGGTTAACAAAAAAATTAATTTAAGTTCGTTTCACCAAGTAACTTTTGAATAAACCTCGATGTTTAACCGATTTGTCAAGAATGTGACTGAGATTACGATGTCGCCATCTTTCCATAGAACATGGATTCACGAAAAAATACCTGCGAGTCCGAACCATTTAAAACAATAATTTGCATACGTGACTTATTTGACTTGAATATGAACAGACGTGTCGAACAAATTATAAATAAACTTGACTTTAATGTATATTTAACTAGAACAAAATCCTTGCTTCCTATCTTTTCTGCTTGCCTAAGAAATTGGGCAAACCTCAGCAACTGAAAATTTCATTTTTCTTTTTGTGTTATAATAATGTAAATAATAGATTTATAAATGTAATTACATATTGAATAAGCATATCATGTGATCTACAAAGGTAGTGCCTCTATTGTGATCAAAACTATCTCTCTAAATATTCCTAATATATTTGTAATTAAAGGGTTTCATTATTGTACATTTGGGTAGATTTGAATTTTATTGTAAATACATATCTTGTCTTGGCTATGTAATATTTTTTATTTATTCTGAACTTGAAACTTTTTATATTTTTTATAAGTACCTATTTAATTATCAAGAAATGTATTAGCGGTATAGAATTTGGTCCAGTACGTTTAAGAATGCCAAACCACTTAAGATAACAAAATATGAACAGATCAGTAAGTATTTTATGTGTTGCATTCCAGAAATTTAGAACGAATACTTGTACATTTAGGAAAAATTTATCATAGTATGTTTATATTGCATGTTTCTTATTAAAATAAAAACGTTGAAAAATGTTCTGTTAATTTCCCTTAAAAATTCAGTGTTCCAAGTCACGTGGCACATTTTATTGATTTTCTATTTTTACGGGCATAGGGGTAGAATTTTTTATAAAAAAAGGTGAACAGTTTATTTACAACCAGCCTTTCTCTACTTAAAAACACATATTGTTTAGAACTTGTAATATGTGCTAAAAATAGCATAACAAAAAATAAACAGAACAAAACAAACATGAAGAAGTTAATGTGCATTGTCTAAAAGTAGGTGATAAAATTAACTAGGGATGGAGGGTCACAAAACTCTGAGAAGACAAATGATACATACATATGCTTTCTTATACTGAAAGACAAATGAACTGACACAGATACCAAGAAAAAACATCTTAAAATTAAATGTGAAAAACTTTTTACATGGCACAAAACAAAAATTGTTTACTGTGTGTGCAATAACGAAAAAGTATTTTTACAACAATGTAATGTAGAACATTAAGCAAGGCATTGCAGTTTTTGGAAATAATTTATGGGAATAGTTTTTGAGCATTTAAACCTTAATTTCTTGACCACTACCCCATAAAAAATATATAAAATTGTAACCGTTTTCAGCCCAAATGCAAATTTTATTAATAAAGATTACAACCTGTATTTTAAAAAAAATTACGTACCCGATAACAGCCTTCCTAAGCAAGTTTAGGTTCAATAAAAAGTCTCCCATTAATCCCTACAAAAGATCAAATTAAAAGTCCTATAAACTAGTAAAGATAATACAAAATTGGTGCCTTTTACTTTGAATACATAAGCAAGGAAAGCTATAATACAAAAAGATTTCTTTAGTGTTTTCCTTAATTTGGTTGAAATTTATTTAAAAAACTATAGCACCACAATTAGAAATTCTACAAATGTAAAACCTCTGAGTAAATGGAAGAATAGTGAATAAAATCACCTTCATATAAGTAAACAGTAAACATTTTTTGTTTATCAGCTTCTAGTGTCCAGCAGTTAATTTTGTAATCACTAAAATAGATTTTTTAAGAGACAAATAGCTCTGTTTAAAAAAGTGTGATGTAAAAATTTGTCAATACAATGGCATAAGCTATACTTATAACTAAGTAATAACATAAAACTTAGAAGTTTCACCCAGTGTCAGTTATGTGTATGTATCATTACAGATAAGTCTCCGAGGTAAGTAACAAAATCTTAAAAAGGCTTGAATAGCAAATAAAAATGAATACATACAACTCGCCATTCATGAATCCTTTGCTTTCTATAAGACAGAATATCACCTGAAAGACTAGCACTCTTAAAGTGAAGTTTTGGAGAGACTTATTCATTTTCCTCATGTCTTACTTCTTGGTACCTGCGGCTAATGTAGAAGTACATTGCATGGGTTTATAATAAAATGACGTTAAGAAGTGTTTAAGGCTCATAAATGTAACATTTTAAATTTTTTTTGCTAATTTGGACTGTTGCAATGTGACGAAATTCTGTTAGCACTTAAAATAGTTTAATACCATCGAAAATGTTGCACTTTCACTTAAAAATCACATCCACTAGCAAACAAATTCAAAGTTCGTCTCTAAGTAAAGTATACCGATTCTTAGAAGGCGCCAACTTTTTAAAAGTGCTCTCTGGTGGTTTAGTAGGCTGCTTGTCGGTACCTTGATCATCTGAATCAGGGCCATAATGGAATTCTCTATGAAGCTTTCCCGAATACAAGTCTTTTACGAACTGTTTCAGTTTTCCTGGGATCTCCATATCTTTGAAATTGGGAAACATATACATGTGCCGAAAACTATCAATAGCAATAAGAGGAAGATCCTTTTCACTCTTTCCTAAGTGATGGAGGGGATGCGCAAATTTATTACCATCAGCTGTTAAAAAGTTGATAGCTTCTGCAAAAAAAAATATATTTTATAGGTACCTCTACATGTTTGGCTCATTGATGTATAATGAAAAATAAGTCTTGAATAACTTACGTTTTTCTGATAAGAGATCTTTATTAACAACCTCATTGTACTTCTTAATACTCTCCTTATCTTCAGGAGAGTGGAACAATATCAAAAACGGCAAACCCTCCTCGGTCAATTCCTCAGCGTTTTCAAAGGTGATCTCTCTGATTAGAGGCACACATTTATCAGTGGCCCAAATATGCAACTCATCAAAGTTCTTCAAACTTCCTGGATAAGTTTCATCTGCTTCCACTGATCTTTCTTTATCTGCCCTAAATACAACAATCGGTTCACCTGGGGGATGCATTTGACGAGAAGCTTCATCGAAACCAACATGAAATTGGCAATCGTCCTTCAAATTCATAGCTACTCGTCTAAATATACTGTATTCTGGCTGATCTCGGCGATCAAAGTAACCTTAAAGAAACATGGTCAAAAGTTTTTATTTATAGTGAAAAGTACTAACCAATAATTATTCGTTTATCAGATTCCAATTTTCCTAATTCACTAATATGCTTAAATTCTTTAACTGGATCTTCAATCTGCCTTTTAACAAAACTAGTGAAAGCTTCCACAGATCTCTGTCCTCGATACTCTTTTTTTGCTGGTTGGCCATTTCTAATCACTTTTAAAGTTGGATATTTGGTAATGTGAAATCTTGTGGCTATGGAGCTTTCTTTATCACAATCTACTTTGGCCATTACGACTTTACCAGCCTCAGGAAACTCTTTAGCTACATTTTCTGCAGCTTCATCAAATATTGGCATCAAGATATTACTAAACCTACACCAATCGGCATAGAAATTTACAAAAACTAATTCATTGGAAGCTAAAAGAGAACACACAAGATTGTGTTATAAAAACTTGCACATGTGGTATTAAAAATTTAAGGAAAAGGTAATAACAGCTTAAAAGCATACCTAAAGTCATGTCAAAATTTTGTTGTGTAAGTTGCACAGCCCCACTATCTATAGGATTATTGAAGGAACATATTATCTGTAACAAAATAAATAGATAAAAAATAAGGTCTATATCTAATTATTTCAGTCAAATTTGAATACTACGAAAATATACCTTAAATACATAATATACATACAATAAGTAAATATAACGGCAGGTTCAAAAATAAACCTGCCCCATAAATATTCGGCAAATAAACTACAGGCTTCCAACACATAACTAAGGTTATGATTACTTTATTTCTTTTAGGCATAATAAATTATAACAGAACACTACATATGGCTAGAAATGTTACAGCTTATGTTAATGCAAATTGTAATGAAAAATCAGATAATGTACTTGAAAAATTCCATGTCGTGGCAAAATTTCCGGGATAACGTAATTAGCTTACTTACCGTGAACACTAAAAAAAAGTTTATTTTGGAGTAATTTAAATAAATCATACTTTATATTAACGCCGTTTAAAAAAAAATGTTAAAACTCCACTTAACATAAAAGAAAATACTAATAATTAACCTCAGAAAACCCTAATAGTAACCGAAGTAGTATTATCATTACACCGAATGTCAATGTCAAACACGGACCACAGAACACAGCGTTGTTGGGACGCCAAAATGTAGAAAGTATTCATGTTAGTGAATCTTTTTCCGAAAGTAGGACCGTGTCGTACAATCGATAGATAGTGGTTCAATTCGACAAAACCTGGCGTACAAATATCAGAAAACCATGCTAGTTCAGTGGTTTTACTCGTTATAAAACCAAACTTTTGGCCCAAAATCAAGAAATGTAGTTTCCACAGATTAATTAATTTGTTAAAAACCTTTGTATTTATATAATTAAAGGACCATTACTGAATATTTTTTATATATCAATGAATAAAAGTGAAATTCAGATATCAGTGATCTGTTTCTTACTTACGTGTAACTATTACATCTAATAAGTGAACCAATAACACAATAGATTTTTATTTTTACAAGTTTTTCAATTGTTATTAGAATTTGTCGTGAAATAAGGAGGAATAAAGTCACGAGCAAGGTTTAGCAGAGTTATCAACATGAACACGATAAGCGTGAGCGATGGAATTTTGCCATTAGAATCGTTTCTGTTGCATCCGCTTTGCTTGCAGCAGTAGGTGCAGGAATATTCCTCTTTGCTTCGGTCACAGTTATCAAGTCCCAATCCTCTGTTAACCATTTCGTCATCGAAACCACACGGCGCCAAGCCGCATTCGCGTTTTACGGAAAATCCATCCTTAGCTACAAAAAAATCGAAATAAGGTGCAAACGTAACATACAGTACAGGGAAACACAATATGCGCATTATATCTGCCTTATATAATTATACACTGTTTTACAAACAAGTGTTTAGTTAACGTGTTCGATAAAATCTAAACACAAACTTTTTAAAATATGTATGCTTATATATTTCTAGGGACCGCCTCTTATCTTAGCGATATACAGGGTGATTTAGGTTTTAAGGTACAAACTGCTATGAGTGAAGATGGATCTCATCATTTTAACCAGAGCTACTGATTGAGGCAAAAGTTTATTGATTGTTTTCTAATAATTTAAATATCTCGTTCATTTTTCATTAGTTCTAAAGATTTTTAAAATCAACAGGGTGATACGTTTTTAGGGGTTAGAGGCGTCTTTATTCCCCCCTCCACCCCGTCGAAATTTTTCGAGATAAATATAAACTTAACAGTTAATTTTGCCTGTTGCCTGTTATTCTTGAACAAAATTTGTTAAAATTGAAAATAAAAAAAGTTTGCTGCGCTACTGATCCACATTGGAACTCATGTTTATAAGAACCTTTTTGCTTCAAATGATGAGATTTATCATTCATTTCAAATAGTATTAACTGTCGCGTCTTTTCTTTTTTTCGAAGGTCTTTCATTTCAGTTATCGCAGTTAAAATACTAAATCCTCGAGCCTATTATACGCAATTTAAAAAAAAAGAGCTCATAGGCAGGTCGTCTTTCTAAGTAAAATTTTTATGACTTTAAATATTAATCTTTAATTCAAAATCAACTTTACAAAAAAAAAGAACACAAATAATATTCTTCTTCAAAACAATATTTTTTTTACGAAACCAGAACAATGACACTTAATGATAAGTAATAAAATTACCCTATATTGTTTATGTATCATTTTTAATATTGTTAGTATTTAAAACAGAAATAACATTCTTCTTCAAAACAATATTTTTTTTACGAAACCAGAACAATGAACCTTAATGATAAGTACTAAAATTACCCTATATTATTTATGTATCATTATTAATATTGTTAGTATTTAACTGTCAAAAAATTTTAGTATTTTCAAAAATATAATTACAGAGGAAATGGATGTTTCTGTTTTATTTACGGGGATAGAAATTATAAAAAATATAATTGCTCCTTACAAAGTTTCAAAGTTTTGAAAAACCTATTACAGTAAATTTGAATTTAATGTCATTTGAAATTATTGTAATTTTCAATTGGTCCACCTTTTGGGTCAAGGTTAAAACTTACCACTCTTGGATATGTGAATTGCACATCTATCGGATATTGAAGAACATGGCTTAAGATCTTCGTTTCCGCATTCGACATTTTTGTCTCTAGTGCATTGATAGCACGATAAATTTCCCGCCGAAATGCCTTACAAAAAAAGAAAAATTGTTATTATTACTATTATACTTTTTGTCCCTATCGTATTAACGAAAGCGAAAGAAGTTCTAATATTCAATTAACCAAATTGTATTTTTCGATTTGGATGATAAAAAAAATACGGTAGTGAAATACCGTTCATAATTTCAGCTTTGATAAAAAGATGCATTTAAATTTCCAACCGGATATCGATCTATCAGCTCCAATTTCCCACAGCATCGAGAGGTCTGCGCCGGGTTATGTAGCAGTCTCCAATAATTAAAAGATCATTTGCACCATATTGTTTAATATTCTCTAATTTTTGGCGCAATAATTTTTATGCAAAGTTTGTTTTATTTGTCATTACTTATTTAAAAACAAAAGTGACACTCTGAAAAATAAATATCAAAATGGAGATAAATTTAAATTTGTAGCGAAAATTCCTTAAAACAGTTTAAAAAATTGACAACCAAATGCAACAGAGAGTTAAAGCTATTTTTATTTTTATAAAGTGTAACATATTCTACGTCATAATAACGTGTGTACAACATCCAAACGAAATGTAGCATAAACTTACCACAAATTTCTGATATTATCCATAACAGCAACATGAGCACACGATTCATTTTGACTTCGGGTTAAATTTGCGCATAACAAAGCACTGCAGCAGGCAGCGACGGAAGCGAATCTCCAACACCTTATTCACTCCCGTTCCCAAAGGGAGTATAGGGGGATACGTGCGAGGGGAGGGGAAATGCAAGGCGAGGGATGCAAAAATAATCCCGCTTTGGCGGCAAAGAAAAGTGCGCCTGCGTATTGTGTGGAAGGGGACTAAATATCTAACAGAAGTGAGAAAATTGGTGTTACTTCCGATAAATGCGCGGAAAAGGTAAGGGAAATTAAGAAAATATTGGTTTTTAATATAGTGGTATAAATATTGGCTTAATTTGAGATATTGGTATACTGGGTAATTTTTCAAAGAAACTTCCACAGGCTGCTGTAATACTTTTTTTTACTATACTAGGAGATTCGATAAATCTCTAAACTTATTTGCACGTTGTTTCTAGAGGGCGCTTGTTTCACCGTATTATCTAAAGAAATCGAATAATTTTTTTATCTGTGGTGTTATAATTATGGTAAAAATTTATAAGAATGTTCAATCTTTCATGGAAATGGTACTCTTGTTTAGGCTGTCTGTCGATTTTTGAATTATTTGCATTTAAAAAGTTCAAGGTATTTTTTCTGTTTTTTTTTTTTTATAAAAACTTAAAAGTAGAAAAGGTGATAGTTTTTGAGACACCATTATTTCTTTTCGGGCGAAATGATCCTGTTTCACCTAAAAGGTAGTAAAGATTTCCGAAAAGTTTAATTTTTAATTTTAAATCTCAATTAATCAATTAATGAGAAAATTCAAAATAAAATTTAAGCTTGGAACGCTCGTATCACCGATACCTTTGTATAGGGCATATTCAGCTCAATCAGAATATTGTCAGTATCTACTGTTCGGACATACCCATCTCTTATGAATAACCTTATATTTAATTAAATAAAAGCTATATAAATCAATAAGCGAATTTTCATAAATAGGAATTACATATATAAAAATTTTGTTATTTCTTTAAGAGTATGAAATTTTAATGAATTGTGAAGGCCATATTACAAGGATAGGTGTGCGTAAACTTGCATAAACTTGTTTAATTATTTTCAGCAAATACATTTCTTTTGCGATCGAATTGTTTCAAATATCGATACGGTCCAACCATTATATTATATTGACTAACCAATCCAAGCCTTACTTTTTAAATATTCCGTGCTTTTATGTATCTATGGTTTATGCTGGGCGTTGTTGATTTTGTTGTGAATAGCCAGTAACTATTTTGTTTATAATTTCTTATAAAAGATTGGGCATTAACAACATTTTATTACTGATTTTTTTTGGGCAAATTGATTGTAGGTCGCTTTCCCCTCCAAATATGATTAGTTATGCGATTCCTTTTTTCATTATTTTAACATTTTTGTGTGAAAGCTGTAAGTGATTGAAAATTTCGTTGTGGCAATTATTTTGTGGGTTTTGTTTTGCAGGTAGAACGCTTGAATGTTATGTATGTGATAAACAAGAAGATAATAAGGGCAAATGTGTTAGAACAATACAAACTTGTAAATATGGGGAAGATGTATGCTTGACAGAAATAAGTTGGGGCACAACTCCATACTTTCAAGAAGGAGCCCTGAAGCAATATTACATATCAAAGAGGTGTTCAACAAATGATAAATGTGCAAAGTATAGGAGTAGTAATATGGCAACCTGTACTCACATTTGGTATGAAGATTGGAAATGTTCCGAGTGTTGTAAAGGAGACAGGTGCAATTATTACATAATTGTGAGTATTTACATTTTTATTTATTTAAACTACTCAACAGCAAGTATCTGTGTTTGAAGGTACCGAAAAATCAGCCACAACTTTACTATTTGTGAAATGAAAATAATCAATTTTTTTTGCAGTCACGGGCCATGTATTTAGGAAGTTTTGTTATGTCTTCTACATTATTATTGGCACTTGCATTAGGTCTGGGATTTTTATGATAGCCATAGTCAAATAATTAACACCTGCCATTAAAATGTTTCATTACCAAGGGAAGAAGAAGAAGAATCTTTCTAAAGCACATTTTTGACATATATGTAAAATCTCTTTGACTATAGACCATAGTATTTTTTCTAAAGTACTCAAGTCTTTGAAAAAGTTTCAAAATATTTTATGTTATAAATTTAATGTTACCACCTTATTTATTGCTGTACTTTAATTTTAAGTTCCATTTTAAAAATCTTGAAACAGGATACATCAAATGTTATTTAGCAGTTTATGTTTTGCTGGAAAATTAATTTAAGTTACTATTGTACTTCAGCGTTTCTATATTCCGTCCATGTAAGGCTGTTACTTAGTTTTAAGGTGAATTTTATACAAAGCAATTTTGTTTGTCCAACTTACGTTAAATTTTTTCATTTTAATATAATATGTGTGTAATTATGTATTTTTAAAATTGACATTCATGTTATTACATGTGTTTTTAAGTAATATTGCAGATTTGTCTTTGGTAATTATCCCTTTGTTTTTCTTCAGAGTTTGTTTCAATTTTATCTAGTTTTTTTCCTTATTTTTTATTTATTATAAATTATAAACTTAAGCATTTGAATGCCATTTCTTTATGACGTCATAACACCGCGGCAACAATTGTATCCTGTGACGTTTGCAGGACTAGACCATTTCGGTATACTGTCCCTGACATCTAAGGAGTGGTGAAATGTGTGCGTGTATTTGTATTGGATAAATATTGAACATTTCGGTGATTTTAATTTGAAAGTACCAGCTGGGAAAGGACATTGTTTTTTGTGGTTCATTTATTAAAAGTGGCAAGCCATATTATGATCAAAATATGTCCAGCAAGATGGAAGGAGTTCTCTGGAAATGGACAAATTACTGGAATGGTAAATTCGTGTTTCTTTATAGAACCTCTTAAAATTTCTCTTTTTAGGATGGCAGACCAGATGGTTTATATTAGAAAACGGTGTACTAAGTTACTATAAATCTCAAGATGAAGTCAACCAAGGGTGTAAAGGTTCTATGAGGGTACAGACATGTGAAATTAATGGTAATACATTATTAATAAATTATAATCATTTGTTTTATTATATTAAGGTGACATTGTGAAGCACAATTTTCTTTTTTGATTATTTTTATTCCAGTCTACTGTAACAAATTGTATGAAATTTTAGTCAGTTCGGTGGACCACACTAGAATGGATCTTGTGATTCCCGGTGAACAGCACATGTATTTACGCGCCGCGACTTCTCAAGATAGACAACAATGGTTAGTAGCACTAGGAACTGCAAAAGCATGTGTCCAAACAAAGGCTGTTAAAGAAAATGGTAAATTTGTTGTTTTCAATGTCAGTTCTTTAGATTGAGTATCACAATTATCATTTCAGGTGAAACTCCAGACACCTTAAAATCAAAAAAGTCAGAGTTGAAACTGTACTGCGACCTTCTAATGCAACAAGTTCATGTTATTAAAAACTCAACCCAAAACTCCAATGGAGTGGAACTTGAAGTAGGTATACAAAATACAATACAATTAAAAGTTCTCAAATGCCGATTTATTCTCTCACTCAAAGTTTGCCTAAAGATTTGTTTTCAAATTTTCAAGCAAGTAGTTTTATTTTTTTTTTGTTTAGCAAATGGATGAAGCTACAAGGCTCTTAGGAGCCACATGTGATACATTTATAAAGACATTGGAGGAATGTATGAAATTATCTAATGGTGAAAATTTTGAATTGCCACATAATACTGATGCCATTGTGCCACCAGTCATTCCAAACAAAAAGGTATGCTTGAAATAATACAACTTTTTGATTTTACAATTTTTCAATTAGACAATTAGTTATATTTTAAATAAGGTAATGTATAGGCAATTAATATCTTTAATTTTCCAGCAAGTTTTGAATAAATCACATTCTGTGAGGCTGTAGTGGTGAAGAGTTAAACTGAATAAAACCCGAACCGACAGAAAGCAAATTAGCAGTAAGGCAGTTATTTTTTTGTTGCTCTTATTTCATTTGAATATTTCTAGTCAAAAGTTTTAGTTGTTGCAGTTTTGTTTTTGAGTTTAAATTTTTTGAAGTGACATATACCTATGCTTGCAGAGGAAATTTCGGATACTGCTCTGTGAGTTAGCTTTATCTGTCATTGTCTTCCACAATTTGTGACTAGATATGAAATATTTGAATAAAATATTATTGTTTCTCTAATATTAATATTTTATTCTAACTACTATTTCAGTTTGTGAGGAAGAAGAATGAAATTTGATTTAGTGACAGAATAAGGTAGGTATAAAAAATGAATGATTATTTGAATCTGAGATGAAGTTAGCGTTATTTTATTATAATTTTTATGTTGCATATAATAAAACACTGTTTCGTTTCTATGCTTAGTTTCTAGAAATCCATAAAAACAATAAAACGAAAATAGTATATTGAAAATAAAAGGTCGTCGCTAATGTGGTTCTTATTCTTTTGTATTTAAAAAATGTTTGTAGAGAGAAAGCAAACAGTTTTGCTTAGGAATAAGTATAAGTAAGGAGCTGCAATTGGTTTCTCATTTCCATTTTCCCATAGTGTACTTATCATAACTCTTCCATACATTTTATGCTTTTTTCTGACCTTATATTATACTTGCATCAAATTTGTACTCCAAATACAAACAATTATTTTTATAATTACATTTTATTGTATACTAATGAACATCGTATTATGAAATACAATGCTTTAATATCAAATCTTTTATTATATAAAAGATGTAAATATCCATTTTGTTTAAAATGCACCCAATATAAGGGTTCCAAAAAGACAAAATATGCGTTTTACATGTGGAGGGGATAAAGTGGGTTCTAGTCCATCCGGTCCTGTTTTGTTAAGTAGTGGAAACCATCAAATTGGCCAAAAATTAAATTAGAAAGTGTGATATATGTACCTAGCTTTTTTGTTATTGTTATCTAATTATTGTGGATTTATATAATGTGGTCTATATTAATTAAAACCCAAAATTTATGTTTTTCTTACATAATTTTCATCAGAATCTCTCAAGCATTTTGGAAACAATATGTCGTTCTTAATTATACGTGTATGTATGTCTAAAATATTACCAAATAGGATTTTTGTAAAACATTTTGTATTGTGTGCTTAAAATAAATCAAATATACAATCAGATGTTCTTTTTTTTCGAAATGCCCGATATTAGAATGAATATTTCGAGGTAATTTGTTTCCCAAATAAGTACGAAAATAATATATGGGACTATCGATTTTTAAGCCATTGTTGACACTCGCAAAATAATCGATAAACTTCCTAACCGCTGGTTTAAATCCACAATTGACGTCAAGGGAACATCTTTAGCAATGTCCTTGTTTAAAGTTAGGCAGTTTTGGTGTACAAATAGCGAAGACGGCGAATATTTCGACCAGGGTTCCATGATCGCAGCCAAACTGCGTTCTGAATTTGATTATATTGTAACGGGAAGTCAGAGCGGAACTTTACGAATTTTTAGCCCCAATTGCGATTTAACAGAAACGGGTGGCTTGGGTGGATTTCGCCCAAACGATTTACTGATAGAAAAGTTATTCGACGAGCCGATTTTGCAAGTCGGTTGCGGAAAAGTGGCCTCGTAAGTGTTATTTGGATATGGCATTTCTATGAAAATATGGCGAGACTATTTTGTTTTTAGGGGAACGACTGAATTACATTTAGTTGTTTTGCATTCTAAACTATTATCTATTTACAATGTGGTTAGCAAAAACGGAAAAAACGAACAAGGTAAGGGTGTGCATATATTAAGGGTGGCGCAAAAGTGGTATTCTTAGTTAAACACTATTACGAAAAATTGTGCTAATAAATTTTGCTTAAAATTGAAAGACGAACATTTCATTAATCTTCTCAATTGTAAAGAGTGCTTCATAAATGCGTGGAAATATACTTTTTTTTGTTAATTGAACATCCTAAATATTTCTATATATATATATTTCTATATATATATATATATATATATATATATATATATATATATATATATATATATATATATATATATTCACGTATTGATTCGCGGATGGAAAAATGTGATGACACTATATTCCGGGATATCATCCGTTCGCTTGTTGAACTCCGACTGGAATCCTGCAGACGTTTCGCCAAAATCTCACTTGGCATCTTCAATGCTCGCGCTCCGAAAACACTTCGAACACTTTTTTTATGAACTTATATATCTTCCAAACTGTTACCATTAAATTAAAAACGGACTTTAATACAGTCGAATGCATTATTAACAATTTAGTAAAACATCTCATAGATGGGTTTTCGAAAATCTTTGCGAACTTGACAAACTGTCATCTAGTTTTTGCATAATTTTTTAAACGGAACACTTGTAAGCTTTTCCTATACCTATCGATTCAAAATTTTCAAATTAATATAATTTTTTATATTTTATTAATTAACCAACTCCAGAGACAATTTTTTTCTATATTTCTATCAACATACGAACTTAACAAAATATTTCTGTTGTTTTCGAAGTTTATGTTAATGTTACGTTACAGTAAATTTTTCAAAGAAACTTCGGCATGCTACTGTAATACTTTTTACAAAACTTCCTCTTTCGTCGGTTTTTGCTGAGTCGAACTTGCTGACGTTTCGCCAATCATCCTGTTGGCTTCTTCAGAGTTTGACTGAAGCTGATTTCTGTCAAGGTTTCAGTCAAGCTCTGAAGAAGCCAACAGGATTATTGGCGAAACGTCAGCAAGTTCGACTCAGCAGAAACCGACGCAGGACGAATCCAGAAGTTTTGTAAAAAGTGTTATGTTATAGTAATTTATTTAAAAGGAACTAAATATCTAATATTTTAATTTATATATATTTTGTGTTTTAAATAGGTAACTCCTCTTTTTCTGTATTTGTATTTTATGTCCCAATTGTGAATAAAATAAATTGTTTTGTGCAGCGTACTTCAAAAAACTTAGGCAAGAGAATAAATTGGCATCCACCACATATTTTTTTTGAATTTTCTCAAATAACTGGAATTTTTCACAAATTTCTGAAAAAATGTCAGATTTGGCAGATCAGGGGATGCTTTGACCAGCTTACAAGAACTGTAAAACTGGGATGATCTGGTTTTTTTTTTAATTTTATCTCCTGTAATAAGTCGTAGTTCGAATGATGTTCTTGATGTGCAGTCAAATTTCTAAAAAATCAAAAGTATTAAAATGGTGGGCGGATCTTTCAGGTAACCAGTGTTTCCTTCAGATCTTATACGAACACAAACTGCGAAAGTCAGCAGCAAGTATGGTCATAGGACCTTTTGGCGGACTACAGAACAGAGATTTTATTTGCGTTCAAACTTTGGATGGTTTACTCGTGTTTTTCGAACAGGAAAATCAAGGCACGTACGTGGTATTGCCTGATTTTCTGCTACCCGGACCAATCGTTTACGTCAAAAGTAGTGACAGTTTCGTTACGACCAATACGGGTTGGGAGTTAATGTCATTCAAGTAAGAAACACTTAATATTTTTCTTCAACGGAATTCTGTAAATTAAATAATAATGGACAGCAAAAAAAGCTACAAGTAAATTTTAAAACAAACGAAGTCGACATACTGGAAACACATGTTTTAATTTTTGAACAATTATTAAAATATTCGAAGACTTAATTTTGACTTGCACGACGTCAAGGAAATATGCGTCCTATGATATAAGGTTCCTTGACCCTCCTATCAACTTGCCCCAGTTGTATAGTTAAAGATGTGTAAATTGATAGGGTTTGCAAGAGTGCGTGTTTGACCTTTAAATTTTAGTGTCCCTAATTTATTTAATTATAAGAGTACATGAACAGAGTACACTTTACATACGAAATACAGACAATGATACTAACATTCTATTTATCCTTTACTGCTGCTCTTAAAATACACAGAACGAAAATATTTCTGCCACGAAGCATTTCGGTAGAAATACTTTATCTTATTACAGTCTACTTCAACGCTTAAGCAAATATATACAAAAACAAATGTCAAAATATAGGCACATTTTTCTCGGATAATAGACGAAATTGTAGAACTTATAATTCAAATAATTTATCATTTTGTTGTTAAATTTGAAGCTGCATTTCATATTATAAAAATGTTTGTAAACTGTGGTAGAGAACTCTAAAATTGATCCCGTTAACGGTTGGTGGAGTCTAACAGCGGCAGTAACTGATCAAAAATCCACTGCAGATGAAGTCAAGTGTTCTTATAACTTTCACAACTCTTTTTTCAGTGTGGCCGTTGAAAGTCAATTTAGAATCTAAATAATTCCCTGTTATGTCACGCGCAATAAGAAAGAGATAGTTATTATCGTTAACGTCATTATTACAGGGTATTTCACAGGGGGAATTTTAAGGTAAAAAGTTTCTTTAAACTTCGAAAAGAAAATTATTTAAACATTCAATAAATTTATAAATAGAGTAAAAATGATTGAGGAATTCATTTTTTAACCAAATATAATATTTTTGAAAGTTAGAAATGGGAATTATTTAGAAAATTATACACAAAACAATCAGAATCGTTTCTGGTGTTTTAGATATAAAATCCTGTCAGATGCAGCCGACGAGTCTTCTGATCCTATTTATTCGAAGCCGAAAATCGCTTCCGATTGGAGTTATAATTTAGGCGAAGCTGCTTTGGATATTAAAGTCGTCGAAACGAAGAACAAGGATGTGTCCGTCTTGGTATTGGGCGAAAGAAATTTGTTTTGCATGAATGACAGCGGAAAGCTCAAATTCATGAAGAAATTTGACTACTGCCCTGTCGCCTTTCATGTTTACCCCCTAGGTAAGGGAAGAATTACTTCAGTGAACTCGATCTGAAATGCAAACGGCATCAGTCAAAAGTGAGGCAAATTTTACAGTAGTAAAATACGGCTAGTAATAGGGATTGTTGTCCTTCTCTTGCTCATTAATAAAAATGGGACAATGAGGTGTCTCCGTTTGATTACTTTTACCGATATATTCCTATTGAAATTATTAACTCATCATATAAATATTTTCATTACATAATATAGTATATTACGCAACAAGTGCGGTAAACGGCATTTGAGTTACGAGTTTATTTGAGACGAGCGGAGCGAGTGTTTAATAAACGAGTGAATTAAAAGGTTTACCAAACGTACTGCATAATATACTTTTTCAAAGACCTTTAATTTTTTTTGGAAAAACAACAACAAATTCATTGAAATGTCCATCAGAATTTAAGTAATATCTCCGAAAACAGCCCAGACACTGACGCTTCCCGCACGCTAGAGCGGTGTACAATTGAGAATTTTACAGAACGGAGTGGAAAAATTTATAATAATCAATTTATATATATATATATATATATATATATATATATATATATATATATATATATATATATATATATATATATATATATATATATATATATATATATATATATATATATATATATATATATATATATATATATATATATATATATATATATATACATCAAAATACAAGTAATATTCTATACCTCCTTCTGTTAATTTAAACGTCAGATTCGTTAACCATCAACGCGAGTCATTTCGGACATTTCCGGTATTTTAATAGGATGTTTTTGGTATATTTTAGTCATGGATGGTTTTTTAACGTTTTATCAATTCGTGCTGTTTGGCCAAAATTAATCCAAAAGCGTAGGAAAAGTAGAGTAAACTCGTCACTCGTTTATACTCCACAAACTAACTCCACTGCGCTCTGCTCGTGATTAAAATGGCGTTTATTCTTTGCTTAATATGCTATTAAGTGTAACGTTAAAAATGTATTGGCCCGAAAATAGCAGCATGTATTTTTCAGGCCTATTATTTAAAAAAATAATAATTCACAATTATTTATCAAAATATGTATTAACTTTTAAGCAATATTTTATATATTTCTTGTTTTTTTTTTCTTTCTTGAAAAATTGAGATTAAATTTTTATTTTTTTGTGACAAATCAATGAGTAAAGAGTATCAAAATTTGAATTATTTTTAATTCATAGAAGTTCAAGAAGTTGTCTAATTAATTAATAACCATTTTTAAAAATGACGTCGGACGAAGGATAAACGTTTGAAATAATTTCACAAATCACCTGTTAACGATCTCCAAAAATCCTAAACATGTAGACTTCCGAATCAATATAACTAATATACAATAACAATATAATTAGTAATAAGATTTATAAGAAAGAAAACAATTCCTATTACTACCCGTTTCACCACACCAAATAATATTTGCATGGAAAAAATTACCGGAACTAGTTTGATAGATAGATTAGGATTGGCTATATGGGAAAAATTAAACATCACAGTTCAATACTGCGAATACTTTTAGAAGATCATGTATTTTGTCTGGTGATTTCGGAAACAAGTAATCTATTGATTTACCAAAATGCAACATTGCATTGGTCAGCAAGTTTGGATTTCATGCCGATAGCTTTAAGCCGTGCTTGCCTCAAAAATGTCAAAGGATCGTTGGTTTTGCTCAGCGAGGAAGGTCGATTGGAGTGTTGCTATTTGGGAACCGAGCCAAGTTTTTTCGTGGCGCCTCCTTTAAGCATAAAAGACATAGATTTTGAAAAGGCAGATGAAGAGTTGATGGACTTGGAGAGAACCATACGGAACTCAAGCGCAAACGGTGAACTGATGTTTATTTCATTGTACTATAACTTTCGCTTGTGGTTTTAGATATTGGTTTAAAAAGTAATTTCGAAAAGGATTTTCAAGTCCACGTTACTGCCGGAGTTAAAAGTGAAATTGGTGCGGTCGGTGATTACAATTTTGAAAATGTCTCATGGGACTACGTTTGTCCCATTTACATCGACATCGTGCCTCAAGTATCTCATCAAGAAGTTCAGATTACGGTATTCGTGTGCAGGCCTTTAGCAGCGATACCAAATTGTCATTTTTTTAGGTACCTACGGCACTGTCTTTGTAAACTTAAAATTTTTCCATCCATTTTAAGATACCATAAAATGAATTAAATAGTAATATGTACAAACTTGCGAGTATTTTCTGGGGTTTCTCACTTATTTGAATATATACATATTTTATTTAATACTTATTTAATTATGCGTTCTAAGGCAAAAAAGGCATGGATCGGAACATTTTTTATTTTCTTCGATACAACGGGGGACTTAAAACATGTACGCCGCTTACTTTGTATTTTTCTTGTCCAATCCTAAAAAAGGATTAAAAATTGAAAATGCTTTTTTTTTGCCAAAAATATTGGTCGGATTATCTTGAGGTTAACAGCCTCTGTTACTAATTGAAAAATCCCTTTTGCATATTTTTTTCGTGAAGTGCAATGGCGTTTTTTTTTGCGAAATCTATTATATATTTTCGAAAAATTATCCTTTGTTGTGTTCAACCGGAAAACAAATTTTTTTTATCAATACTTTAAACTTTTTCAATATCCGAAATAGCTTTTTCCAGCTTCACACTTCGAATCCAAATTTTCGAGAAAGGCAATGCTTACTGAGTGCTTTTTTTTTAAATGAGAGATTAACAGTTTTTTTTTATCTGTTTATTATGAAGCAATTTAAGCGAAAAAACCTCATTAACGTCATACGTATTCCTCAAAGAGGCTTCGGAAGTGCCAAGCCTTCTCGTGACCGTAACAGCTACTGTGATTTCGACCCTTGGCGTTCCAAGATCTTTAACGAGGAATGTCATGTTACCCGCGAATTTTCTACTGGACAGCTGTGATCCCGAAAAAGAATGTGAACACAAAATTACACTGACAACTACTCACAGCCACGTTCCTTTAAATACGTTATTTTCAGGTATTACGGCTTTGTAATAATTTTTGTAACTAATGTGTCACTTTTTCATGCACCTCACATCTCACGTAGCAAGAGGGTCGTCAGCAAATCGTCAAAGTCGTATTTTTGAAAATACAATTCCCTGTATTTTAGATTTTTTTGCATTATGCAATCAAAATAAGTTTCAAGAATATTTATGATTAAACTTTGAATAATTTAAATTTTGTCAAAATGTAACCGAACTCAAACATCTTAAATATATTAAGTAACGAGTGTTTAAAGTATGCAAGCGAATTCTCCAGAACTGTCTAACCATGGATTATATTTTGCACGTTAATTATATAGAGAGTGGCGAAAAAATTATTGAAATCTACTAATAACTTTAAGTGGTCATAATTTGATTAACTTAAATGAAATGCTATTATTTATAACTTACGAGAGTATATGCTTTTTAATTGCCTTAGCTGAGTCTTATTAAGGATTCCAAATTATAGCATAAACAATAATATGAATAATAACAATTATACTTTATTATATTAAAAAAAAGTTATGAACTTGAAAAGTATTTTTTATTCAAGCTATCGCGGCAACTAACTAATACAAACGAACTAATAAAGATAAGTGAAACTGAAGAAACATCTGTAGAATATTTTCCAAGCATCAGTACGCTTTTTTTTTTACGCAAATCTTGATTCAGACTAAACAGCACCACAATAATGTCAAAATTTAAACAACTATCAAAAATAATATTAATTTATAAATACAAAATCATATTAATTCGCTCTTCTTTTACGTATATCTTGATTGAGACTAAGCAGCATCACAATAATAATGTCAACATTTAAACAACTATCAAAAATAACACTAAATTTCTAAATACCAACTGGTTCCAAGAAAACGTTTATCTTGTCGGAAATACAGTAATTATACGTAGTCTGCTAAAACGTTAGTTACCTAGCTATAGAATACTCCATTTAAATTAACCAAGTTATAGTTACTTGCAGTTATTATTAGATTAGGATACTTTTTCTCCTGTATAAGATATATAATTGGGTTATAAAATATTATCTATTATTATACTTTACTGCAATTTTTCGTCATCCTGTATAAGCTGGCTCTTACGCTCCACTGAAACTTTCTCTGACATTATTTAACTAATTCCTATGTTTTAGCGAGATTAGAATTAAATTACATTTTGGCAAAACTCAAATTATTAAAAAAAAAACCTTAAGATTTGGGTATGAAAAACCTTATATTGATCGTTGAATCTAAAAATACTATAATTCCATTTTAAAAATATTAGAGGTGATGCTACTATAATAATTTTGGTACCACCTGTGTAGCACGAAAGTAATTTTAATAACTAACCATAATGGGACTTCACATATCCCAGAACTAAAATTTTTTGAAAACCTTTAATTTTGGCCGTATAGCGTGAATAACCCTGTTTAAGTCCGTTGTTGAAACTCTTTTTGAATGTTGCTTGAATATAATGCTGCGACATTATGTTTCCCAAGTTGCGAACCGACCAATTATTAACGTAAACAAGACGTCTGTTAATGACGTCAAGGTGACGACCCTCCTCTGCCAGCACTTTATTAAACGTGTTGACATTTGGACTTGAAATTTATTAACCCGTAATTTTTAGAATACGCCAACGAACCGACTTCTCAAGTTAGCAAGTCTTTTGCCTTGAAAAATAACACTGGCGCGGTGGGAACAATTTTGTTAGCGAAATCATCGGAAAGGTATCGTTTACAGTCGAATTCGCTCGCCTCATTAAGTTTACTGGTCGAGCAGTTGATTTGGCGATTGAGGAAGTGCCAGGGAAACAGGGATGATTTCCGGATTTCCTTTAACCCGGATCTACCCGTGGACGAACTGTTCGAATATGTTCGACGTCATTTCGATTGCAAGAAAAACGTGTCTCTGTTACAGGTAAACTGAACAAATCTCTCTGATCTGATGCCGCGCAAACTTTCTCTAATGGCGATTAATTGATCGGGACAACTTGCCTTGTAAAGTGAAAGAATTTCGGCGACGATTAGGCGGTTATTAATTTAAAATAATTTTAAAATTGACAACCTTTAGTATCGAATCTTTCATGCGATTTAAACGAATGATTATGGAAGGCTTATAATCATTGCCTACTTAATATTATCGAACCAAAAATGTAAACAAATAAAAAATATCTTCAAAGTGGGTCAGTAGTCAGTTTTCTTCTAAACTTCACAAATTGTAATGTACAAACTAAGTTTATTTTTTTATTGAACACCCTGTATGTCTTCAATAATTGTATTGGGCTTGTTATGAGTGTTCAATTGTTCAATTTTTAGAAATTGTATATAATAAGTCAATGCGCATTCGATAATAATAACAATAACAACAACAATAATAATAATAATAATAATTTATTGCACAAATATCTATAAACAATACATTTAAAGTTGTTAATATGAGTTTTCGCAGTAAACATACAATTTATGTAACAAACAGTTTACGCACACACAATTTAATACCTGTGAAATTAATGGACTATTGAATTTTGTTTACACGATGATAGGAAACACATAGATCATTTTTATGTCTGGTATCATACATATGAAAGTCGAAATTCATTTCTTTTTTATTTTCATGGACATACATTATGCATTGATGGATGAAAATTGTTAGTATTTTTATTTTTTTAAATAGTGGCTTACAGTGATCCTACTTTGTGCACAACACAAACTTCGAATCATTTTTTTTTTAATTTAAAAGATTCTATCTGATGAATTTCCCCTCAACAATATGCTAAGTTTTCGAATCTGAAATGTATCTTGGTTTAATCTCTCGGCCAGCATAACTATATGTACGTGCCAGTTAAGTCTACTCTTTATGTACACACCCAGAAGTTTAGCATTGTGAAAGCTAACGTCAGGTACACTTGAAAAAAAGGCAACCTCCGATTTATTTTCATTCAATTTAAGACGATTCGATGGAAACCACTCTTCTGCATCAACAATCGTCTGAGTACTTGCAGATACTGCGTCACTTAGTGTTCTAACCGAGTTTTGTTGTGTCATCTGCATATAAAGAAACTATATACGATCTTATATTCGAGGGTAAGCCGTTAATAAATATTAGGAAAAGGATTGGTCCCAGTATTGAGCCTTGTAGCACCCTAAGCGAAACAAAATGTGGTTCAGAAACATCACCGTTAAGTAACGTAACGATTTGTCGTCTGTCGTTGAGCTAAGATTTAAAAAAGTTCAAACCTTGACCCTTCATACCATAAAATTCAAGTTTGTTTACTAGAAACTCATGGCTAACGCAATCAAAAGCCTTCGAAAGTTCCAACAAAGCCTAACAGGGAATAACCTTACCATCAATAGCCTCCAAAACATTTTTCAGATTCGCTATAATTGCTTTCAATGTTGATTTCCTCGAAAGGTACCCTAACTGACTCTCCACCAAAACTTTATTGTTATCAAACTACGATACAATTCTTTCTTTTACCAAAAGCCTGAAAGACTTTGGAAAATACGCAGTAGGACGAAAATTGTCTGCAATCTCGCCTTTATAATTTTTCGTACATACAAGTTCATTTTGACGGGTAACTAAACTTTTTGTAATAAAATATGTAATATATGATCAAAAAAATCTGTACTTTCCATGGCATATTCATAATTAAAAAATGAAAATAAGGGTCGTTTTAAAACAGTTCTTGGGTGTTATATATTTTTAAAAGCTAACACTAAGCCTAATAAAATTATTAAAAATTTAATTTAAATATTAAAATTTACTTGTTTCCGAAGAACATTGACTACGCCACTGGATCATACCTAAAAACCATATGTAGATCAGCTATTACCTTTTCGATAAGTTTACGCATAACCGAGCTACAAATTGTGTTCAAAATTTATTTCCAAAACGCCTTGAACACTCTGTATATTCGGATGTGTATATTATTAACTGTATGGTATTAGAGTTTATTTGTTAAATTGAAAAATTTATTTCAGTTTTCCATCACTTATGTTATATGTTAAAATTTTGATTTTTAATATTTCTAAAAAACGAACTAACGAAAATAAAAGAACTATTCAGAAGAAATCATTTTGCTAACAAATACGTCAATTGATAAAAAATTGTTAGTTTGTTTTTGCGCAAAATGCAAGGTTATGTCCCATATTTCATTTAAATTAAATAATAACAAAAAATTTGGGATAGGTCTGAACATTTTTCCCAATTTAAATTAAATTTCGTATAAAATTTAAATTTAGCGGTATGAGTGTAACTATACGAGTTTGTGTAATCTTTTCAACCTATTCTTCATTTCGAGGCTCCTACAGGTTAATTTTCAAAAGACAGTTTTAATTTAATTTCTATTACGTTATAGAACGATTTGTCTCAACTAAGCGCTCAACAGAGGCTGATTCAAAAACGACTCATAAGTAAGTTCAAGTCGAAAGATCCAGCTACGTTAAAAAATCTCGAACTGCTCCTAAACGACACGCACTCGGATATAGTGGAGGCGACTGAGAAATTGGAAAATGAAATTGGCAATCTATCAAACGCTCAGGTGCGCTTGTCTTGCGTTTTACATTTAGTGAGGCAGCTACTAAGTTTACTGGATCTGGATGCCGATTTGTTGGGGATGATAAATTCCACTTTTTGCAGTGAAGTTTACGACATCGACACTCAAGTAAGCTTAAAGGGATGAAAAATTGTCATGTGTTATTTATTTCGCTGTAAAATGGAACTGTCAGGTATTGTGTCGTTTGAATTTAGGCGTGGGAGGACGTCGTTGATGCATCTTTGAGTTACCTCTTACGAACGGTACTGGCGAAAACGGAAAAAGATAAGCTACGGGCTCCCCATTCGAGTTTCGAAGAAGTGAAAGACATCACAAAATTACAAAAACATCTTGCTCACGTTTTAGAGCGTTTACCCAAGCAACGAGCTACCAAACGAAGAGATAGCCTTTTCGAAGGTTAGCAGAGGGTCAGAGGTCAATAAAAGTTAATCCCAAGTGAGTTTTGCTTTCAGAAGAGCAATCATCGACGATCGATTCGGCGAGGGAAGAAGAGAACATAGAAAAACCGATTGGCAGTCAATTCGGAGAGTCTAGTTCGCGATTGTTATCCGCTAGAAAGAGTCTATTAAACCGAAGACATAAAATGATCGAAAGTGTTGAAAATTAAAGTCGTAACTGCACGTTTTTAGTGGCTGTTAAACATTATACGGTTATTGCTTTGGAGTTTGCGTTTCATTTAAAAAAATATGAATTTATTAACCGCTGATACAATGGACACGCAAAAGCTTCAATTAAATTTCTGTTGGTATATCCTCTCTCACTGATGCCTTCTGCTTTCATGTCTCTGATAAAAAAAAGCCTAAGTCTCAACAAAGGTTAATAAAGTCTTCTAAAAACTTATTAGTTTCATATTTTGCTTCTTTCTTAAGTACTTTTCGTTAGGATGCTCGGTGCAATTGCTCTTTCAATATCGTATGTTAGGGGAGAACAGTAGATTCGATTTTTGTCCAACCAAAAGGAATAACCAAGTAACCAAAACTAAAAAAAAAACTCTGACATATATTTACTTACTAACTAACCAAAACTTAATTTATATACATAAAAATTCCTATTCGACAAGATAAAAAATAACTTTTAGTTAAAAAAAACTATTGCCATACAAAATCACCGTCGTATTAATTAAGAGATGTAAACCATAAGGAATTAAAAAAAAAACTTTACTGACAACAAATGTTTTTTGTAGACTCTCTGAATAAATAAAATAAAAGTTTGTGTTCTGTGTTTGTTGGTCTTTTCACGTAATATTATTTTATTTCATTGTCTTATACAATGATTTTTATGTTTTTAATTATTATAAATAATTAGGCATTTTGCTTTTTCCTGTGACGAAACTGTCTTTTGTAATATATACCATACAAACATAAAATTAATATCCACCAACATAAAAAGAAAACGCAGAGTGTATCATACTCTACTGCAATTAATGGTTTCATTGATAGAATTAAAAACAATTAAAAAATCTTACTTATAATAAACTTAATTTTTTTTCTATAATAAATGTGGAGGCAATACTGGTTGGGCAAAAGCAGCTTTTTATATAATGTTATTGGTAAAATCGTAGGGCTAACTTGTAACTTTGCAAATTAAGACTGGCTCTAAAATTGTAAACCAACTTTCTCTATTTATTATAGAGAGAGGGAGAAACGTAAATATATTTAGTTTTGGGAACAGGGTTCTGTTCTGTGGTATTATTTTGTGAATAATACGTTTTTGCTGAACCAAAACTTCAGTTCACTATTGGTGTACAACATTTCAATATTCAATGAGACCTCTGGCGGAAAAAAATGTTACCAAAGTTTGGAAGTAACATTTTTAGAAAATAATTGTTATAGTTCGCCATTCAGTGCCTTTATGGATTTATCCGAGTGTTCAACTTTGAAGCAAAAACTTACCATCATCATGGCACCATCATCGGACAATAAGACAAGGACGATTGAATATACCCGAAATAACATAATCGTAAAAGCTAAAGTAGTTACCAAACAAAAAAACATATGCATATCCTTTTTTTAATACGCCATTCATTTGGATTCTCCACTACAAATTACTGCTTATGATATGAACGAACTTAAAACTTTAACGCCGCTAGTCTGTTTGAGTGATTTATCTTCTAACCCATGTTCTTGTTCAAATCCAAATGAAAATAACATCACTTCTATCTTGGGTTGATTGAAACAAATATGGTTATGCTTACAACATGAGGTCATATCATTTACTGCCTTTGCGACCAACGGAGCCAGATTGTCGAGACTCCTTGGTGTCATTGCAACAGCAGTATAATCTGCACACAAGGAGATATAATTGTCTAGTGAAGAATATATATAATATATCATAGATAAATATTAAAGATAAAGGTCAGAACTGGTGTCCTTGTGGGACACCAGTTCTGAGCTCTTTAGATGATGATTTAAATATTTTAAAAAATTCAGTCCAAATCTCTGATTTCTCAATTGGTTTGATTTTATAGGTGATCTTGTTGTAGTTAGGTTATTATTCCAGTAAAAAATATTCCATTACCTTTTCGCTACCTTTATCCAATTTTGTTGTTCCTAGGCTTTTGGAAAGAGCCAAAATAATTAAGTTCAAACCTTGAGTCTACCTACTAGTAAATAAAATTTTCTTTCTTCATTACTTGAAGGCGAGTTATGGGTAACTAGCATATAGTTTTGCTTGTTAATTTTTACTGAAACAGATTAATTCATTGACAACGCCTGTGACATAGCTAGTACGCTGATAGCAGAAGCTTTATCGATTTCGCGAACAATATTACTGAACATAAACAAGTCGCACCTATTTTTTAAAGTATCTAATAAATTTAATATTATTTCACTTTCACGCATTGCGTAACTTTACTTTCACCGAAGTTCTAATATATGATGATGTAACACTCCAAACTTTACAGGTACCGTTAGTTGTTTGCTATTTCTGTTACGGGTCCGCTAATATTTAACGTCAAAATAGTAGAGAGCGATTCGAAAGAAAGGCGCGTCTATATTAAGTTTAACGAAGCCTGCTTATATAAGTAATTAGTTAACTAAGTTCATCGTGTGTTATTGCTCAGAATATGTTCTAAAAATTCTTTCTTTTCCTTATATATGCATATTGTTAATAAAGTACACATTTCCGATTTAGATCAGCTTTCATCGTTGATCAGTTTGATAAAATATGTAATTTGCATATTGTCGCCGTTAACTCAATTTCTTAGTTCATTTCACAAACAAAAGGTACACATTTTTTTCTCAATGGTTTAATCAATCAATCAATTTATTCATTTCATGATATACATAAGTACTTACATAAGTCAATAAGAAGAAAATAATAATCTATCACAGCTTATATTACATTAGTAATACAATTATAGCATACGTTTGTGACAAAGTCCATACCTAAGACACTTTAATTTAATTAAAAACAAACGTTAAGAATCACACATCAAAACTTTTAAGTTTGAGTTTGTTAAAATTATTTTTCTACTCCCGTCTGTAAAATACCTAATTACGCACCGATCTAGGGTGCGAGAAACGTCGCTTTACCACGTCAGTTTCGTTTCCCACGTATCCGAGCCACTTCGGACATTTCCGGGATTTTAACGCACGCTTTGAATTTTGACGCTTGTCAATTCTGACAGTCATCTCAGTGAATGTATTCGTGGTTTGCGAAAATATACCCAAAAACTAACGGTCGTAGAAAAAGTATAGTATGCAACACGTTCGGTAAACTTTTTAACTCACTCGTTTATTAACCACTCGTTCCAATTGTGTCAAATTAACTCGTGAGTCAAATGCCGTTTACCGCACTTGTTGCGCACCGATCTAGCGTGCGGGAAACATCGCTTTATTACGTCAGTTTCGTTTCCCACGAATCCGAGCCACTTCGGACATTTCCGGGATTTTACCGCACGGGTTTAGGAGCAATAGGATGTTTTTGGAGATATTTCCCACGCTTTGAATTTTGACGTTTGTCAATTCTAACAGTCATGTCAGTGAATGTATTCGTGTTTTGCGAAAGTGTACCCAAAAACTAACCGTCGTAGAAAAAGTATAGTATGCAACACGTTCGGTATACTTTTTAACTCACTCGTTTATTAAAGACTCGCTCCGCTCGTGTCAAATAAACTCGTGAGTCAAATGCCGTTTACCGCACTTGTTGCATAATATACTATTTTCTACTCCCGTCTGTAAAATACCTAATTACACACCGATCGAGCGTGCGGGAAGCGTCACTTCGGATGTTTTCGGAAATATTTCCCACGCTTTCAATTTTGACGTTTGTCAATTATGACGGTCATGCCAGTGAATGTATTTATGTTGTTTTGCGAAGTGTACCGTAGAAAAAGTATAGTATGCAACACGTTCGGTAAACTTTTTAACTCACTCGTTTATTAAAAACTCGTGAGTCAAATGCCGTTTACCGCACTTGTTGCATAATACACTATTAACTTCTCGGTCTTTAATATTTTGTGGAAGAACATTAAATTTTATTTACCAATACGCCGGACCATTAACAAATTCTGACATTATATGCCTATAAGGTACCAGTAAATAAAAAAAAATCTTTCACGATTTGACAGAGGTAGTGTAGGCCATTTTGAATTTAGTTAGACCTTTCAACAATAAAGACTAGGAAATGAATGGATGAAATAAAGTATTCATTTTCTTCATACGACTAAAAATATTATCCAAGGAAGCAGATTGCTCTAGATTGCAACTGCAGTATGCGGTTTGGACGTACGGTGTACGTTTAGTCTACTTTCCCTTTTTGCAATTGCAGGCCAAACTCTTCACGATATTGAAGAAAGAGTCGCTCCTCTCCCACTTGCCGTCCGCAACGGATGTTACGCTCCGGTGTTTTGTTTTACGTGCCGACAAATGCGCTGCGACCAGCCAATTGAACATTAAACTTTTCAATATCTTACCCATAAAAGTAATGTAAAATGTATTTCCATATTATAATCGTTATGTGAAAAAGTAATCGAAATTGTTATGTGAAACGGCAAAAATAATGTTTCATTGGCGTTTGCGGTTCGATGTGAAAATTATTACCGGCTAAGTGTTTTTGACATGACTTGTTATCCTGAAAAGAATAACAATTCTACAATGTCCGCTGGTCAAAATATTCTCTTAAGACTGTCCATAGTATTAGGGATGGCAGCCGCCGTGGTCACGATACTGTATCTGACTCCCATGCCAGGTAAGACGTTAAGAACATTTTTCGAAGTAAATTAAATTCAGTGTCACGGTTATTTTGAAAAATCTGTACAGAAATCGCAACATTAAACATTTGGGGTTTAGAGTAATATGTAAATACGTTAATGCCTAGGAATATTAAAAATAATATTAAAAAAAGAATATTGAAAATAACATCAGTTTGGTAAATGATCATATGCCCGAAAACGCATTCTTCAGGAGATGACGCCTTTTTCATTGACTCCAATTTTTTTTTTAAGTTATTTCTGAAACGATACCTAAAACAATACCTAAACGAAATTTAGAACACAAGTATCTTCCATCGGGTCACTAAAGTTACTGCCTACAAAATTTCCAAATATTTTCCAAACTTCACAATATTTTTACTTAATAATTGTTTCATTCATTTCATTCATTATTCGTATGAAAATTCGGTTAGGATTATTAGCTAAAACTCAAATAACTTCAAACCCAGTATTTTTTGCATTAAACCAGAATACGTTTCTTTTTTATGGTTTTAATTATTATTTGCATTGTTTTTGGCCATAAAATTAAAAAAACTAATGTGTCAGAAGCGAAAATTGCTAATTGATATAGACCCATATATTGAAGAAACAGGCCATAGTTGTATTTGTTGATTTTCACTGCAACTATTTTAAAATCTTGTTAAATAGGCTGGTAGGTACCATTTTGATTACCTTAATACAATTATATTTTAAGGTATGTACAGTTATTATGATAATTAATCTCAAAATTTTGCATTTCTAAATTGGTAGATAATATGCTAGATAATTCATTAGAGTAAACTACCATTTTTAGAACAGAAATCCGATACATTTTAAGCATGAAGTAAATATTGACAATACCAAATGCTGAAATTATGTTGCAATAATATAGCCTAAATATTTCTTATATATCATTAAAAAAAAACATAAACCAAAAGGGCTAGACAAATTCCGTTTATGCTGTATTTTTTCCTTTCACAAAAAATTGCGCTACTGCGAAAACTGTATGTTTATATTATTTATGATAAGTGAAATATCCGGGAAAAGTTTCGGAAATGTGATAGTAACAAATTCTTATGTAAATATGACGTGCATTACATTATTTGGTCTATGTGGTAGCCCAATCAAAACGGAACTATCGGACCCAAAGCAAGCAAAACACACCATGCAGTTGCTTGGTTAGTGGCACTTAGTCCATAGCGACTGTGTACATTGGGTCATGAAAAAGTAACATTTTTTAAAGTATTGGGTTGTTCGGAAAGTCATTTCGTTTTTTTTGGGGAACATGAAAGACAGTTTTCGTATAATGAATAAATATTTTATTAAATTATATATTGGCCATTCTGGTCCAACACCTTTTGCCATCTTTCTGGCAGTAACATAATTCCCCTCTCATAAAAGTTTTGGTCCTTGCTGGCAAAAAACTGGTTCAGGTGGTTTTTGACATCTTCATTTGAGGTAAAGGTTTTGCCATCCAAAAAATTTTGCAGGGACCGGAACAAATAGTAGCCGGAAGGCGCCAGATCTGGAGAATATGGTGGATGTTGCAGTACGCTCCATTCAAGCTGTAAAAGTTTTTGGCGAGTGACCAAACTTGTGTGGGGTCTCGCATTATCCTGGTGGAACACTACACCCTTCCTGTTGATTAATTCGAGCCTCTTCTCTTTAAGTGAATCATTCAATTTGTCCAGTTGATGACAATAGACTTCTGAATTAATCGTTGTATTGTCCGGCAAAAGCTCAAAAAAAAAACGATTCCTTTGACATCCCACCAAACGGAGAGCATCACCTTTTTTTGGTAAATGTTGGCTTTTGACACGCTTTGAGCCGGTTCATCTTTTCTGCTCCATGACCTCTTGGGTTTAACATTGTTGTATACAACCCATTTTTCGTCCCCAGTAATAATCCGCTTCAAAAATGGATCATTTTCTTGACGTTTGAGGAGCGAATCATACACGTCAACGCGACGACACAAATTTCGCTCCGTAAGAACATGGGGCACCCACACATCGAGCTTCGAGATTAAGCCCATGCCTTTCAAATGGCCATAAACAGTCGAATTCGACAAATTTAATCTCTCACCGATCTCTCGTGTGGTTATTCGTCGATTTGCATCAACTAATGCCTTTATCGCATCTTTGTCAGCTTCGACCGGCCTTCCAGACCGTGGTGCATCTTCGACATCAAAATTGCCGGATCGAAATTTTGCAAACCAGTTCTGGCCCTTGCGTACTGTTAACACGCCTTCTCCATACACATCCGTCATTTTTTTTCTCGCTTGGACAGCATTTTTACCTTTTCTGAAGTAAAAAACTAAAATATGACGAAAATGCTGCTTATTGCTCTCCATATTTAAACGGGCACCAACCAAAAACTACTGCGTAGAATTAATAGAACTTTTTCACACACAAGCCTTGCAATATCAGCTCTCAAGACATATAATGGTTATGCGGCTTAAGTGTGAAGTTGGTTTCGAAAAAACGTAATTAAGTCCTCTGACCGGAAAAAACGAAATGACTTTCCGAACAACCTTATAGTTTGCTATTTAGATTCGTGTTATAGTTCTGGTATACTAAATCTTTTTCCAACAGTCACAATGGAACAAAAATTATGTTATATTCTCTATTTTTGATTTGATTGTTTTTTTAGCTTTGGATGTTAGGTTAGTCAAAAACCTGGTCCATTTTATCGATTTTGATTTTTCATTATAATTTTAATATTTGGAAATCACAAATAACAAGCAGACTTAAAGTAACCTTTAACTCTGGGACAACCAGACATTCCGTATTCTGAACTCGATTCGATAAATAAACGCTTGGAACCTGAAATATAATTTTCTCGGTAAATATCATGTTGACCGCAGAGAAAAAGCATTAGGTAATCGAATACCGGAAAAGAATTCACCATTAAATTAATCTAATTCGATTACCTACAACGCCATTTGTGTAAGCTTTGAGCACCACTTTCGATTGTTTTCCTCGTTTGTTGCGATAGCCGATTTTTACAAACATTTTAACACACTGGCAGTTACGTCAGTAATAAAGGCAAATCAGCAAGCGTTTTAAATATTTTTTGCAGATATTATTAACTTATTAAAAATAAACAAATGCGTTTTTCTAACGACCCCACATGAAAGTAATGCAACACAGTTACAACATAAATAGAAGAAGATAGCTAATTGCATTGTAAATTATTTCCGTCAATAAAATTCAACACACCTTTTAACACGACATGGAGATATTTTAATATTTCCAAGCAGTAAAATTCATAACAAAGGAAGAAGATTGTGACCGGTTCTCAAAGACTACCGAACACGGCAACTGCCTTTAAGCATTTTTTTTTGGAAAATAGAGAAATTGAAGTGTTTAAAGATTTAGCATTTGTCTAAATAATAACAACTGATATAGTTAGAAGCTAATCGTGGTATATTTTGTCGCCGACTATAACATTCCCTGTTTGGCGACATCGGGTCTAATATGATCATTATTTCATCTTTTCAAAACAGTTTAAATATAACATTCTGCCGTATTTCTTAAGAGATTTAGACAATAGTTTAAAATGGTACTGTTTAAAAATCATTGATTGTGAGTTGAGAACTTACAAGTTACAAGTTCATTCTAAGCAAATTTCCATGTTTTAAATTCGGTATTCAAGTTTCACACTTGTTTTCTTTTGCAAAAAGCGAAAAACTTGAATTATGCAATTTTTGAAAACCAACTCTTGCATATTTTCGATTTAGTTAATTTAGTTATCAAATGCATTTGATAAAGGCACGGTGTTGCCGAAACAGCTGTCATTTAAATATATTTATGTGAAAATCTGAACAACGATTGTTCTTATTTAACTAATTTAAATGGATTTTCATCAAGTAAAAGCCACTTCAGTACTATTTTCGATTTGATAAAAAATAGTTTTCAAGACATATTTATTATAATGAATGCATTAAATACATTTTTCCTGGTAAAAGTGCAGGTGCATAGTTTATGAATGATGCATGCAATGTCACCTGGCTATTTATTTTAAATGAGGAAGTCGAACATTTGATCATCTTAAATATTTTTGTTGTATTTTAGCATAAATTGACTAATAAATACTCTCTATTTATTTATTCATTTGAATTTTGCTGTTTTTATTGCTAATATAAACTTGATTTATTGAAAATTTCTTTGGTGGATTAAACTGACATCAAATAAGAGTTTTCTGATTTCGCGGTACTGGAAAATAGGATTAAAAATGAGGTGTCTGCGATTTACTGTTAATGCAACGTCCCAGATTTGCCATCAGCAACAGATAGCAAGTACCATTTCGCTGACCGCGAAAACTTTCACCGATGCGTTTTTGCAATTATTAATGCCTGATTAAGAAAATTCTTTTTTAATTCGTACAGGTTTCTCCATTCGAGAAGTAGGCGTAGGGGTTTTCACATCTATAAAATATTTGTAGATATCACGATGTGTCCGATTTTCCGTGATAATTTCATAAAATGAAGATTCAGTTATAGTCAAATGATACATTTTATAATAAAATTGAAATTAAAATTTTGCTTTGTTTGGAGACATGGATGCGAAGAAGCGTACTGTTGCGGTTTCTTGAGAATTAACCAAGACATTGGATGCGTGGAGAACAATACGATTTTGGATAGATAATTCAGAGCAATAAACAAAAACAACAACAAAATTACTTCAAACACACTTCTCATACGTCTCGATAAAAGTGCCTCAGGGTTTTGTCCTGGGACCGTCATAGTTTATTACCTACCTAAATAGTATTTTCGAACTTCTTGTACCTGATTGTGTGGGTTAGTTAGACGATGGCGGTTATGTCTTCTAATAAAATGCAATATTTTCATAACCCCAAACAAATAAATGAATTTTCTCTTATTGTAAAAGTTGCTAAAGAGATAGATAGCACAAAGATCAATGGAAAAACAGTAGCCCAAAATCTAAATTTAAAAAACCGCTGTCAAAAATAAAGTCAGTGTTTTCTTTACGAAATTTAAGATAATATTAACAACAAAACAACTAATTGATATGTGCCATGCTAAAATACTATTTATCTTGAGGTACTTGTATCTGGAGGTGACAGAAGGTGTCTTTGATAGTTTCACTTTAAGACCAAGCAATTGCTGACTTTGGCCGGTATTCTCATTCTCAAACTTAGTATTACCATTTTTAGAAACAAATACCGGAATATATTAAATGGTGAAACAAGTAATTATAATAGCCACTATTGGTGTAACCTAGTGTAGACTAAACAGAAGTCTCCTGACTCGATGAGAGTAAAACTTTTTAATCTATTGCCAACCGGAATAATGAGCAAATAATTAATCCTATTGATGTTTTATTTTTCCTTTAATTATCCTTAGTGGAAATGTGGTTTATCTGTCTTCAGACCTTATTAGCTCTATGTTATATAGTATCGTTATTGTTATTCTTTTTACCGTGTTTGGCTTTTTCCATATTAATTTTAAGACTAACGGTTTCTATTCGTAAACTGGTTGATATTTACTGTTGACTCTGAAAAAAGTAATAAAATGTGACTTGGGTGATTTTTTCTTTGAATTAATTTTAGATCAAAATTTCAAGAGCTGTGATAGACCCTGCCATCAATTAGACTGGCCTATGATATGCCGGGTGAAACTGAATATCGAAATGTATCATATAGATAATCGGTGAGTATATTAAAAAAAATCCTGTTGAGTTAAAAAGAAACGAATTGGATCCGTTCTGAGATAGGTGCTTAAGAAATCAACCAATTTTTGGTATTTGGTCTACAGAATTTGTCAAGATTGCAGAAACAACTCCTCCACGTCATCCCACTGCAATAACATATTTTGCGCTATGACCGACACCTCTAATTCCAACGGGATTATAACTGCGAATCGACAGTTACCAGGGCCGGCTATACAAGTCTGCGAGAACGACATTTTGATAGTTGATGTGATAAATAAAATTCCTGGTCATAGCGTATCGTTGCATTGGAGGGGGCAACCTAATGCCGAAACTCCCTTCATGGATGGTGTGCCAATGGTAAGTTTTCCACTTGATGAAATATGATGGAGCTAATAATACCAATAAGTAACCTATATCCTCCTAATATTTAATCATAAACATAACGATCGTTACTGTAGATGACGAAAGAGGTGGTTAATATTATTAAATTTGAGTCCTTAAGTGCATCAACGCTTCTAAGAGAATGAGCAGCAACTACAAAGTAAGCAAGTTAACAAGCTACAAGTCTGTACTTCGGAAAAAAAAAGCGATTCAAAGAACTTGACTTGGAAGGAAATCGCTGCTAGAGCCTGGGGTTTGACTTTTACGATACATCGGGCCGAAGCAATAAAAATATAGTCGTATGTTGTACTTTAAGAAGCATCTAACACAAACTTTTAACAGAATTCCAAAAAGCTAAAAACTGTACAGAGTAAAATGCAAAAAGTCTTTCCCCTTCCCTTAACCAGAAGTAGTTTTAAAGTGTGTTGCTGATATAAACTGACAATCTGCATTCTCTGAAATTGTCTATAAAGATGTTTTTTTAAATACTTTTAATTTACTAAAAATTAATTAATTCATATTACATATTAGTAGGGTATATTCGCCGGTTCCAGATCATGTTCATTGAACTGCCCACTCCTCATCTAACCCAAATCCCTACCAATGAACCCTCCACTCCTCACACACCAATGAACCCCCCACTCCTCACCCATTAATGAACCCTCCACTCCTTACACAAAAACCCTCCACTCCTCAGTAAAACCAAAAACAAGAACAGACCACAAAAAATAGCAATTTTTAAGTAGGTCAAAAATTTATAAGGAAAAATTGCTATTGTTTGTAGTGTGTACTTGTTTTTGGTTTTATTGAGGAGTGAAAGGTTCATTGGTGTGTGAGGAGTGGAGGGTTCATTGGTGGGGATTTGGGTGGGGTGAGGAGTGGGGCGTTCAGTGAACATGATCAGGAACCCGCGAATATGCTATGATGTATAACGAAAACCAAACGCTCAAATGGAAAGTCTTATTAGCCACAACAATATTGCACAAAAAATTTGTAGCACCTTCAATATTTAAAAAAAAAATAAAGCAAAAGAGACGATAACAGTTATTGAGGAAATAGGTTTGTATGAATATGTATTTTCAGATCACGCAATGTCCCGTTCCCAGCTTCACAACGTTCCAGTACAAATTCAGGGCATCGTACGCGGGGACACACTTTTACCACGCCTTCTCAGACAACGACAGATCGAGGGGGCTTTTCGGTGCTTTGGTCGTTAGGAAAGCGGATAAAATAGAGCCTCATAAAAAGCTTTACGATTTCGATTCCAAAGATCATATTGTGCTTATATCTGAGTGGTCAGGTAAGAAAAACTGAATAGGATGTTACAAAGTACGTTTAACGTCGGGAGCAGGTTTTTATTGCTCGAATTCAGTTTCGCAAATGGGTGGGCCGACCATGAAAGATGATACGTCTGTACAGGGCCGCACTTGGAAAATAGTTGCGTGTGGTCGGCTAAAATGGGCTATATGCTTCACAATCTTAAATCGGCATATTCAAATAGACATACATACTTTAAAACCCCGATGAAAACACAAGTTATGTTTTTTTTTTTAATTGGGAGGCATTTATGTTGTTTCTTAAAAAGAAATTACCTTTTTACGCTGCTTTCAAAAACATATCACGTAATAGTGATTTTTTACATTAAGGTAAGAATTACTCGAAATAAAATCGTCACATAGTTCCCAAAGAATCATCATGGAATCACGAAAACTCCACGTCTTTTGTTTACGTATGACAGTTGGGATAAAAGAATAATTTTTTCAGTTGAAAAAAAAACTAAATATTAAAAAATATTTTCAAAAAATGACAAAAATCATAATAATGAATGTTTGTACAATGTACAATTATTAATTTCGACCTAATTATTGACGAAAAGGTAACTGTTTTTTAATACAAGCGTTTCTTCCATCACTTAATATTTATTGAAATAAAACGGCAATGGACTCAAAATTTTGACGACTTCGCGACCCACGCCATGAACGTATACTTCATAACACTACAAAGTTGTTGTCACTGGTCTAGCAAAAGCCTAGGCTAGGCCCGTCTTGCGCGCAGCGCCCTGTTGCCACGTTGACTGAAATCTCCGGTATGTTTAAGTTAAACAAAATAAAAAGCAAATTACAACTACATCACTTTAAACTCAACAATAACAAAGAGAATATTCATATATGTATGCGTGATGAGCAAGACCATATTTGACTGCGCAACCATAAAGTTTGTTAAATTTGTGGGAGATCACATATTGCCCTAATGTCCTCCGTTGTCCTGAATACACGTTTGGTTCTCTCTTTTTAACTTATCTAATGCGTTAACTATGCAGTCCGGATGCAAATCATTAGGACTTTAATGTCACGCCTTCCAAAATAATTTTTGTTTTTTAAATACCTCCACAAAAGAAACAGTATCTGGGCCATTGACACCAAAATATTGTGCCGTATTAATAAAATATTCTGTCACTGGAGCAATATTACAAGAAGTGGTGCTATGGCATATAACTTTCCCCAATTCATTGATCTTGATTTTTTTCTAAAACATACTGTCTCCTCGCCATTAAAATTCGTAAATAGATTTCTCCACTCATCGTCGGGCTATAAAAAATGGGTCCAATGATTTGGTTACTTTTTCAACCACACGAAAAGTTTACGGAGCTAATTAACAAATATTTTTCCGGATTTTCTACCGACCAGTAGTTTAAGGTTTTTGTATGCGGAATTCCGCCTGTCGTGAAAGTCGGTTCGTTATCGCATGGCATAGTGGTATCATATTTTGGACCTCCTGTAAGATACCAAAAAGATAAAAAATGGTATACATCGATATTGTTTCGTAGAATCTAGTAGTGTGGTAAACAACATTTTTAGACAAACTGTTTCCGAGATATAGCCCAAGCATACTATTTTTTAAAATGACGTATTACACTTACGCACATATGACGTAAACTAACCCTTAAAAACTCAATATTATAAGAAAAACGTAAGTTGGAAACATAAGTATTAAAGAAAGTTAAACAAAAGAAAATTTATAATTATATACATATAATAATAAAAATTTAATTAATTTTTCTAACGATTCTGTAAAAGATTGATAAATGGGGTTTTAGTCACGAGTTATAACATGAACCTAACCAAATTTCAGTTGTACCAACCTAAAACTTCTTCTTATTTTTTTAAACTTATTTTTTTCCACACGCTATAGACTTATTTTGAGGTGTTAAACCGGAATCTGGCTCTATTTAATTTTTAAACAGTTTTCTTATTTCGGAAGACAACATTTTTAGACAAACTGTTTTCGAGATATAGTTGGAAACATAAGTATTGAAGAAAGTTAAATAAAAGAAAATTTATAATTATATACATATAATAATAAAAATTTTATTAATTTTTCTAACGATTCTGTAAAAGGTTGATAAACGCCATTTTAGTTACGAGTTATAACATGACATGAACCTAATCAAATTTCAGTTGCACCAAACTAAAATTTCTTCTTCTTTTTTAACACTTTTTTTCCACACGTTAAACGGGAACCTGGCTCTATTTAATTTTTAAACAATTTCCTTATTTCAGGAGACTTCACGTACGACGGAATGGCCAAAAAAGACGTCCCCAAAGCTTTACTGATAAACGGCAGAGCTCCGAGCGAGCAAGGTTCAAGCCTGACAGTTTACCATGTTAAACCCGGCAAGAGATACCGATTTAGGGCAGCACATACGGGCGGATCGGTTGGCTGCCCCGTCAGTTTATCCATAGATAAGCACATGCTAAAAATAATTGAATTGGATGGTAACGCCATCAATCCGTACGAAGTGAGCAGCGTGCAGCTCGCCAAAGGCGAAAGGATAGATTTCGTTTTGAAAGCGTCGGCCGAAAATGGTGAGAGGAAAAACTTCATTAAGCATGTATGAGTTTTTCGGTTTCGGCGGTGGGAAATGTTCGTTTGTTTGCGTTGAGGATTTCGCGGGTTTGTTTTTGCCTACGGGAAAATCCGGCATAAAAATCTAATTTTTATTATCCACTAAAAAATCGCTTCGGTAAAGTCGGGGGATATAGACGGACAACGTCACCATTAAATCTGCATTTACAAACTTCCCCATTTTTATGCGTTTTTTGCCACAAAATATGCTTTCCATATTTACCATTTTTTTGGCAAATTATCATCGAATTCGATCTGTAAAACTAATATAAGCACTGCCCTAATTTTTGTATGATTAAAAAATGATTAAATATAAAATACCACTTCATTTAACCATTAAATGTTACACTAACATTTCTAACAAATAAAAGCTAAAATTTATTACCCATAACAAGTTTAGAAACACTGTTTCTAAAAAATACTTTTAAAGTGACGATGGCAAAAGATGTTAAGAAGGGTGATTCAATATGTTCATGCATCAAAAATCTCCTTTTCAACCCATAACCAATAACACCTGTCATTTTATACCAATGGTACCTGACAATTCGTCAATTTCTATTTTCCCATAATATGACCAAATCACTGTTTATAAGGAAAATTGGGAAGGTCATAATATCATAATATCATTGGCGACATCAATTAATTTTTACCGTCCACTTTATAACCTCTAATAGATATCTGTTTAATAGAAGAACTGTAGGTATACTTTTTCAGAATTTCTCCATACAGTTGTTTCTGAAACTCAATGTACTTACAAGTTCGACTATTACTTGATTTTGGCAGAATATTTGGAACAACAGTCACAAATACGTTCGCCTGAGTGCTTTCATGTTTTCCTTAGTTTTGGTTAGTTTTGATCAATCATCAACAAAAATTGTCAGAAAACGTGCTTAAATAACTAAAACCTATAAAATCATAAATAATTGAAAAAAATTCAATTTGGATAATTTACGGTACTTCCATGACTTTTTTGGTCGACTACTAAAGTTGCAGATTTTTATATATAAGGTTTTCCAGGTTTGATGGAGATGTTAAAGATGTTCAAAAATCTTCCAGAGGCATTCCGAAAAAAAAAACTGAATTAAAAATCGATTAATTTCTTTCCTTCCACACTTATAAATGTCACTATTGCATTTTCTGATCTGTAAAATGGAAGTTATTTTCTGATTTCATCGGCGATGACCCATCATTACAGTTATAAACGTTTTATATAAAATAATTACGAAACAAAACTTTAAATTTATAATTAAGTATAAATAATTATTCAAAAAAGTCTTAAAAAAAATTATATTTGTTTTTATAAATAATCTAAAGAATTTTTGATTCTTGTCGATCTTAATTTAAATTTTAATCCTATGCAATTGTTTTTGGTTTTATACTCAATTTCCATTTCGCTTTCTGGTTTATTAAACAAATGTTGTGTAAGTCTATCATTCTAATCAAAAGTATGTCTCTATAATCTAAGTTGCCTATGAATAAATACGAAAATAGTTTGGTATACTTGAAATGGTAGTTGCTTTGGTTTTGAAGTAATTTGTAAATAGTTTTTTATGATATATGATTATTATTACGTAGTTTACTCGTAGGCGCTTTCTTTTTAAATGTGAAATCCAATTGCGGAAACGAACTCAGTGGTCTGGCAGTTATCAACTACGAGGCGGTGAAGAAATCCACAAAGAATTCAGTTTCGAGAAACGAGATAGCTAGAAGCTTCAATACCTCATTCTGCGACACTCAGATCGGTAAAGTTTGTTTGCAGGACGTCAAGGCTTTAATCAAAATTGACGAAGAGCTGAGGAACCGGGAAGTTGATCACACTGCTATCCTCGAAATCGATTACAAATACAGAGAAAAGGAAACTAGTTACGGTAAGCTAAGTTGTTTTCCCTTTAACGCGAGATATGCCTATTTCTTTTCATAGCACATAAAAAAAGACTGATTTTTTGCTAAATTGATATATTTTTTTAATAGTTACTTTTAAAGCATTCAGTTATAGTCTATTCATAGATACAAGAAAGTGACCAATTACTTTTGAATGGGATTATCCAAGGGTGGTCATTAACATACAATGCAACAAGATTATTATCTAAAGTTTCGAAATTTAAATTCAGGTAAAATTGTGGTCCGTAACAGAAATTAATTTTATACCTACTACCTGCGTTTAATATTCTTTGGTTTGGTATACTACTTAGTTTAAGTTTATTAGTAATCATTCTTATTTCGTGTGTAGTACAGCGTGTGTTGAATAGTGTGCGAGTCTAGTGTATCTCAGGAGTTGCTCCTGCCCAAATGTAGAAAACGCTATTCTATTGAGACTAAGGACGTTATAAAAAATGTTTATTTGTCTCTCATTGAACGTAGTGCCAGCGAGCAAGCATCTTTAGAAGAAACGGCCAAATTGACGGAAATTCCAACATCAACTGTATGGAAAATTGTGAATAATCCCATTTTAGCGAGGAAAAAAAGAAGCCATGCCGACATTTTCGCGAGTGTAGATGAAAGTGATCAAGATATAATAGTACACAAAATTTAGCAGTTATATGAGGAACAAAGCGTGCCTACATTAGATATATTAATTAGGAAGCTGAAAAAGATGAAACCGATGTTAAATGTGGCAGAACTACCCTATGGAAGTGTATTCAACACATGGGTTTTAGATTGAATAAAATTGACAAAAGGCAAGTTTTAATGGAATCTTTTAGAATTCGGAAATGGCGACTGGAATATTTAGAAAAAATTAGGATTTACAGAGAACAACAAAGGCTAATTATCTACTTGGATGAAACCTGGTTCGACACTTATGATACCCCGGAAAAGGGTTGGGTTGACTCAAGTGATAAGTGTAAAACAAACGCGCTATCAAAAAGAGGTAAAAGAATAACTATTTTGCATGCTGGCTCTAAAGATGGTTGGATTCCAAATTGACTTTCTCTGTCTGCGAAAAATATTAAAGATTCTTCTCTGGATTATCATGAAGACACCACCGCTGATTTATTTGAAAGTTGGTTTAAAAACAAACTAGTTCCAAACATTCCTCCTAAGAGCGTAATTGTAATGGACAATGCAAGTTATCACAGTAGATAGTTGACAAAAACTCCTTCCTCATGTGACACAAAAGCAACAATCCAAAACTACGTGTATAATAACGACATTTATTTTCACGAAGATTATACCAAAAAGGAATTAATTGAAGTTCTACAAAGCTTGAACCTACAAAACGAATAAGTCTATGATAATTGTGCACAAAATCTAGGGCATACAGTTTTAAGGCTTCCACCTTACCACTGTATATTTAATCACATGTTTTGCACCAACTGAAATTTGTCATTCGTCGTAACAATGTTTTTCCCCGTGTCCCGTGTCCAATGTCCAATGTCCTCATACTTATAGAAACCGAAGTTTTTAACATCCCTCCACAAAGTTGGGAAAATTCTGTTAAACATATAGAAAAAGCAGAACAATCGTATATCCATATTGCAAATAATATAGAACAAATAATAATTAGAACAGGCGATGATAGCGATAGTGATACTGATATATTACGCGAATTATTTTTTAGTAATTTGAGTAGGTAATAAAAATAATTTGTAATTTTATTTTAGATTGAAACATAAATACCTACATAAATAAATAAATACTGTTTAGTATCTTTCCAAACAAAACCCCAAATAATTAAATTCTATGCAAAGTACGGACCTTTTCGGCCATATTTAATTCTTACAGCTTGCCCGGGTCTTTACTTAATTCGTATCAGTTAGTCACTTTCTTATATCTATGAACAGACTTTACCTATTTCATTTTAGTTCCAATCTATATTTCTACTGTCTATATCTTTTGTACCGTCGACATTATAAAATGAACCATTCTAGGAAGAGGAAAGTTTGTTTGAATTTACATCCATCATCGAGCTTAAAACATAACGTAACTTTAAGGTTATGCAAAGTTGCGTTGCGATACAACGTAAATTAAGTTAAAATGTAGACAATTAGAGAGGTGGAACTTAGTTTGCATAACTGCTAGATTGGCGTTAGCGAATTTGAATTTGACGCTCTAGATGCAGCACTGCACAAATTTATTGAGTAATAGCGGTAACGCTTCATGCAGTTTCATTTTGCAAATGGCGGCATAACATTTTTACCAAAGAAATTAGCTACATGGCTACATGGCCACTCCGCTTCATTTTCGCAGTCAGGGCACCTGGTGCATCTGCTAAAATTGGTTTACTAGCGACTCTGTGGCGTATTTATGTATTTTAATTCCTTAATTATATGTATGAAAATATGTAAATTTTATACTTTAATTAGTAAATTACATAGAATAGTAATATAGGATTTAATAAACTAAATGACTTTTACAATATCTGAATAATTTTTTTCCCAAAATTTAAGCGATTGTGAGCTATATAAGGGACGTTGTCGATACCGTTCCGTTAGGTAAATTGAGAACTGAGAATTATTGAATAGAGTTTCGATAGCTGGCAATGAACGAACGACTAAACATCAATCTTCGTAATTTTGCAAAAAAACTTCTACATTTTACTAAAATACTATTTACAAACCAAATTGCTCACGTTTCGCCAATCATTCTGTTGACTTCTTTAGGGCTTAAATGAAATTGGGTGGACGGCTATCAATATTGTCTCGAATGATTGTGGGTAGGTAGGTAAAGACCTGAGTGGAGGTTAATGGATTATTTAATGACATAAAGCAAATGAGAAATAAGTTAACAGCGATAAAAAACATTGCTGATACAACAAAAAAGCCAGAGCATAAACAAAAAAGTGTTTGATAACTATATTAGTCAGTCTTTATACATGGAAAATTATGAATTATGAAAGAAATTGTTATAAAAAAAGTGACCCTTGAAGCACTCTTTCACCCAATGAATTTAATTCGTTTTTCACCAATGTTGCCGCTGATATTCTGGTCTCTTTAACTGCCAACCCTGAAGTACAGAGTGAGTGCTTAAATAAAATCCCAAATGTAACTTCATCTTTCTTCTTACACTGGATTGCAGAAAACGATGTTTTGTAATTGCATTGAAAAAATCTAGTTCTTATGACTATGATGACAATAGTATTATTTTGAAGGACATTATGAACCAGATTGTAACACCTCTCACATTTTTATTTAACAAATGTATTGATAGTGGAAGTTTTCCCGCCCCATTTAAGGTCGCGAGGGTGGTTCCAATATTTAAAAAAGGTAACACAAAGTGTCCAAATGATTTCCGACCCATATCAATAGTTCCCATATTTGGTAACATCTTCGAGATATTTTAAAAAATCAATTATCACGATTTTTCCAAAAAACAAAATGCATTTGGGATTCCCAATTTGGTTTTAAGACCGGCTGCTCCACTGTGCAGGCGGTTCGCAGGGTTGTGGGAGACGTGGCGGAGGGCCTGGAAAAGGGGGACCAAGCTGCACTCACGCTATGTGACTTCACTAAGGCTTTCGACTGCGTCTCTCATTACCTGCTTCTGGAGAAGCTCGGCAGATATCGTGCCGTGGTCACCATCAGGATCTTATCCGCTCATATTTAACTGACAGAAGACAGTGTGTCGTCTTTAACAATAACATATCGGAGTTGAGGGTTGTGAGCAGTGACGTGCCTCAGGGCTTTGTCTTGGGCCCGCTACTATTCCCTATTTACATCAATGACTTGTATCATTTTCTGTTCCCCGATAAATGTACACTTTATTCGGACGATACATCGTTTGTGACTTATGGCGATGACTTAATGTTGATAATGTTGAGCGGATGGCGCAACTTGGATCGACCAACAATAACCTTAAACTAAACACAGATAAGACACAACGTCTTGTTTTCTGAACTAATATTAATCTACTGGAGGGCAAGAATGTAGGGCTCTGGGGAGTAACGCTTGACGATAGTTTAAATTTGGAGAAGTTTGGAACTTATGCCACTTTCGGTTTGTATATTTATTATCAATTATTTGCAATATACAAAAACATAGACAGTTTCAGTGAGAACTCCTGTTACCACGACTATTTAGAAATAACAAGCTACTTCGTGCTTCAAAATTCAAATATACCAAAATTCAAAATAATTCACTAAACTTAAACTGGTACAGTAAACTACCAGCTAACGTGGAAGTTCTAAGTAATAGAAAATTACAAAAAAAACATCTTAACCTTTTTTAAAAAGCACTGGTTTTACTCAATCGGGAAATACATGGATACTCCCGATGTTATTGAAGTCAAAGAAGTGTCTGTGCAATGACCTTCTATAATTTTGTTGATGTTGCTTCCTTTGGTTTATTTATAAAAACGTCTTGTTCTTTGTTATCTACACTGTTCCTGTTCTTATGTATTATACACTGTTTTATATAATTTATACACTCTTTATACAATTGATTCATTGTTTTGTTTTAATATGCATATTTTTCTACATATTGTATTCATGACTAGCTATAATTGTATGAACAAAATGTGGTCAATAAATTCTATTCTATGATTGTTTGGTTACTTACAGAATTCTATGGATTCTTGAATTTTTCTTTGCTTGAAGAATTGATTACATGCAAGCATTGTAGTTTTATTCAATAAGATTTGACAAGATTTGATGTCGTAGTCTCAGGCCTATTCATGCTGTAAACTCTAAGTATCTTAAACGAAATTTTGTTTATGACGGATTGAAGGTGTTGAGAGATCTTTGAACAATGTGGTAAATCTACTTTTAACGTTTTCTTAAAAACTTTTGATATGTGGTGAGTGATGTTTTGAATGTAAGGAAGGACAACCGTGGCAAGTGTGGAGTTGTTTTCGGAAGGCATGTAATCAATTTTCTACCAAAGAAGGAACCAAACAAACTTAACCGCGATTTATGTCTACTAAAACAATACATAAGCAGTTACAGAGTAAAATGGGAGCCAATTTCGCTCAAGCTCTGAAGAAGCCAACAAGAGTAAATAACGACCTGATTCAACATTTAGCTAAATTCAAGTATTTTGGGTGTTGGTTTGCTAAATATTTTTACCAGGATCTGGAGGTTAAAGCTTGAAATCAACAGGCCCGTAGCACTTTTCTCAAAATGAAGAAATTCCTTTTTAACAGTGTTTTCTTCTGAATTCTTACATTGGACGGAATCCTGGACACTGAAAGTGACCACAATGAAAAAAATTAAAGCCTTTGAAATATATCGAATGAATGAATATTACAGCGCATAAACCATTAATGATATACTTCATATTGAATTGACAATCTTGGATCAAACATTACTGACATTCAACCTCTTTTAATAAAAAAAAAACATTGTTTAATAACAGCAAGTTTCAACATTATGTTCTCGATATCAAAAAATCTTTATAATAAAATTAAAAAAATAATAAATGTAATATAGCGAAATGCAATGTTGTTAAGTTGATGTGGTACTAACGAATTGTTAACAATTTTAAAAATGATGAATGCTGATTTCAACTAAATAAATGATTGTCAGGAGTAAATGCGTTAAAATCTGAACCAATAATATGGAGAGTTTGTACTGACCACCCACACTAATATTTACTTTAAATGTAATAGCATAATAGTTTGGCACTTAACGTATCGGCAAACATTCGACGCACAAAAAAATACCATCCGCAACAAAATATCATCTATATCAACAGATTATATTCTGTTTGGGACGTATTTATTTGGTAAATTTCAACATTACAGGTGGATTCACGGACTTGCGGTCAAAAGTTTACAGAGTCAACAATTACACCTTCAGTTTTCCGTCATCGCCCTTGCTTACACAATTTTCGGATGTTCCCTTTGACGTCATTTGCAGCCAATTCGTTTCGCCCCAGCGATGTAGGGATCGGAATGTTTGCGAATGTGTCCACGTTCAGTTTGTAAAACTCGGATCTTCGGTTGAGGTCGTTCTGATCGATCAGAGTGAGTATAAATATTTGAAGGTTGCCTTTCGCGAATTGGAAGAGTGTTGCTGAAATTATGAAAGCAGTTTTGGGAGTTCGGAATATACGTAAACAACCCATAAACAAATTATTATTGATAATGAACAGAAAAAATCATTGTGTATTGAAATATGAAGCAAAAACCATTTTAAAATTAATTACAAGTAAGTCCTGTCAATTGCCCCACGATTTGTGAAAAGACGGGTAAAAGAATGTGATATTAAAAAATGCTGTTTGTTATTAATAAGCTATAGAGATATAGATTATTGATTATATTATGTTCCTATGCGACAACAAAATCCTCCCAGGCACTCAATCTGGGTTTCGAGCTCTTCATAGCACTAATTCTGCCTTGCTTCGTGTTACTGATGATTTATCGAGAGCAGCGGATTCTAAATTAAAATCTTGTCTCATACTCTTACTATAAGCAAAGCGTTCGACACATTGGATCATTTCCTTCTCTTAGCTAAACTGCAATTCTTCGGCATTTCATTTTTTAAAAATTTTCTTGTTCAGAGATACTATAGGGTAGGAAATACTCATTCAGATACCATTGCTTTGGAGAGGGGTGTTCCCCAGGGGAGTACTCTGGGACCTATTCTGTTCTCAGTTTATACAGCTGACTTCTCTACTTTTCTTAAATTTTGTAAATCTCATCAATACGCCGATGATACTGTTATATTTATGTTTTGTTGCTAGTGAAGCTTTAAATGCCGCTACTAAAATAAATTTAGATTTAAAAATAATGTCGGAGGTATCTGCGGCTCACAACCTCTTATTGAATCCTAACAAAACGTAGATGTTATTATTTAGAAATAAAAGGGAATATCTTGTAAAAAACTCCTCTTTTAAGATGACGCCAAATGATGATATTATTTCTCCTTCTTCAGACGGGTGTAAAAATTTAGTATTATGGTTTGACGGTGACTTGCTGTTTTCTAAGCATGTGGGCTCAGTGTTTTAAAAATCCTTCTATAAGTGGAAGACATTGTATATTCATAAATAGTTTCTCAGTAAATAAGTGAAACTTAAACTCTGTGATATATTAGTTTTGGTTAGCTATACTTAATCGAGATCAGGAGAGACTCCAACGACTTCAGAAAATATGACCATATTTCACCGTGCCTCTCTGATTCGGGTTGGCTCAAGCTGGAGGACCGATATAAAGTTCAGTTTGCTTTTTTGCTTTTTTTACTAAACTGCAGTAAGACCCCGTCGTACTTGTTTGATAAACTTTGCAGAGGAAATGATATTCATAATCGAGGCACTCATCATTGTTTAAGATATTGCGTTCCTAGACACACTTCGGTAACTTTCCAGAAATCTTTTAGATATAATGCAGTTATGATATGCGTCTATGTCTTGTATTAACGATGTATATACGGGTATGTATTTTGCTGACAATTGTGGTGTTGTATTATTATTTATATTGTAATATTTTGGTTTTCAATAGAGACAGTTTATTATTATTATTAGTATTATAGATGCTTAAGAGAGTGATGTAATTCAATTTAATTCACAGCAATAATTGCTACACAGCAAACCCTATAATTACTATGCTTACACTGTTACATATGCCCCACATCGTTATGGCTAATCTGGCACCTAGGTAAAGTAATACCTGTATGTGCCTAATTGTACGGATTTCTGTCGTCTCAGAAGATTAGATATTAGTGTAAATGACAATAAAGAATATCAAATAATAAAATAACAATCATAATAATAAAAGGCTTGGAAACATTGAAACCCCATCCGAAAAAAAAAAAGAAAAGACATGCCATACCAACATTATAACAAAAAAAAACTTAAATTTTACAATTAAAAAAAAAATCAAATTTTCTGAAATTATAAAAGAAAATAATAATAATAATAATAATAATAATAATAGTGTAAAACATTAAAAATTAATTAATAATTAACTATCCTATGTTTTTTTAAAAGAAATTTTCTTTAAAAAAATAAATCAAAATTTATAATAATGAGCCTTGGCAACTTAGAAAGATAATAGCAGTTTAATGTATTTTCCGAAGTAATGTAGACATAAGGCATATATTTACTGTTTACAAAACTTCTGGATCTCTCTTGGGTCGGTTGTTGTTGAATCGAACTTGCTAATGTTTCGCCAATCATCCTGTTTAACTAAAAGAGTTTCAGTTAAGCTCTGAAGATGTCAACAGCCAACAGTTTCAGCTAAGCTCTGAAGAAGCACACAGGATGATTGGCGAAACCAGAATTCCAAAAGTTTTGTAAATAGTGTTACAGTAGCCTGAGGAAATTTCTTTGAAAAATTAAAGGCATATATTTAAAATGCAAAAATTATCGTCTTATATGTGTTTTACGTGCCAGTTTCAAATTTTATTCTCTTGTATTCAACCTTTACAACTAGAACGACAAAGACATGTTTATATATCGTATTTGTATATATGAAGACAACAAGCTATTCATTCATAATGTTTTTTCCGTTTTGTTTATCAATAGCGAATTACTTTCGAAATTTGATAATGTCAAAAAGGAAATGCTATACAGTGGGCTTAATTCCCAACGGAATAAGCTGGCATTTACACACACCTGATTTAGTAAAAGTCATTGTTACAAAATCAAAGTGTTTCAGAAATCTGTCACTAGAGGGCACTTTACCTAGAACATTTTTTTATTTTCCCTGTATTTTATTTATTTAGACTGATATTGCAAAATAGAACAGGTTGCCTTAAGCAGAATCGCAAATCCGTAAAAATGGTCACTCTTGCTTCAAGTCGATATTCTCGGCCCGAATTTTACCTGTAAATGTGATTTTGCCTAACAGGACTTGAAATTTGAAAAAGGATCGCTTAATCGGGAAATGTATTTGCGATTTTTCCAAGAGGAATTACCACCTTTGCTGCAGTGGAGACAAAACATGTGGTTAATGCAAGATGGTGCTCCACCCCATTTTGTATTAGCTGTACGAACGTATTTAAATCAGGCAGGCCGCCTCGTTCACCAAATCTTTGTTCGATGGACTTCTTTTTTTGGGGGCACTTAAAGTCTTTGGTGTTCGAAACACCTATAACAGACCTCAATGATCAACGACAAAAAATAATATACGGTCGCGAAATCATTAGAAATAAGTTCGGCTTATTTTTTCGTGTTCAACAGCATTTCTTAAAATGTACAAGAAAATGTTTAGAAATAAATGGTGGGCATTTTGAAAATGAATTGTAATTAGCGTTGTATACTGTTTAATTCGGGATTATTATTCATAATTTGTTATTTTCGAAAATGTTAATTGTATTTATGTTACTTAAATTAAACATTTATTATTGTTTTGACTTATGCCATTTTTCGCCTGCAATTTAATAATGCTGTTCTGTAAATTAGAAGTATCCGGGCCGAGAATAAAAAAGTCGATTTGTGGCTAAACGATAAGACTTATCGACTTAAAACCAGAGAGAATTTGGGATTCTGCTTAAGGCAATCTGTCTTACTTTGCAATATCAGCCTAAATAAATAAAATATAATGAAATTAAAAAAAAATGTCATAGGTAAAGTGCCCTCCAGTGACACTTTATTTTAGAACGTCGAACCTTCCCTCCAAGTTTCCGAACTCAATTTCCGAACACCCTGTATAAAAACTTTCAATTTTACTGATTTTACTGTACAAAAAATTAGAAATTTTTTGTATACCGGCGAAACTGAAAGAAATAAGTTAATATAATTATACTTTACCAGGATTTATGAGGTAATTTTCTTTTTCCCTTCTGGCATGCATAGTTAACACTATCGATGCTATTGTGCAAGATTTCGTAACACATCTGACTTCGTTTAAACAAAGCGGAAACGCAGCCGGTCGCTGAGACATCGATTTTGATCCATCAAGCAAAACAGAAAACGCTGCTCTAGAAAATTAATTTGAAACACGAGTTTACGACAAACTATAATTCAAAGTTAGCTTGTGTGAAAGGTACTTCGTTAGGACAAAATTAATGGAGCGATAAAGTATCTTTACGAGGCCGTTACAAATTTAAACGAAACTGAATTTCGACGTTAAAATTATTATACGACTTTCGTACCATGATGCAACCAGGGACATGAGAAGAAATAATGCCGGAAACCAATCTTTGTTGGAAGCGATAGCACGAATGAGTATGTTCTAGTCGAAATTAGGTTATTATGAAATTACAGTAATGTTGTTACTAGATGGGATATATAGAGCCTGTACTGTATGCCGATACTATTAACTTAATTTACTTATAACCTTTAAAGTTCTCCTAACTATAATATAAGAAGGAGATTCAAATTATGCATATTTTAACTAAATGGTGATTTTACAATTTTTGATGATAATAAATTGTGTCACAACACAAATTGCTCTGGTGATGGGTGGCGCTCAAGAAACATAACAATTATCGGAATAATAAATTTTGATGCGCTCACCCACATAGCACGTTACACCTGCAGAGATATACTTGCAACTTCCCGACAAAGTACCAACGCGATACTTGGCCTTCTACCAAATTTAAGCGGCTCTCGGTTTCATAAATTAATGATTTGTCTTGTAAATAGATATATTTTATATTATTGTTCGACAATAAAGCTTATTATTATTATTAGGGGTGCTTTTAGTTCTAAGAGTTTGAAAAATGTCATTTGAACTACCGATCTCTGCAGTAGACAAAATTAAATTTTTTTGTCTTCGACGTTAGGACGCTATTTTCAACAAAGAGCACATTACAAACAATGAGCTACTCTCATGCAGGAAACGTTAGGAAATATCTATTTCTTTATAGCTACGTTTGCGAATAAGCAAGAGCAAAAATAAACTTCTGCTGACTAAGGCTGACCGATAACGCGGAATGGGAAAATTACAATTATGTAGGAGGTGGTGATTTGTGTGCCTCGTAGGCGTGAAATGTTATCTAAAGGCGCGTTTACACGATTCAATTTGCATGATCAACTTGGATGAATTATTGAAATTGGAACACAAACTAGAATCAATATTGAACGAAATTGATCCGGGGTGCTAGAAGCAATAATATTTCTTGGATTCACCAACGTCTTTTTTTTCTGTGTTCCTAGTTTGCTTAAAAGATAGTCTCTAAGTACCGCAATTCCTACACGTGCACGGCGACATTTTTAAATGAACTATTGATACATATAAATCTGTTTTTTTTTGTCAATTGTCGGAATCACTTGATGATACATCCAGGATAATCCCCCAAGTTGAACCATGGAAATGCGCCTTAAAATATTGGGGTGATGAGATAAGCAGTAATTTGTGGTGTTTTTCAGTTTTTGAAGCTGATTATGCTAACCACATATTATAAGATGGTTAAGGATGTTCAAAATATACTGTAATATGTAACGGTCTTACAAATTCAAGGATAAAAGATAATTATGTCAGCTTAGAATTAGATCAGTTTAATTTTAATTTAACAATTTAAAACAAACAATTTAAAACAATTCAAGAAACGCATTAACGAACATAAAAGAGCGTTTAAAAACAATAGTCTAGATTCTAATTATGCTACACACTTAAACACAGCAAAACACATTTTTGACGACAATTCTGATATTTTACATACAGCCCAGAAAAAGTAGAAAATTACATTTATTAGAAGCCATGGAGATTAACAAAAATGAGACATTCAAATGTATTGCTTAAGGATCAATTAGATTTAAATACCTCTCCATTATTAAACTTCAATACAACAACATTAATTAATTTGACACGGTGTTGTCGAAACAATTGCTTTGTAAAAATATATAATTTCGTGAAAATCTGAACTTTTAGTTCTTATTAATTTTCATGAAAATTAATGTTGTCCCCTTCAAAGTAAGATATAATACATTTGAGCCAACATTTTTTTCCAATCCTCGAAGCACGTCTTGCCTTGAGTTCTTCCCACGATTTTTTCTTTATTTCCTCAATCGTTCCAAACCTCTTTTCTTTCATGGGTTTCTTAAGTTTTGGAAACAGGAAAAAGTCGCAGGATGCCATACCCCGTGAATATGGTAACTGAGGCATGATTGTGGTTTTGTTTTTCGCTAAAAAATCCATGAATTTTTTCCCAGAATTCCCGACGTTGTATTCGTATTACTTCTCGCAAACGGCGCATAACTTCAGGGTAATAACTATTTATTGACCTTACCATCTTGTGGTAAGAACTTTTGATGTACTACGCCACGATAATAAATGAAAACAGTAAGCAAATCCTTGATATATGATCGAATTTGACGTGCTTTTTTCGGTCTTGGCGGTCTGGATTCTGCCATTGAGACGACGGCTTTGGTTTGGACGTCACAATTATATACCCATGATACCCACCAGTTATGAATTTTTTGCGCAGGAATATTGACGTCATTTAACAGCTCTTGAGCGATGCTCCTTCGACGGTCCTTTTGCTTAAAATTAAACAGATTCGGAACAAATTTTGCTGCCACACGTTTCATATCCAACACTTCGGAATAAAATGCATGTCAACATTTCAAATGTTTTGTAGCACTGTATTCCATTTTTTACACATTTTTTTGAGTGCATAAATTCGCTGAGCACACAAAACACGTCTAACGCTTCTGTCTCACAAAAAAAGAAAAAGTGAAAATTGACTGAAACTGTGAACATATTGCATTGCATTCAAAACATCACTGACCACATACCAAAGAAAGAAGAAGAAATATAATGTTAAAACCCAATTTACCACTGGTCCAAAAATCTCTCATCTTCGATCCGCCAAAGACAAAATTCCTTTGAGTAACTAGTACTTTACAGCACTCCGCGCATATCGAAGAATACATTGGAGAAGCAGGGCGACAAATATCAACTAGGCTAAAAGAGCCTTAAAACTACGACAAATAAACTCATCAGCAATTTCCGAACGCAATCATAAAACCGAATATCAAATCTTATTTTATCAAACTAACCTTTTTGCACGTAATCAGTTCTTCTACCAAAGAATAATCTCAGAATTAATAGATATTTCTAAACAACCAAACAATCTTAACTGCGATTCGGTTCCTTTTCACCAATATGGGAATCGGTCATCGGAGATAATGTTCATGCCCATCTTTTAGCTTCGCCGGCCTCAGTAGAATGCGAGCCAGTTTCAGTTAAGCTTTGAAGAAGCCAAGGGGGTGATTGACGAAAAGTCAGCAAGTTCGATTTATCCACAACGCAGGGGGGATCCAGAAGATGTGTAAATAGTACCTATTAAAAGATACAATAGGTTGATGAATGATCGCTGCTGATAATTTTAAACGTATTGGTATCTATAAAAATGAAATTAAAAGTCTACGCAATGTGAAAATGTCAATGTCAATTACTAACCCATACTTTGTAATAATCAGCGAAATACGTTTTTGGTAATCAGCATGGTGCCATTCGAAATAAGTATACTGTATCATTCACTAATTTTACACATATTTATGGTGACACTGTTTTATTTTTTTAAACTTCAATCTGACAATTGGTTAGTTGGATGACAACGTGCAAAGTTTCTACGCAAAAACACCTTGGTGTGGCATTATTTTATTCGCGTTCCAGGCGGCGATGAAGAGCACGTGTTCCATTTCCACGGTGTTCACTTTTACGTGGTCGGTTCCAGACAATTCGATAGACCAGTAAGTAGGCAAGAAGTGGAGGATCTGGACAAGACAAATCACCTTCTCAAGAGAAACCTCCTGAATCCGGTGAGGAAGGATACGGTCAGGGTGCCCAAATACGGGGTCGTTGTGATTAGATTCCTAGCGAAAAATCCGGGTAAGAAGTGATATTACATCTTATTAACTTATGCACTTTTTCGTGTGGCATTATAGGAATGTGGATGTTACGTGATGAAAAATCGGTTGGTTGGACGAAAGGTCTCGACACGGTCTTTCAGTTTGGTGATATCGGCGAAATGGTGGCGACCCCATCTAATTTTCCATCTTGTGGAAATTACATCGGACCTGATTTTTTCTTGCTTTAAGGACTACGGATTATGTATGACTTTTTGATTCTTGCCCTATTTATAAATATAGAGTTAAATCGAAAAGATTTTCGATTTGTATATATTATTAATAACAAATGAAGAGAGGATTTTCCTACCACAACATTTATTTTTCTTCATTTTCTTTTTATTTTTTTAATTATCCTTACGGCGAAGTCCTTTATTATTAAAGACACAGAAATGCCGTTTGCACATATTTTTTTCATAAGGATATTGGAAAACATAATAGAAAACATTTCATGGCTACATTAAAAATAATGAAAAAATAAAAATAAGATAATGATACATAGAGAAAATAAATGTTAAATTGGACTATCTTAGGAAGCACCTAAAGCCTTACTTTGGGCAAAAAAAAATCCGCATCTAATTTCTTTTAATAATTTGCAATAAAAAATTATTTTTCTAAGCCCAGTGAATGTATCCGTGTTGTTTTGCAAAAATTTACCGAAAAATTAACGTTCGTAGAAAAAGTATAGGTATGCAACACGTTTAGTAAAGTTTTTTAGTCACTCGTTTATTAAACACATTTGTTGCATAACATAATATTATAAAATCGAAATATCTGTCGTAGTACGTTAGATATGGTAATTTTTTTAATTTTCCCTCGTATCTCAGAATCCGTAGGCACAATTTTTCAAACATGAAAAAGGTAGAGTGAACAATGTTCAAACGGCATCTTCGTATCTTCAATATTAACGGAGTATCCCATAAGGACAGATCGAAAGGACACATTTTTTGCGATTTTTTACAGTGTCATTTATTGAAAACAAGTGACGACATCTAAATAGCATTTTCTAAAAGTTAAGAATTTGAGAATTTCTTTACTGAAGGACATTTTTTCATTTTAAAAATGGGCGATTTGCTTGGATTGACTAAACGCCAAGTAAAACATTTACACAACGTCGTTTGTATAACGTGATATTTCGTGTCGGCGTATCATGAAAATGTAATAAATTACGCCCCAAACTATGTACCTTTAATTTACTATAGTTTAGAAACTGTTTACTCTTCCGTAATAAAACCTGTTGATTTTAGCGCGATTTGTTTTTATTTCGTTTGAGTAGAGACAGAAGATACACACACTGTCCAAATGAATGTATAGAAACAAAATCTACGATTTAAAAGCAGTAAAAATATTGACTACATTTTTGTGACAAAGTTGCATTAATTAATTAATTAAACTTTTTTTTTTAATTTGACATGGGTTTTTGTTTCCCTTTCTAAAAAGGTCTAAATTTAAATATCGTATTTCTGTCTCTTCTGGACAACATTTCTGGAAAAAAAATGTGAATTTGACTTCCTTTATTCTGTTGGTAACAGACTGTATTCCAAATATTGACAGTGTATAAGCACGTATTGAGAAATATCTTCAGATATAATAAGAAAAGAATTTATGAAATTAAATTTCAAACTTATTTAACTTTTTATTTGAATCGCCGTATTAACCCTAGAAAATCACAAACACGAATATTTGTTTTCTGTGAAATAAAAAAAATTAATGAATAAAGCTTTTGCAAAAAATGATAAGTGCTATGTTCAAGAAAAAATAGTTAACTTAATTTTTGAAAAAATCAAATCAAATTTAAGGGAAAAGTTTCCATATATTGCAAAGAAAATTGCACGGCGAATGTTACTATCTCAAAAAACGCGCAGGATTTTGAGGATGCCCATTTGTTAAAGAGTGACGACTTGTTAATATAGAGTGTTACTTAATAAGTATCCAATATTGCAAAGTGTGATTTACTAATTTTTTTTAAGTTACAATGTTACTATAAACGTGTGATCTGAATTGCTACTTTTTGAGACAAAGAATGAAAAAGTTTAATTTTAATTTATGTTTTTTTCTAAACAATTTTCTAAATAATGCCCATTTCTGAAGGAAAATTGGTGTCTGAAGGGTTTTTGGGATGAGAAATTTGAATTTGTTCCTAATCTATGAAAATATAAAAATTTTATTGACATTTTATCGTCAAAATTCCCTGTGTAGACATATTCATTTTTTTATCGTTTGGTATTTTATTAAATTTTTAATTTTCATTCATAAAAACTATGCAGAAAGAATGTCTGCGGTCTCGTTCGATATCCATACAGCGTTAAGCTCTGAGATATTGAATTGTTACCTAAAAATTCGAATAACTTGGGAAAAAGTCTCGAATTTCGACCGTTCAAATTAGAAATCGTCTGTGAAAGACATATTAACAATGCGTACTGATTATTATTGATGGAGAAACGCCAAACAATCACCGACCGTGGATCGTTATTATTGACTTGATTGGATCCGACAAAAACTGAATATCGCTGATACAGATGTGGCAATTTAAAGCAAAACGAAGAATGTGTTGCAGTCCACTAGTTAACTAAGTGCGAGTCTGCATCACCACGTACGTCCGCAGTGTTTATTAATAAACGCATTTTCATGGAAATAGTTTGGAAGATATTTAACAGGTTAGTAGGTTATTCTAAATACGTAACCAATGGCCGAATAATATTTAATTATCGTCTTTTTTTCTAATAAAATATTGAATAGAAAATATAATGAAATTAGTTTTAAAAAGGACAAAACTTATTCCACCATTTACTTAAAAAATAATAATTTAACCATAGGTTTGTCTAGAAATTTATTGCCGCAGATATTTTATTCATTGGAAAAATTTATAACATAATTAAATCGTTAAGGCGGCATTTTAGTAAAAAAGTCGACATAATGAATTGAAACATTTCTTTGATATTATTGCTTGATAAGTAAACATGTAATATTAATATGTAATAAGTTTAATGTGACGTCATAGGGACAACACTTGCGACGTCTCCAAAAGTGCAAAGTCAATATACATAATTTCGAATAAATTTACGTTTTCTCTTTGGACCCTTCACAGCTTTATCTTTGCAGCAATTGCGCTAAGAGGTTGCGAAAATTCACATTTTTAGAAGCATTTAATGGAATCAATGCTCCTCAGCTATTTGCTTCATTAGCAAAATATTGAACCAATAACATAATTGGTATATTCAAAGGCTCCTACGAGGTTATATACAAAGGTTTAAGCATTTATATTCCGAAGAATTCGAAATTTTGAACAAATTTTTATGTTAACAAAAATGGTTCTAACCTGTAATCTCTATCAGTATAGTTCAAACTTATCGTAAAATTGCAAGTTAATTTACATTCGTGTCACATCTTGGAAAAACATTTTTTTTGTACATTTTTCTTGTTGTTAATTACTTTTTCTTAATATTATATATCGATCCCAGGAGTATTTCTAACAGGAAGACAAAGATGACTATACCAAGACGTCCATCTGAATAAAGAACAGTTTCGTTATTGTTATTATTTATTATTAGTACTATCACAAGTAACCTGATCAAAATAATCCTTTCCAGACGTCTACATTTTATAAAGGGTGTCTTAGAAACAAGCACCACATGCTTCGCCGTAAATTGACATTTCCTTACCAGGAAATCTTTTGAGATTTCTAATTGTAAAAGCGCTCATCTTAGGCAAACACAAAGACACGTTTACGACCTTTTACGAGCAAATGTTTCAATTTCCCTTAACGCACTATGCAAGGTTTGCATTTTCGAACAATACGTTTCGGTCTTAAGGAAAATAGAATTAAAATCTGCGCGTACTCTCAGGAAACGATATTTTCTACCACGTGACGAAACGCAGCTATTTTTATCCTAATGTCAAACTCATTTTAATTAACCGATATGGAAAAGGCCTCTTGGCAGGCAATTGTTGGAATTGTAACTTCGTTAAACCCATTTAGCATTACTAAACAAATCGTTTATGAAATTATCGTCGGAAAATTGATTTCATTTTCCTGCGCGTCCAGTACACTTACTGTGCGAAAAGCGGAGTAGAATAAGCCAATTATTACAAACAAACTCGTTTATTCGACAGGCAAAGTTGAATTATCGGACTCTCTTCAATTGAAAAGTTGTAATAAATTCTCTGGCTGTATCACTTGTTGCGTTACTCATAAGATAAACTTCAAATTAAACACTAAGACAATAAAAATAAATAATTTTTTACGAGGTCGTAATAAATGACAGAAAAATGTGTTAAATTTTTATATGAATATTAATCATGATATTCTTGAACTTTTTGAGAGACACGAAGTAGGTTCAATTAGCAAACTAGCGATTAAAATAGAAAAATAAACTTTTCAAACCAAATTTTTGCAAATCTTTTTTAGTTCCTGTACAAGATGAAGCAAAAATTAAAAAAAACAACCGAAATATTCTCATATTCGGCTTTTTAACAAACTAAATCTAAACTCTAGATTAAATAATGTTCAAGACATTTTCGGAGCTTTTTTAATACACATTTTGTAACCTATAAATATCTCATTTCACTAAATGCGTCATTTTATAATCGTTAAAAATTTCATATTAACCACGTTTAATATATTTACATAACATTCTTGCTTATTGACCTAAGAACAAACTTCTGCAGCATCGCATCGAGTTTTACCGATGTTTGGAAATGACACATTCATTTTTTTGTAAATCTTAATAAGCATGTCTTATCAGCTAATATTTTAAGCCACTTGGTATCTTTAATAATAAAAAAATTAGCAATAGCTCTCACTTAATTTGGTACACCGTATATACCTTTCACTTGACAACTTTCTGCTGTTTTGTTTATCAAAGCAAAAGCGGCTCTCATTCCATTGCGTCGAAAATCCCCATCGTCGGCACCGAAGTGTTTGATTATTTTATACCGAAACTCCATTAACCAAATTCGAAATTTGCTCTGATAAAAAAAGCCAAGTACGCCATCCGACAACGTCATTTTTTATTTATATACCCAGTCTCGTAATGGATATCCTAAAATAGCTTTTTTCGTTTTTTATATCATCTCAAATTTGAATGCCAAAAATGAAACTGTAATCCTGACCGTTTAGTAGGAAGTAAACTTTCAGAATATGGTGTAACGGTTGTGATGCGATGGGTGAACTCAACGTCTTGGCAAGATATGGTAAATATGCTTTAACTGCGCTTAGTTACATGACCGTCGAAAGCCTTTGAATATAGATCAGCAAGTTGATAAACATTTTAATTTAGCCAAAATGAATTTGGTTTCAAAGGTTTGTACCCTAATCTAATACTCGTTAATTGGTGCTACCATGACCATATTGTGAGATTCGAATAGACAACAACAGCTTTCCATTTAGCACTTGATTATTTAACATAGATAGAGTGTAAAAATCCATTTACTATTGCAAATTTTCATCATTGATTTTCCACTAGTATAACAAGGCTAAATAAAAGTCAGATACCAAGGACAATTGAACCGGAGGCCGGAAAATGTTACTACTATCAATAACAACTTCACCGTTCTCCAATCATATCTGCTTCATGTCATTTTTGTTTTTTTTTACCTTTTTGAGTCTACTTAAATTTCTTTTTTGTTGTTCTATGATCGTATCTGTCAATTCATTGACGCCATTTGTATAACAAATAAACTTATTATTGAAAATTCAGAAATATATGGAGATCGAGCTGTAATTGTGGTTTTATGTAAAACACTATATCCGGAAAGCTAATTTGCTTAAGCCAATCCAATTAAAAGAAACACGACCTCCACCTGGTCGCATGGAACTTGATCTGCCTCAAGTTCGTGACATAATGGTGTAAATGAGTAGTTAATTGTCTTTGTTTTGTGCATCGATCCAAGCTCTTGGCGATGTAAGCTTTAGCTTTAGTTTAAGGTCCACACAGGCAACTTTAACACGAATTGTTGACGTGCCGGTAAGTTTAAAAATATTTACTTCGAAAGGTAAACAGTGTTTTCTGGATTAGAAGGGTTCGGTATGTCTCGCGTAATATTTTCCGAGCAGTGAATTAAAAAAGTGCATATCCATTACTTCAACTCTCTGTATTATTTTTTTTCTCCACAATCACACACATTAACACGCTCTAGTAACACACTATGAACCCTAGATTATACAGTGTATCGCATTTAAGATGCAGGCAGCATATTTGAATCATTACTGATTTGAAGTTTAAATAGTTCACATTTTTTAACTCAATCAACTGCAGTTTAAGTTTTGAACGCCGCCTACTAAACAAATAGGGTCAAATTTTGATATTGTGCTTCGCTTTAGAAGTATCGGAAAATATACACCAACATACCAATTTTTTTCCATTACATTTTTGTCGGTCAATTCACAAAATGATTAAAAGCGTGTTTGATGGGAACACGTTGCGGATGTTTCCTATTAAGCTCCGCAGCAGCTTCTTTGCTACTATGATCAAAATCACCAAACAATCGGATTATCTCAATTTATTACTAAATCAATGTAATAAAATGAAATTTTAATCTTTTTGACATTAATGATTTTACAAGTGTGAAATTGTTACTTTCCATCCCACACAATTGGTCCCTAAATTTGCAACTTAATACAGTCAAGTGTAATTTTGCCACCAATAGTGAAACTCTGAAATATGACTATCATCTTTTTCATACAACTCTTTCCCCTTCTAACACTTTTTGTGACTTGGGAGTAATATTCAACTCGAAATTACCCTTTGTTCCTCATGTTAATAATGTACTGGCAGAAGCCTCAAAAAGCTGCGTATTTTTCGTACGTTGCACCAGAGACTTTCAAAATACAGAAATGATAAAAATATTATATAACTCATACGTTAGGTCAAAGTTGAAGTATGTATCAGTAGTTTGGTCTCATGGGTCAATTGTCACATTAACAGCGTGGAAAAAATTCAGCGTAAGTTTTTGAAGTATGTATGGTATAAGTTGGACTAAGTATATCCCCACATACATTATTATTTGGTTTTGCGTCTCTTAGTGATCTGACTTTATTTAAAATTTCAAATAACTTGTTTAATTGTACTGACCTATTACATAGATTAAATTTTCTGGTTCCCCGTATTCACTCTAGACTAGAACTAATATTTTAAAATTTTCACTACTACTCACTACTTTCTCCATGCGCTCCAAGTACAATGGTCGACACGATTTGGACTTGCAATTTATTACTAAGGTAAAAAAGTATAATGCCCCATTAACTATAATTATTAATTTCAGGATTTTCCCATTCTCACGTTTTTACATTAGAGTAAATGTTTATGTTATGTCTCTCTAACTATTTAAATAAATAAATAAAAAAATAAAATATACAATTTTGAGTAGTACCAAAGTAACGAATAAACTAAAAATTCGAATTTTCTCATAAAATTTGGTATGTGAGATTACACTAACATTCGGAACAATTTTCTCAAATAACTTTTTCTCGTATTCCCTGGTATATTTGCATTTAAGTTTTAATTCAATATGTCAGAAAATGGGAACCCTCAACCTGTATGACTACGCAAAACTTCAAATCTGCATTTATTTAGGCAATCAAAATATAGAGGTGCCTGAGCACCGTATTAGGAATATATAAGTGATAAACAGACGAAATATATAATTGAATACAATAAGAAAAATATTTAAAAATGTTTAAACAATTAATATCTGTGCTTGGTTATAATTGCATAATTTGCTAATATTTGTTTGTTTTTAACGCTAAGATTTCGCTTCGAAAATGAAAAAGATTTTGACCGATACGGTTCAGTTAATATCAGCTGTAACCAAATATTTAGGTGAATTTTTAAATAAATTTCTTTGATTTTGAAAAATTTGTATATAATCAATCGATAAATATTTCAGAATATATTTTAGCGTTTCTGGTGGAAAGTATTTGATAGCGTGCTCATTATAATATAATTAGCCTCGAATCGCTTTACTTACAAATCAAATAAGAGTGCAACCGAGTTTGAGACAAGTTAAACATTTTCGTCAGCTTTTGCTACTTATGTTATATTCGTATTTTTGAACCTTTTACAAATTGCACCAAAAATATAGAAAAATAGATTTTTTATACAAAAGGCCAACACAAGTGATGTGAAGTTTTCAAGCGGTATACATAACATTTGTCTGTATTCACTTATATTTTTTCTACAATAGAAAGAGAAAGAACATCTATCTTTATTTGTTATGTTGTAAAGTTATTGTCATTAAAAAGAAACTCAGACTTCAAGTCAAGAAACTAGACTTAAGGAACAAACAGTAATCATTTTTGAAAGTTTAATTTTACTTACGATACACGGTGTCCCTGTCATTGTCACTCGGATACGCTATGGGACAGAAAATATGGAAAATTATCTTTTTCCGTACGCCCATGCTTTCCGTTTTTATCGAATTACAGTGGATTCCGTCTAGACAAATTAACCCTAATTTCAGAATTTCAAACTTTTTTCCAATATGGTGGAACATTATATCGGCGATATAGCCAAATAAAAAAACCCTTTAATTTATACAGAAATTAAAGGGAAAAAGATATTCTTGCACGGAACTTAGTTGAATGTGCAAGTAATCAGATTATATTGATACGATTACCGGCGAAAATGAAGGCGTAGGCGGTTTAATCAAATAAAACTTCATTTTTCAGATAAAATGTCGAACAAATTGTACTTTTGGGACGACGGCAAGGACGATATTGAAAGAAATAAAGCCGAGGGCCCTAAATTGATCCAACAGAATGCAGGAAACGACGATAGCAAAAGGGTTAGTTATCGACCACCTGTGGCGGAGGAAGACGATAGAGGAGGATGGGGAAATAAGCTTGACTTCTTAATGTCTTGTATTAGCCTGTCGGTGGGTCTCGGAAACGTTTGGCGGTTTCCTTATTTATGCTATAAAAATGGCGGAGGTAGGGAAATTGTCCGTTAAGCAAACGCAGTAATATCGAACGGAATCGCGGGATTTCCCGGTTATTTCAAATGTTTCGCAAATTGCAAATATTTGACTAACAACTTTTGTGGATAAACAAAAATTGTGGGCTTATTTCGAAGGTCCATAGTAGCAAAACTAAAAAAGATATAAATAAAATATTATGAATAGGAATTTCGGTGTATGAATAAGCTTTGACCCCAAAATTTTACAGCTTTTAAGTATTGATTTCACGAAAACGTTCTATAATTTCAATTATGCGCAAATCAAGCGTCCGGAATGTATCAGCTTTGTTATCCACCATCTATAGCAACTTCGGGTATTTCCGAAACGTCAGTTGCGTATTTGGGAGCGATCGGACGATTTCTGATATTTTTAGCCGTTTTTGTTGCACTGCAGTAGTCTAAGAAGTTCTCCACAATGTGTATAAGAGAGAAATAAAAAAAGGCACCCTTTATACAGCTTTCTTAAGTTTTACATTCTAATGGTGATAGTAACAAGTATAAGTTTCGTTTATAAAGTTTGATTTTAGTTCATTTATGTTCGCACACTTTCTTTATTTACTTTTTTTTGTATTTATTCCCAGTAGCTTAATAAATCAAACTATTAACTATTATTAAGTAAAAATATAAATGTTTGGATTCTTGCAAGAAGGTACGAATACATTCATTAAGTGAAGTGTGACGTGACCTTAACTCTTCCGTAGCTAAAAGTTACCGATCAGTGAGCGTGACTAAAGTATCGGAAACGTTCGAGGTGGCTCGCGACCATGGCTAATGAATCTTAAAGTGACAGTTTCCACATAATTGAATATTTCAAACAAGTGAGGAGAAAAATAACCCTTTCATTCTATTTGCATAATTTAAGCTCTGTTTGGATATAAGTTTTACTAAAATATTTATGGTTACTTTTTCCAAAACGTCTGGACTCTTCGTGCTTCGGTTTTTTCTGAGTCGAACTTGCTGACGCAGTTTCAGTCAAGCTCTGAAGAAGCCAACAGGATTATTGGCGAAAAGTTCGACTCAGCAAAAACCGACGCCGGAAGAATCCAGAAGTTTTGTAAAAAATATTACAGTAGCCTGTGGAAGTTTCTTTGAAAAAAAAAATGGTTGCTTAGTACGGGAAATGGAAACACGGAAGATTTTATTTTGGAAGATTTATTATTTAGATATCAGTAATCAATTAAAGTTTCAATTAAATATATGAATTATACACCGCGTTTCTGTAGAAAAGTGAAATGTGGTTTAAAGTTTGGCAACCACTGTGTACTTCTTTATGAAATTTGGTAACCTCCAAACTTCTCCATTTCGAAACGTCATTTTGTGTATATTCCTTTCAGGAGCCTTTTTAATAACTTATTCGATATCGATGATATTCTGCGGAATTCCGTTGTTCTTTCAAGAAGTCGCGATCGGACAGTACTTGGGATCAGGTGGGATGACGTTCGTGGGTCAACTGTGTCCCATTTTGAAGGGTGTCGGATTCGCAACCATGACAATAGTGTTCCTCCTGGACGTGTATTATTGTATTATTATTGCGTGGACATTGTTTTATATAATCAGCACGTTTTCTGCGTTACCAAAACTTCCGTGGGCAGGATGCGGTGAGGATTTTTTTCAGCTGATACGTTGAGCCTGAAAAGTTTTTTGTTTCCAGAAAACTGGTGGAATACCGAACAGTGTTATTCAAGTCTTCACAATATCAGCGAAAAAGTGAATAAGAGTTCGTCCCCAGTCGAAGAATTTTTCGAGTAAGTTTACACCAAATTGTACCTAAACGGACTGAATATTTATTTTAATTTAATGTACAATGTACAAGTATAATGATAAGGATAAGGAAAAAATGGCGTTGAAATTTGCCAGATAGCAAAAGATTTCTACAGACTAAGAACTCACCCTTGCAGCTGAATTTCTATTCAAATATGGTAATTTTAAAAATAAATTGTAATTAGCTCGTTATGCTGGTTCTAATAATTTGATAGTATCTCGGATAGGTCGATTCGGACTTTGATGGTGAAAACAAATGTCAATTTATACCTGAATAATCATGGTTTTTAAATGATATTATAAACATGCTGTAATTAAATACGTTTTTTTTTAACCTTTTGAAGAATTTTAAAATTTAGATATAGCTTCAGTTTTGTTTAAAAATGTGAGCGTGACTAACTAAACCAGTCAAAAGTTTTAGAATATGGTAAAATTGAAAATACTCGGTTCAATAAGGTGCACGATTCGTGACTCATTATACTCATTAACTGTTTTTTATTTATAGTGGGATCCAGGGATCTTTCTTAACACTAAAATACGTTAGAGGAAAACTAAGAAAATTTCATCACGACGTAAAGTTGGCAAAACTTTTTGTTTAAAAAAAGAAAAACAAATATATTTCCATTGTATTTTCACAAAATACCTTTAATAATACTAATAAGTTATAACCACGGTACTCCCTGCACGATAAGTGGACGGGATTTAGAAAAAGCATTTTTTTGTGTGAGAATCGTATTAATTTACCTACTTTAAAAACTGTCTGTTAATGGGAACAGTTGAAATAAAATATCTTACTTATGAAATGTTCCACAGATGAATATGGCGTGATTTGAAATTTACAAAATTTATAGGCGAAAAGTGCTCGGAATGACAAATCCAAATCCCCTGGATATACAATGGGGACTTTTCGTATGTCTGCTCATCGGATGGTTGCTGGTTTACTTTGTTGTACGAAAAGGATTGCACCAGAGTGGAAAGGTACGTAATAATGTCCGCCAGAATGGTACAGTGTGCTTATCAAAAGTTTACGTCAAAAAACTTGAATATTTTGGCAATAACTATATTATATATAACTATATCATATTTAACTATATGAAATGTGATTGTTGCGTTTAACATTTTTAATAGCTTTACTCAGAATGTTACATAACATAATAAGCCTTTTCTTTTGCCATTTTAAATTTGAAAGCTTTGTTTACAATATACAGGATGTCAAATGTCAAATGTATATTTATTAATATCTCCGGTATATTTCGAGATATCTTCTTAAATTCTAGTGCATCCTTATCTAGACACAGATCCTGTCTATTTTTTAGCAAAAACCTGCAAATAGTAATTAAAAAAATGTTTGTTTAATATTTACGTCTCACCAAATTTTACTTTCAAGATTCTTTTACCATATTTTTTTTTTTTTATTTTTATGTGTTACAATTTTTTAATGATTAGCAGATTTTTTGAAAGAAAAAACACAAATTTATACCATTTTAACTTTTGTTTAGTTTAATAAAAATACATAACATGCAACGAATGCTTGAAAAATCTTATTGGAAATGAAAATTTGTGTTACAATTATTCTAATAAAAGAAGTTGTTAATTAATATGCATTTTAAAAATCAACATTGACATTGACCTATTTTTTAGATACTGTATTTATAAGTTGGGATTTAAAGGGATATGGGAGGATCTTATGCCAGTGTGTTGAGCTTGTCTCTGAGCTTGCCTATAAGCTCAGATCAGTTTTTGACTAAGCTGTCTAAAGTATCGATTTTTGTAAAATTCTCTCAAAAAATGAAAAGTTTTTAATTATTCCTAGTAGTGCAATCGAGCTTTTAAAAACCTGCTTAAATCTTCCAAGAAGAAATAGTGAAATTTTTCCCGAATCTCCTAGAAATTATTATTTCACACGAAAAGACTCTGATCTTTTTTTTTCAAACAAATCATTGTACACTTAGCTGGGTTTCAAAGCATATCTAATACCTTTTTACGTACATATAAATATTTTGGGTCTATGTGATTGATGATGATTGAATATAATTTTGTTTGCTCCAAATTTCAATTAATAATTATGAGAATTTTGAAAGGGAATAATAAATATTGTTTTAGGAGTGAATACAATAAATCAAATAACAATAATTTATATTATTTGGTTTCGTATTGTCTCCTCTTCAATGTTAGATTTACGATTTTTTATCATTTAGCCGGCAGAGGAAATAATTAATAGTAAATATACTCAGTAATTCGTTTCGAAAACTGCATTAGCTTTGTTTTAAATTCGAAATCGATTTATATAATAATTGATGCTGGCTCGAACAGAAATAAAAGCAATGCAATGAGCGCGTTCGAAGTTAAACACAAATGCTCATTATACAAATGACGAGTTCGAGAAAAAGATAAAATAAATTATAAGAATGCAATGGAAAGCAATCACACAATGGATTGGATTTTTTTGTCGATAAATGTTTTTTAAAAGTCATCCAACAATACGAATATATTTAAGAGCTGCAAAATAAACGTCTTTGTACTCTGTACAGTTGTCCTTTAGCAAAAAAGTGGAGGTTCACTCAAAATTTTAAATATTCTCTGACATGTTTTTTTATACTCTATGTGAAGTTGTAACAATTCTTTTTGGTTCGTTTTTTTTTTGGAAAATTTTGTGAAAAGATCAGGTTGCACCATAGAAGTTTTCTTTTCAAAAATATTTTCACAGCGAGTAGGGCACTGATTAATTAATTATGATTTGCGGCTTTGTTATATTTCTGGTGAAGTATGACTTGTAATTTAACTTATTAAAACTGATAACGTAATGAGAAATGCAATTTGTAGACTAATTAATAAATTATTTGTGTGCCATTTTGCAGCGAAAGCAGTCTCCTCAGATAGAAAATGATATTTAACGCGTTCTAGGTAATTTGGTTCTCTGCGCTATTCCCCTACGTAATATTGCTCATCATGCTCGTGCGGGCTGTGACTCTTGAGGGCGCAGGCGATGGTCTGCTTTATTACGTAACGCCCCGTTGGGAGGTTTTATCAACTCCAGGGCCGTGGATGGACGGGGCATCGCAAATATTCTTTGCTTACAGCATCGGATGCGGCGCATTGCCTGCTCTTGGATCTTACAATAAATTCCATCACAATTCGTATAAGTGAGTGCGGATTTGAATCGACACCTTAATCAATTTTTACCACATTTTTGCAATGAAACTAATGAATTGCATAAAAGCAGCAAAATTTACCAACACTAGTCAAGCAAGCGTATATTTAATAACACAGGGCAGCTGTTACAAATTTAAATCAAGAATTTAATATGCAAACTGACTCGGCGACTGTCTAATAGCTTATGAAGTCCCTAGGATTATTTCAAATTAGTTACAAAAGAGAAATAAGGGCAACAAAAATTTAAATAATGCTGACATATTATTTCAACGGATTAAAATTATCATTTATCCAATAGTAAAAAAGAAGAATAAGAATTAGAATCAAATAAATAAAGATAGGGTGTGCAATTAAGTCGGCACCATATGGGAAACTTAGCTTATTTATTCTTTATAAAAAGTTCTCCATGGTCTGAAACCTGAAATATGTACAACTATAGCTACGTATACAAATTTTGTATGTGATGGTTCTATTTCAAGTCTTACACCAAAATATAACCTTTTGTATGTGAAGAATAAAAAAGTTTCCATATAGTGCCCACTTGCTTAGATTGTCGTATTTCGTCCAGAATTTGGGTTAACATTTTTTTTCGCACATTTTGGAGACATCCTGGTTATAATCAAAATGTGTTTCGTTTAATTGTCCTGTTTGTTTTTCTATATAACAGATACATTAAATTGAAATCTGTGATTTATTACCTACTTAGGTACGGAAGCCTCATAAAAATATTATTTTTTTTTCTGAAAATGTTTTAGAGACGCGATAATTACCTGCATCATCAACACGTTAACATCGGTCCTTGCCGGAATAGTTACATTCTCCATCCTTGGCCATTTAGCACACGAGCAACACTCGGATGTGGGAGATGTGGTTAAGAGTGGCCCCGGGCTTGTTTTTTTAACCTACCCGGAAGTAGTCCTTAAATTACCCGGATCGCCGTTCTGGGCAGCGACGTTTTTCATCATGCTGGTGGTAAGAGATTTTTCAACTTTTTCCTTCGAGAATTTGCTGCGGTTGTATTTTATTAGAAGAAGAATTCAAAAATTTAAAATGTTCAATTATGAAATATGACCCACAGCGTTATATATAAAATCTGTTCTTATTTCTCTACGGTGAATTTTATTTCTTCCATAATCTTTTTTATGTTTGCTCTTTCTGCCTATTATTATTAGGTACATTTTTAAATAGAATAATGGTGAAGGAGTAGTAATAACAATATTATTAATAAGGTTCATTAGAAAAATATATACAAGAATGATATTGCAAACAAATAAAATGCATGAGTGTGGTATTTTTCTAAAAATAGAAGGATATTCATTCATCTGAAGCGAATTTGTAATTAATTAATTAATAATAATAACAGTAATAATCTATTAGGAAACAAGAGGACTAATTTCACCTTAGGCTTTTATTTGTGTGCACAGAAAAGTACCAATTTCCTCACGAGAACAAACTTTTAAAAACCATGCTACCACATTTTCATTCCAACTAAATTACCACTTTATTGACTGATTTTAGAATGTAGGACGTCGGGTTTTCATTTTTGTGCCATCATTTTATAACAAAATACCTGCCTTTTATCTATCTCACCACTTATAAGATAGGAGTCCTTTGAATAAAGCTAAAAACGATAATCTTTCATACTAGGAATAAGTAAAATAAATTCACGGTATTGTGTCAGAATAGATGGTATAGTTCGAAGAAGTAAAAAAGTAAAAAAAATCAATTTTAGAGGTTTTAATTGTTATTACTTTTGGTAATTATTTGTTATTCAAATTCAAATTATAAAAAGTGGATCTGGCATTACTATTTTTTAAAATGGGGAGGTTATATTATATAATCTAAGATCGTTTTCCTTCTTATTTTGTGCTGTGGTTGGATATCTAGCATTGTAACATTAATACTAAAAAGTGTAATTTTGACTTTGAGAATTCTTTTTAACATATTCCACCTGAACAATAACCAAATATCCACCAACCCATTTCTATATGATTTTTCTTTTTGCCGGTTCCGGATATTTTGAAAATTATCTCCAGTCCAACCCTCAAAGCTCAAAAAAAAAATTAGTGATTGATAATTTTGCTGACAGGTGTATGGTATAGTAAGTATAGCCAAAACCGGTCTTATCATGCAGGTCGGATAACAATAAAGTTTCACTTTTGTTTTTCTTTCATCTTGTTTAATTGTACCCTCTAAACAAAATATGAAAATAAAAATCTTATAATTTTAAACGATTTTATTATTTTGCATGCTGGGCATTCAACAGGATTTATTGCAGGTGCAAGATAATTTTTTTCTTCCACAACAAAAATTTGGACTATTCTGATAATATGAACTGTGAAATATTTTTTGATTTAATTGTATTTGACAAAGCAGTCTGTCATTCTTACGAAATTTGTTGAAATTGATTCTATCAACGTTTAAGATGAAATGTTGTGTATACATGGTCATCAGGCTCTACATCATATTACGACAAACATGCTGGTGATGGTTTTAAATGAGTGCAAGTTCAAATAGTTTGGTAAAATGCTTTGCATCACACTAGGCACCACTAGTACTGCAATAAATTCATGGAACATACCAGAAAAAATAATAAGGGACTGGCAGGATCGACAAGTACTGGATGTTGAAGTAGCATTGATGATCATTGTTCCCTTCGAGGACAACTTAGAAGACGACGATTCTAAAAGGGACGACGAGAGTTTTCTTTGTTTTTTCTATAACAATTTTTTCGTTTACAGTTTTTAGTATTTTTAGCATAATACTTTGATTTTTTATATATAAATTGCTGGACAGTCCTTAAACTGACTTTCACTGTTTCCACTACCGCTGCATGGTTATCCCAATTAAATACCAATGATTTTAGATAGTTGCTAAAATTAATTGAACTATTTAGTATTACTTCTTACAAAACTTTTGGATTCAGTACGTCTGTGTGCGTAGGTTTTCTGTGAACACAATGACCCAATGTTAGGTGTGATTTTTCATTGATGAGAATGTCTAAGAATGGAAGGTTATTATTAGTTTCCAACTCAATAATAATAATAAAATAATCCTGGTTTGTAAATCATTGGGAGTCCATAGAGACGAGGAAGGAATTTTAGAATCATGAGGGGCGATAGATTTTTGCACGGAGAAGAGAAGAAATCTTAACAATTGATTTAAAGTTGTGATCCATAGATGACGTAGGATCTTTTTTAAGTTGACGATATGATCCGTCCGTAAGAATATCTTGAATCTTTTCCTAATATTCATTTGTGTTCATGACCACCGGATGGGGACAAGATGAAAGCCATTTCAAGATGTAGAGACACAAGAGCCTTAACGATTTAGTCTATTTCATTACGGGTATGATGAATTCTTTCTCGAAGTAAAGCGAAACTAGATTTTCGAAGAATTTTATAAGCGGATGAGGTTTTGACGTGATGGGATATTTTAAGAAAATCGGGTATAACGTTATGGTCTCTACAACGTAACAAAAAGGTCAGTGTACAATATGGGAATCAGTCATCCGAGACGATATTTATGTCCCTCGTTTAGCTCCGCCCCCCTTAAACAATATATAAGCAGCTGCAGAGTAAAATTCGAGCCAATTTCAGTCAAGTTCTGAATAAGCCAACAGAATGTTTAGCGAAACATTAGCAAATTCGACACAGGAAAAAGGCAACACAGAAGGAATAAAGAAATTTTGTAAAAAGTATTACAGTAGTCTGTGGAAGTTTCTTTATAAAACTATTTAGTATTGTCAAAAATAAAAATATATTTTGCAGAACAACACTAAACGTAAAATAATTAAACCATTTTCCTTTTCTTCCGATATATATGGAATTGCACAATATTTTGGTTTTACCTGCATGATAAGATTGGATTTAACTACAATTGACTCATTGGAAATAAATCAAGCTCCAAGGAAATTATAAGTGAAAACTTAGTTATTTTTATTTCTTAATTTATTATTATTCGAAAAGTCAAGTTTAAATAGCATATAATTTAAAACTCCAGTAAAATAAGAAATAAAAAGGTTTTTTTAAGAAGTTAAATTGGGCAGAAAGCTGAAATCTTAATGTGCCAAAAGAGAAAAAATAATATGATTTTATGAAAGTGGTGATATCGTCGGAAAAAACTTCGACCTTCAAATTTTCTCTTCATTAACGGACCCTGTAGCCCGCACTACGTAACATATTTTTCACAAACGATTTTCCCCTCGCATCCTGCTACATTTTTTATGAATGTAACACGATTTTCGTTGTTTTTTGTGCCAGTAAAGTCGGGCGACTTATCAATCAGGCACCTTGTTTTTCTATCGAATTCCTTATGTCACATGAAAAATTGATGTCGATCGGGAGGCGTCGGAGTTTTGCGATATTTCCGATTTTATTTTTAATGAACGCCCTCGCGATTTATCGATACAACGGCACGCTCGGGCGCCTTCAAACCGGCTTCGTAGATTGGAAATGTATCCAATTTGCCTTTACGAGAGTCGAGCCACCAATAATAATTGTTAGCTGTACAGCCCAACTGTGTCAGCATGAACGAGCATCGCGTGGTTACCCCAGATCAGGGGTCTTCAAATTACTGTCCGCCAGTGTCATCAATTCGCCATATAAACTGATCGGCAGATGGATTGGGACATCCAAGTTGTTGCCTAATTTTGACTGTCTAACTTCGAGCCTCACCCTTGGTTAGTCACATTCTATTTTCAGATCCTTTCTCATTATGCTTTCATTTTTTGGTTAATAATTTGGAACAGATGGGGAGTCTGTAAATCATCAGATCGATACCAAGGAACTTCTTTGGTATTTTGTGGTCTATTTTGTTTGTATGGAAATCTGGAGGAACTTCTTTGGTATTTTGTGGTCTATTTTGTTTGTATGGAAATCTGGAGGAAATTTTACAATATTTAATTTTTATTTCATCATGAATTACTTTAACTTATAAAGTTTTTATTTCTTTTAACAATTTTACTATTACTTATTAGATGTTAACTGTAATGAGTTTATTCTTTGTAAAGTTTGAGTTTGCTTTAATTTTCATTTTTCCACGTTTTGTGTTTTTTCACCTACAATTTTTTTTATTTTATTGGTAAGGCCTTCCTATAGCCTGAGTCAACCGTTAGTTGTAACCATCTTCTTTAAAAGTTATTCCTTGCTGCAGTTTAGACGGCATCTGCTATTCTATTGTTTTCATTTTAGAATAAATAACAAATTTCATAAAATAGCTACAGCTGGCTACAGCAACGCAATATGTTAAAAAACTGGGAAACGCGGCCCGATTTGTGGACCTTTCCAACTTTTTCACAAAAAGTGTAATTTTTTTTTGCTTGCTCCATGGCGTTGCAACCCTGGGTGGGTTTTAGCCGACTTGACGACCCATGGGCATTTCCACTGCCCATCGAGACCTCCTTTATTAATGACCATAGACTCTTTTGCTATGTTAGCTTGCCATCGAAGTGGAAGTCATTCCAGATATCTCTTTCTAGTTGGTGCTTTCTTTCATACAAGCCCTGATAATCTGTTGTCTGGAAGTCTTCTCACGTGGTCGATCCATTGGAGTTTTCTGGATTTTATTTCCTTGATTATGTTAGTGACTCCAAAAAGCTCTTCCAATTCTTTGTTGGTTCTCATCCTCCATGTTTCGGTAGCCTTATCGCGTATCGGCTTTAAGATTTCTTCGTTTCACTCGTATCACCGTCACATATGGGTTGATCTTGGTTAACCTGGCGACTTCTTTCGATCTTGAAGGGCTTAGAGACATTGGCTTCCCATTTATTTCCTAGGATCCTAGGATGATTGTTCCGAGATATTTGAATTCTGTCACTCTTTTAAAGTTTTAGTCTTCGTTAGTTATATTCCCACCAATTTTATCTCTGTTCTAGGCTTTCCGGCTTGTTCTATATTCTCGCTCTCTTTAATATATGTACCAGTTACACCTAGTCAAAAGATTAGTTAACAACTGTAAAAACGTTTCCTTTGTCAACGAAGTTTTTCGAGAAATACTATAGATTGATTGCAAATCAAAAATTAGGTATTCTTCGATTTTGAATGTTCTCGTTGCCTATTTGTAGCTTCCTTTCGCTATGAATGGAACATATTTAAAAACAATAAGACAACTAACCAAAATAATGAAAATCGCGAATATGCCTTCGTAGACATGCATTAAGACATTTCCATTTATATCTTGGCTCGCCCATAGACGAGTGGTTTGAATACTCTTATTCGTCTGCGCCTAAAGGTGTGTTGCTGGTTAGAAGATGAGTAGAAGTTTTCACGACACTGTTACCCAATAGTGACCGGGCTAATGGGTAAGATATATGACTACAGTGACTACATGAGAAAATTATTGAATTCTTTTTAAATTTTATTATTTTGATTTTGAATTTGTCACAGTATCTTCTTATCTCAAGAGTGTCAAATATCACGCAAATTTAAATAAAACCTAATAGCTTTGATGTGAAAAATTTATAGGCAAAACTGTAAAAGTCGAAGTTCGATATCTTCTTTCATTTTAAAGTTATTGACAAAATATTTGTATTATGGTCGTTTCCTGGTTATCGAATTTTTTAATTGTAAACTAGTAAAATCATAAACCCCTTAAACAGCTTCTGCCACCGGAACGAGTGACAAATCTATACACACAAATATAAAATGACGGAACTTAACTTAAAAGCCAAATATCAATAACGAGACCATTTACCTAATATAAGTAAATTGTTGATCTCTCAATTGATAAGGTGTTAATTTATAGATATTGTGCTATATATAGCCGACGCCTCTTCGCGATCGATAAGTATTATACCTAGCTGGCAAATTTCCAGCGGATCAATCGACACATTATCCGTCGTGTAGGCATTAAATAGTTAAGTGCAACGTTTGGGGCTTCGATCACATTTTTTTCTGTTGCACCACCCCTATTTTTCTATGCAGGATTATTTTCGAAAAAATAGAATATTGAGATTATTACAGTTCATAACTTGGCGAAAAGTACATTTATCATATTTAATTGGTTTGATCTGAAGCAACCGGTTCATATCTTGAACGTTTTTCAGTGCAATTGATCATTTTTAAGATTAAAAGCAACAATTAAATATATTATGTATGTGCTTTGTCGATTTTTCAATCGACACACTATATATAGCTGTTTCATGATTCTTTTCTCTTGATACTTTCCGGCACAAAAATTTAAGGAGCACTCGCAACACGCTCACTATATATCCACAAACTTGTATTATTTTAACCAAGTTTGTTCTTCAAATACTCTCATACTACGCTCTCATTGCGTTTAAAATAACACTACGCGCACTACTGCTACGGTGACCCCAAGTAAGTATCAAAGGAGAGTAAAGCGGTACTGCTAACTAAACGAAGCCAAAAAATTGGGATACAGAATAGTTTTGAGGACAGGGCATACAACTAGGCTACATACCAACCAACCCAGTAAACGCTGAACAATCTACCTCCCAAAATTACTTCAAATTTCAGTTTATTGAAAAACTAAGTCCATCGTTAAGTAAAATAACTAGAACTTTGGCATTGTCTTTGCAGCAAGTAAATTGAAAACCAGAAACTTCCCTAAGACAATCCTGTGCCGCTTATGCATGGATTTCCTTGTCAGTGTAGTAAGGCTGCCATTTTGGTTTGTAAGGATCTTCTCAATTATTAACTGTGTGTATGGTTCTTATAACTGCGTCAATATTCAAAGAATTAGCGAAAAAACTGAATTTGTAGTGTATCGTACATAGCCGTGTTTGTTTGGATTTAGCAATTCTCTTGCATGTTGTTTAAGTTAATACGTTTTGCAGCATGTTTTTTTTTATTTGCCATTTGAAGATACCGCCATGATCGTTTTAGGTTCTTAGATTGACAATTGCAGCTGGCATTTCGTTCGTTTCCACGACTTTACAACTGCCTTACACCCTCTTCTTAATTATAAGAACAATGCATAGATATGCAAAAACAAAAAAAAATACATAAAGACATGAAATATAATATATAAATCTCTTTTCTCTAAAAATGCATGGAAAAGAATAAATGCAAGTTCTCGCTTGGTCCACATTTTTAGTTGTTGCTCTGTCCTCAGACTAAGTCTTATTAATGTATTCCAGTTATTGTACTTGCCATTGTACAAGTAAAATAATACAACTAAAGGTATAACACGTAAACTGTAACATCGTCCTTGTCAAAAATTAAAATGATAACGGGTACCCTCCGAATTAAATTTATCAGTACCCGCACAAAGCTTTCATGCATAGTTTGCAGTTCTGCTCGAACAAAGCAAACAGCTATTAATTCAATACGATATTTATTACAAACTGGAAATTCATTGACGGCCTTATTTAATCTCTTCGAGCGAAGCAAGCGTCCATTTATCAGGACGAACTTCAATATTGTAATTACGTCTAAATTACGGCCCTCTTTCTATTCTAAACATTACCTCGATTCAATTAATTCCGTTTCAGCTTCTTGGTATTGACAGCGAGTTCTGTCTGGTCGAGTCGTTTATAACGGGATTGATCGATAATTGGTCAACTCAGCTTAGACCGCGCAGGCAAATGTTTACTGCTCTAATTTGTCTGGTCATGTTCCTGCTCGGAATACCAATGGTCACCCATGTAAGTATCTGAACAAACAGTAACTGATATTGTACACCGCGTTCCACATGGAACTAACCACTACACTAGCTTTAGTAGGGATAAAGCAGAGTTCTTAAATGTGTCGGGAAATTTGAGAACGCATTAATTTCATGTTCGAATTTTCTGTAGCTGCATTAACTTTTTAAGTAGAACACCCCATATTTTTCGGTTCTATGTAAAAAATTAATCTAACTTAAATCTGTAACTGTTTAATTTAGATAGAGGATATAATGCACGAAATGATAGTTATGACTATTTTTCTTAAAAAAGATTTATTGCATAGTGGATATTTCATTTAAAAACACTACTTTTTTCCGTTGCATATTGCAAAGTAGATTTTTTTTTATTAGATCAAAAACATTTTCTTCTGTGGTTACATTGGCTAAATGTTATACCAATTTTATATAATATATTTATATATATTATCAAAATCATCATCAATCAAAATTCTGCTATAGCTTAAACAGTAATTTAATTTTTGGCGAAGAATTAAAATATGAACAAATATAAAGGGGCTCTTATTTAAAAATCTAAAACTAGCGCCGCTACAGATAATTGAGGGTACCCTGTATGAACCTACAATATCTTCAATATCTCAACAAACTATAAAACTTTTATGTTAAACTTTCAATCTCTACTAGATTTTCAGATTAGCGCTTCCTAAAGCGATGTTAAACTTTTAATGCATTGGTGTTTCTTGTGTTAGCTTTAACAAGATTTTACAACCAATATGGAAACTAAAAGCAAAGTTCACAGAATAATACATAAATTGCTTCACTCAAATCTACCGTGGTTTCTATTTTTTGTCGATCGTTTTTTCATTACTTAAATAACTGTAGGTCAGTGATCTCGTGGATGTCACTTTAATTTAACTTTAACGGCCACTACTGCCACTTACGTCCGATAACAAGTCAATTCAGAGTAGAATTAAAATGTTTTGGTTGACATACTGTCTACTGTCAAAAAAAAACATCTGAGGCTATAGCTTTATTCCAACCGCAGTCAGAAACCGGTTTGCAACTACAAACTCTGGCACTCAACTGATGTTTTGGATACGATTAATATTTTTTCCTAACAAAAATCAGTTGCGTGGCAGAAATTTACAGTTCCAAATCGGTTTCTGACTGCAGTTCGAACAAAGCTGTTATAGAGAAGCACCTTTGGGGCCCTTAGAGACACACTTTCCGTGTTGATGAATGTGCATTCAAAAACGTACATACAAAAACGTTAGTGTGTATGCGGAAAATCGTCACATATTTGCGTGCACACTAACGTTTCGGAATGCGCATTCGTCAACGCGTACATCAACGTCTGTCTGTATAATTCATTCTGTAAACTTAGCTATTAAATTTTAAATATCTCTAATCGTCCCAGACCTTCAAGTAAATCCGAAACAAAGCTGTGGCCTGGCTCTCTTTTTGAACGGTGACGACCGATTTTAAATCTAATCCTATCGCTCATCTGTGAGGATGTAATGTAGTTTGTTTTGTATTTATATTTCCATATAAATATTGGTAGAATAGTATGAGTACTACTTTTTTTAGTTTTTCAGCATAACCCAATTTTTTGATTTCTTTTTTAATAATATCTTTTAAATTTTCAATTGATGGAAAAGATAATATAGTCACACCTTTCTATGGTTAGTTTTGGTTAGTAGGCAGTTATAGTTTTCAACGTTTTTGTTTTTAGCCATTGAGTCAATGTTATATAACAGATAAAAATAATTAACAACAACGGTTTATGAAGGAAACGAAATTGGTATGGCATTGGCACTGTGACAAAAAGCTCACAGAAAGCATTTAAGTTTCTCAGTGTAACCCATATTCGCATAAGTTGTTTTTCAGTTGAAAAATCAGTAATCTTGGTTTTACCAAACGAATTTTGTTGGAATAATTTTTAACGGTTTAGAAAGATTGAATTGATAAAGATTAAAAAGTGATAATTCATATATATGTCTATATATATATATATATATATATATATATATATATATATATATATATATATATATATATATATATATATATATATATATATATATATATATATATATATATATATATATATATATATATATATAGGGTGTTTTCCAATCGCATTTCAATAATTAAAGGAGCCATTATGGCAACTTCATATGAACGTATGAGATGCTTTGTGGTAAAGTTTTGGCAAATTTGGCACACATATGCGATGTATCAATAGGACTTATTTACAGAATTTAACTTGTCTATTTTGGCAGACATTGATAGCACGCCACTGAATTCTCCCAAAATAAAAATTATTCTTACAATCTTCATTAATTGCTGAAGAGATTTAATTTCTTGATTTCTTTCAATCCGATGTACGGTTTTCGCTAACAAAATAAAAAGCTCTAGAATATCGCAGAGAATTATTATAATTATTATTTCTTTCTTATGTAACTGTCTATTTGTTTTATTTAAATATTTCAAATACAAAGTACGTAATAAAGCCATGCGATTTAATAAAAAACACTGGATGTATACTTCAAAGAGTGCGCAGCAATATGAGGAAAATGCGTGTATCCTTCAAGGTGGAGAACACTTTCTACAATCTATCTAGTATCTATGTTCCACTTTTTTTTAAAAAGGTTGTTATTAATTTATTAACAGACAATCTTGTTAAAAATTATTAATAGTAGGTAGTGTTTTTTTTTTAAATAAAAATCGTTTATTATTTATCTTGTTGTTAGGATGTTATATTATTTCATTAAAACTGTAAAAGTAATATTTAATGTGATTGATTTTTTTTTGAAGTACACTAGTTATAATCTAGGTATTTTGTTTTAAATAGATATTTTATTTTTCATAAAAAAAAGTTCTGCCAGTGGCGACCTAATTAACTAAAATATAATTTGTTCATAGACAGTCACTGGCACGTCACTGATTTCTTTATTCATTTATGAGCAGATTTGTTCTCTTAATTTTTTTTAATCCGTCCCAGGGTTTGTACTTAAGAATAATGACTGCATCACTGCATGCTATCATATTAACGATATTCTTACGACTATACCGAGAAGAGGTTTTTATTTTTTAAGCGAAAACTGCACGTCGGATTGAAAGAATCCAAGAGATTAAATTTCTTTCCTAATTATTGACAGCCAACTAGCAAACACCCTGTATATTTTAATTTTTTGAACTACTCTGTATTACGAATGTTTGTTGTGATCTGTGAGCATAATTTGTCATTACCGTAATCGAATTTGCAGCTCTTGTGTTTCGATTTCCGTCAAATTGTCATTTCCGCTTAATAATCCCGCTATATTAGTTACCCTTTTCTATAGGGAGGGATGTACATTTTCCAATTAATGGATTATTATTCGGCAAGCGGGATGTCGCTGCTGTGGGTTTGTTTTTTCCAAACCGTGGCAATCTCGTGGGTATTCGGCGTTGACAAATTAAGCGATTGCGTCGAACAGATGATGGGACTCAGGCCCAATTGTTTCTGGAGGATTTGCTGGAAATATTTTGCTCCGGCCGTCATTTTGGTGAGACAAAAATTTTTTATGATGTACAAAAGTTAAAACTATATTATTTTATATAAATTAAGGCAGATGTGTGGCTTTCGGGTACCTAATATTGAAAAAAATATGTACAGGATGATCATTTATATTGTCCCCCTCCTTTTTTACTTCTATATTTAACGACCAGGGAAAAAAACGGCAAATACAAAAGTTGTTCCAAAAATTGTAAGCTATTTGCAAGATATATTTCCATATATACAGGGTGTTGCAGAAATCACCCACAGACAAGTTTTATATTTATTATGGACCACCCTCTATATCATACCCTTAATAAAATAATATTCTACAATTTATAATTTATATCTTAAGTGGCAGTGAAGTAGGCCGTAACCAAAGAACAAAATGTTTGTTTATAACCGACAGTGATAGATACCAGTTACAGACTTCAAAAACAAATTCTTTTTATTTTAAAATGCCTTATTCTGAAAGAAAAAAACAATTAATTTTGGAAATGTTTGTTAAAGCAAATAAAAGCGATAAATTGACTCAAACGAAATAACCAGCATGTTCCGTACAAAAAGCCTCTTCATCGAATCTAGCTACCAACGTCTATTACAGGCCTTTGAGCCAATTTTGCCCTCTTATTTGGTATAATAAATGTTTCCAAAATTCACTTTTCTTTTCTTTCCGAATAAAGCATTTTGTATTTGATAAAAGGAGCATAGTTATATACAAGCATAGTGTTTTTTGGTGAAGATGTACTTCACAGCGACTTAAGATATAAATTCTAAATTCTAGAATATTATTTAATTTTTGAATGTTGCTTTTAAAGCGCATATATCTCAAATACTATGGGATTCGGTATAAGAATATAATGTTCAGAATTTTTAGGGGATTTTATTAAGCGTGTAATATACAAGGTCTTCCATTAAAAATGTATGACTTTTAATCTGTGGTTGATTTCTGCAACGCAATGTATGTATAAAAATATGTCTTGCAAATATTTGTCAAACTGTAGTAATTATTATTTCAATTTTTGTCTTCCTTTCTTCTCTTCATCCTGCTATGGTTCCTGTTTACCCAAAATATGACAATTATTCAATGAAAATTAGACATAATAAAGCTGTATTATCAGTGCACATTTAGTATAGCACATACACAAATTTATTTTGATAGGTAAATAAGTTCTTGAAAGGAGAAATTAATGTCAAAAAAATCTCTATTACGATAACCTACTATTAAAAATAAATTCAACATATATGCTCCGAAAAGCTCATAACAAGTCTAATAAAATTATTAACTAATATACAGGGAGTTCCATTAAATAAATCACAAGTTTGGTTTCAAACTTCCAAATCTCCATTTGCATCTACTGAATTTTACATAGATAAGAGTAGTGTCGTTCAAGTTGAACAAGTTAGCCAATTCCCAAGCGAATAAAATTGTTTTGTTGTGTAGCTTTTTCGTGTCATAAATATTAAAGTTTTGAAAAGCTGGATGTAGTGTAGAGATAGAAGAGAACCAAAAAGGTATGCACTATCATTTTTTGGTTTTACTAATATGCGCTAAAATGTAATTTAATTTATTATTCCATTTTATCGTCCCATATTTCGCGCTTCCACTGCTGCTGTAATGCAGATGCTTTTACTCTTAAAGGTATGTGGCATTATTTATTTCTAGAAAATAATTTAATTCTTGTCGCGTTCTCGATCTCATTCCATTTAGATATTAGGTACACCTACGTGAACACGCAGCCTTTCTGGAAAATCCGTTCGCAAATTCTAAACACACCTTGCGTCAATTTGTATCTTCTGAATTATATATACATATATGGAACTCCCAAAATATAGAATTGATTTATTTCCGAAAGCATCACACGAAAACATTTAATGTTTTCTCATTCGAAATGAAAATTTTGGTCACGCTATTGTATAAGGTGATCTTCGTTGGACAATGCCTGGAATATCAGACTCTGCGTTACGGCGAATACAAATATCCCTTTTGGGCTAACGTCCTGGGATTTGGAATTAGCCTATCTTCGATGTTATGGGTTCCTTTATATGCCGTCTTCTACGCATTTTGTCAGCCAAGTTCTATTTTAAAGGTCAGTATTCGTAAATTCGACAAAAACAATGATAGTTTTTATTATTATTATTATAAAGAATAATGTGCAGAGGAGAACTTATTATGCACATAGACATGCATATAGCACAGTGTTTATAATGATATCATTATTTATTATTTGCCCTGTGTAAGCCTTGGAAAATTTTAATTACATTAATGAAAAAACGTCTATTCGCTTTACTTATTTGTGTGTAGTAAATAGTACGTTTTTTTTCAAGTTAAAATTTATCACTCTTTTTCTTGTTGAGAATAAATATTACCTTAAACGTAACAGAAATTGCATCTGTCCAAACTAGAATTAGAAACGAATAGTGTAACAAATAGGTTTGTGAAAGACATGTCACTCAACAAACAATCTGCCATTTTTCTAAAATAATGTCCAGAGTAGAATCATGAGCACACACAGTATTTAGTTAGTAGTGATTGATTAGCCCTTAGAATCTTTTAATTATATGAGAAGTTGAAAATTGTAAAAAGTTAAAGAATAGATTTCGTCTCAAAGTTTTGTTATTGTGATTTTGTTCGCAGAACACTTGCAAATGCCGAACCCATAGGATAAAAAAAATCAAAATGGCAATTAAATCTTTGCTCGCCCCTAGACAAGAAGCATGTTTTGCGCAGAAATAATGCAGCACGTTCAAATCCGTTAAATGATAATATTTCATACTGCTTATAAAACTTTTGGATTCCTCGGTTTTCGTTGACTCGAACTAGCAACCGTTTCGCCAATCATCCTGTTGGTTTCTTCAGAGCTTGACTGAAACTGGATCGCATTTTACTCTATACCTGCTTTACAGATTTCTATAGACTCTCGGATTTTTCGTTGATAGAAGAATTGACTACATGCAAGAATTTTAGTTTTACCGAATAAAATTTTATGTCCGGTTTCCTGATTGTGTTCGGCAACTGCTGATGAGTTTATTTGTCTTAGTCTTAAGAACATGAAAGAGTTCTTTGAGCCTAGTTCATATTTTTCGTCCGGTCTCTGCAATGTTTCTTTGCCGCATATGCATGGAATGCTGTAAATACCTGGCATCTCACATGCAAATTTGTCTTTGACGGATCGAAGATTGTTGAGAGATTTTTGGACAAGTGGTAAATCTGGTTTCAACGTTATATATCTTTAGAAGTTTTAGTATGTGGTCAGTTTTGAATATAAGAAGATGTGGCGTTTCTTTCGGTTTCATTGCTATTGGAAGGTTGTGGCGAAGTGTATTTTGTGATGGAACGCTTGATATCTTTAATGTGGAAATTATTAGAGAGAAGAGCTGAGGTAAGGTGATTTAATTCTGGGTTCAGTGACTCGGGCTGAGAGAGTTTTGCGGCTGTGTCAACAAGAGAGTTGATAACCCATGATTTTTGGGCCAGATGGTGATGTGACAATGCGTTAAGGTAGCCGTGTGTGTGCGTAGGTTTTCTGTAAACACAATAACCCAATGTTAGGTCTGATTTTCTGTTGATGAGAATGTGTAAGAATGGGAGGTTATTATTAGTTTCTATTTCAATGGTAAAACGTATGTTAGGGTGTATAGAGTTTAAATGTTTAAGAAAATCTACTAGGGATTGTTGACCATGAGGCCAAATAACAAAAGTATCATCGACGTAGCGATTCCATAATTTTGGTTACAGATGGAAGGTGTCGAGAGCTTTCTTTTCCTAATATTCATTTGTGTTCGTAGCAATGCGTTTAGGCTTTGCAATGTTAGATTTAAGGGGTTTTAGCTCAATCTCCCTCAAACAATATAAAAGCAGGTACAGTCAAGCTCTGAAGATGCCAACAGGATGATTGGGGAAACGTTAGCTAGTTCGACTCAACAAGAACCGATGCAGGAGAAATCCAGAAGTTTTATGAGAAGTATTACAGTAGCCTGTGGAAGTTTATTAGATAATATTTTCGGTTTTGCACAACATCTTCATAATGATATCACTATTTATTATTTGTCCAGTTTAAGTCTTGGAAAATTTTAATTACATTGTTGAAAAAACTTCAATTTGACGGATAGCTATTTGCTAGTCAATGAAAATTTTAATTGTGTGTAGTATAATAGTACGTTTTTTGCAAGTTAGATTTTTTTTGTTGTGAGTAAATATTACCTTAAAAGTAACAAAAATTGCATCTGTCCAAACTAGGCGGCTGTTGAAATTTAGAAAAAATTATAAACGGATAGGGTAACAAGTAGATCTGTGAAATACATGTCACACAACAACAAACAATCTGTCATTGTGTAAAAGTGAATTAATTTGTCATAAACGACTTTTTTATGTCTGTACTATTGTATATAAATTCTTTCAAAAATAGGAATGTTCATAATTACTAAAATATAACTAAATTAAAAACGAGAATAGACAAAGTCGTTCGATAAATCTTTATGTTTGGCGCATCGAAAGTATACATTATTCATGTTATTATAGATTTATCAATGCGGAAGTAATAAAAATTGATATTGTCCGTTCCGCAACATGGATAAGGTATTTTATTGGTTATATTATTAAGCACGTAATGGAACAAGGATTTATTTATTGATGGTGATGTTTGTTGCATTTCAGAACTTGAGAAATGGACTGGTACCGACTATAAAGCAGAGGAAGATTTCCGTGTGCGATAAGTCAACCGGGCAACTAATTACGCAGAGTAGTGTGGGGTTAATAACGCCGTCTCCTTCTTTTTTTGAAACTACTAAACCAGAAGATTCCTGACCAGAAGATAGTTCCTCATACCTTATCTGTATTACTAGCTTATGATATTTAAATAAATATTTTTGTGATTCTAGTTTGTTGTTTATAGATGAAGTTTTCTTGAAATAAATAACTGCCTTCAGATTGTTTCTAATTAATAGCTTCGGGAAGTAAGAGTAAGAGAGGAATGTGACTCTCACTGTAGTTCTAGAGCCCTATTTACGTTCGTTTCTCTGATTACAGATTACAGCTTCGATGGTGACCCCTTGGTGTAGCTTGTTTGGTTATACCCACTAGATAAAAACACACTTTTGATGGACTTTCGTATTGGTATGTGCATTGGCATTAGCATTAGCTTAGCGTATTTAGTATTTTCAGTCACTCCCATTAGGTTTAGATGACTTTTAAGTCGGCAGCGGCCCGACAGTAGATCTCATGGCCTTTTTTCCGCCTTTGTTCAGTAATTGCGTAAATTCTATATAATAATAAAGACCCTTAATTGATTATTTAGGGTTATAACAAAAAATCAAATTATAAACAGCGAGAATCAGTACATCAAGATCCGAAAAGTGTTTTTACACCTAACGCTTATTTGCGGAGAAACATTTTAAATCACCTTACATACATGGTGAGATGGTAAAACACAAATAAAAAAATGAACGAAGGAAATACAAAATTTTAACATTTTAACATAGCTTAACATACAAAAAATACCTATCTGAAAAGGGCATTTCTAAAAGACAGTTTAGTTATTAAGCTTCCTTGTTTATTCATTATTTTTACACACTAAGAAAAGATCTCTTGAACAGCTCCGGGAGAGGGTAAAGTTACTGACTGATCGAATTATGCTTTCTTATTCCACAAATTGATTGAAGTTCAGACGACAACACATTTTTTGGTAAGAGATGAATTGTGCATTAAATCTTTGGAAACACGTTTGGATTAAAAACATTATTTCAAATAATAATTTTCTACTCGAGTTTCCATAACAAAGCTGGGATTACCATATTTTGGGGTAAAAAAAATTCTGGTCTTCCACTTGCTTAAAAATTCAGAAATCGTTTGCAAAGTTTGCAAAACTTCGACTGCACCTAGTCACACTCTTTTGCCGTTACTTTAATAATTAAATACATACGGCCCAGCCAGGTTAGATAGACTAAAGCTAAAGCCCGTTTGCATACACATTTTTGGAAACTAATGACATATTTAGCTAACACAGAATTTATTATTAAATTATGAATTTGTTAGTGGAGACTAATAATAATAATAATAATAATAATAATAATAATAATAATAATAATAATAATAATAATAATAATAATAATAATAATAATAATGATTTTGTTTGAACAATATGATATGACAAAGTTATTAGAAAGCAATAATTTCATTTACCTGTCCAAGATTTGGGCCTTGGCTAGTCTACTGAATCAAACAAAGACAAACATAGTTCACTACTATACTATACTATATTAACGCTATAAAATTATAATAGAGAATTAGAAGATGGGGAATAAAAGTTAGTTTGGCATTATTTCTAATATTAATATTGTAATATGAAATATTAAGCTATTTTTTATGGAAACTGACAAATTAGGATTATTCGTTCATTCATTTTGAGCCATTTTATATCATTGTATAAGTGTGAGACATGAACAAATTTCCTCACAAAATAGATAAACCTAATACATGTATTCTGTACTATCTGAACACGCTTCCCACTTTCCTGATGCAAACAAAAACAAACAACAAACAAAAAATTTCGTTTCATTTCTTTACTTAAAATATGTCTCTTGTTATATTTTAAAGGGTTTTTGAAATATTTTTTTTAAGTGTTCTTTGAATCTAAGTTTGGTTGCTAGGATAACTCCCAGATTCTTGGCACAATCTTTTAAGCTTCAAAATTTAACTTTGATTTGCTGATCGCTGTATGTAATTTGTCCTTTAGCAAGTTAACATTCTTATCATTCCCAAACACCATAAAAAATGATTTACTTGGATTAAGTTTTAAGTTGTGGTCTTGAGATATCTGATTTAAAGTTTGAAGGTCATAATTAATGTATGCTTCAAATTCTTTATAATTGTAGGGGCTGAACTTATAATAAATTTCAATTTCCAATTCCATTAAATTTTATAGAATTTTAAGGATCTCAAGATATCAGAAATATAACTAAGGAAAAGCAGAAAGAATTGAAGTCTAAAAGTTAAGTACGATTTGAGAAGATTAGAAGATTCTACATTGAAACCGTAGTATCGTACTTTAACCACCAGCAGCCCTTGACTAATTGTATCGAATGCCTTCGAAAAGTCTAAAAACACTAAAACAGAATTCATTTTTTTATCCCAAGCTTTCGACATACCAAACCCTTTACGGAAACATTATTTTTTGTACATAAATCGTAAAATACAGAATTTTTTCGAATATCTTCGTCAAAACAGAGAGAATACTTATGATATGAATGTCAACAGAAATTTTCCATACTATTACAAAATTCATATTTGCTATGTTTTTTCAGCCAGTAAATAAAATGACATGAATTTGGAGAAGTATTTTCGTCAAGTTTATGGAAAATTCAGTATGACCAATTGAAAAGGTTAGTAGAATATTTTCATAGGTATAACTTGAGACATAACTAATCCTGCTTGGAAATTCCAGAATAATTTCACATAGTTTTTACTTGATGAAAATCCATTTATCAAAATAAATAAGAACTAAAAGTTCATATTTCAGGAAATTATATATTATGACATTTTCTATACTCGTGTCTTCGTTCTTGGATCTGGGCTTTCTTTGCAGCGGGACTTCTGTTGCTGGTTTTCAATTTTATGTATTTGGAAAAAACCTTATTTTGCAGCCATTTGTTAAAAAACCAAATGTTTTGGGAACATATTCGGCAACGTAGAAGCAATTTAAAATACCAAGTAGCCAAGAAATCAATTTCAGCTTCTTTCAAAAATTGAACTGAGGTGGCTTTTACTTGATGAAAATCCATTTATCAAAATAAATAAGAACTAAAAGTTCAGATTTTCACGAAATTATATATTATGACATTTGATAAAGAGACGGTGTTGTCGAAACAATTGTCATGTCATAATATATAATTTCGTGAAAACCTGAACTTTTAGTTCTTATTTATTTTGTTCGATATTCCCTAGAGTACAAATAAAGCGTCCGGATTGGAATACGCAATTATTTTTATTTTTTAATTCTAAAATTTCGTGATTTACTCTAAAAATTGTAGGACCAGTATGAATTTTGCTACAGGCTACTGTGGTCGCTTGAAATCATATTTACATTCAGCGAAGTTTTGTAATTACAACTACTGTGCAAATTAGATTTCCAAGCTACGCATATAGTGTTAAGCGAAACTTACCTGTAAATCGCGTAAAACTTACTTAAATGATTTTCCGCACCAAAAAGCTTGGAGACAGTCTATGCGAAAACCCTTTATTTTTATAACGCGATATTGGGAGAACACACTGCGAGGGTAAATTCAAGTTACGAAACTTTATATCCCGTTAAATTAATAACGCATTGGATCATCCCTTTGGTGGCGAACAAAAACTCGGAATATCGGAGGAAGCACATAACCGGGACACATTTATTGAAAACCGATATCGGTCACATTTTTATTTGATTTCGGGTGTATCGTCTGCTAAAAAGAAAACGTCGAAACGGCAGAGAAAAGTGAAATAAATATCTGCCGCATTTTTAAGTCTACTTCGCAATATTCGGAATTACCCATAATTTGTCCGTGATAGAGCAACAAGCGAGATTAGAATTAGCAATAAATCCGATCCAATAAATGTGATCGAAAATTAATCCTTAACTCTTAAAAATGGCAAAAATGAAGAAAATTGTAAATTTCGAATCAAATTCAAAAGTAGTATGGTTAACAGTAGTTATAAAATTGAGAGATAAGATTTCGACATTAGTTAACAGATAAATTGTGGGACGGACCACGCGCTCTGTGGTTTCTTATTTGACACAAAGAACGTTGATTAAAATTCCACTCTAAATTGCTTCACGGCATGGAACATCACAAGTGAGCTAAATAAGCAACACTATAAGTTCTCAGATACTGTGGGCACAATGCTTTGGGTTGACTATACTAAAAGCAGTTTATAATAATAATAATAATAATAATAATTATTATTATTATTATTATAAAGGTCTTTATTTCCAATAATCAACAAGTCAATAATAAATAAAAGCAAATAAATTTAGAAAAGGTTAATTTCAGTGACGTATCACTGAAACTGAAAACTTAAGGTCTAAGAATTGCAAAGGGCACATGTGACAATTGTGATAAAGTATTATACACAATGTAACAACAATTTTAATGCACGGGTTTGGAAGCGATCGGATGTTTTCGGAAAAATTTCCCAAGCCTTGAATTTTGACGTTTGTCAATTCTGACGGTCATGTCAGTGAATGTATTCGTGTTGTTTTGCGAAAATGTACCCAGGAACTAACGATGGTAGAAAAAGTATAGCATGCAACACGGTCGGTAAACTTTTTAAGTCACTCGTTTATTAAACACTCGCTCCGCGGCGCTCCGCTCGTGTGAAATAAACTCGTGAGTCAAATCCCGTTTACCGCACTTGTTGCATAATATACTATTAACTATTAAGGGTGTGAATTATACGCTCAAATTTTCTTACAACGAATATCAGCCTCAAACAGCAGTTTCGTAATTTATGGATACGAAAAATATCAACGTGATTCAAACATGGATGAAAGATAACATCATAGAAATTAAGTTGTGAAAACATAACAATACTTTTGCTTTTCTATTTAAATAACCTTGCTGTAGTAAACTTTTTGAAGGCCTTTAGATATGTGATTTGAAAACCGTAATTCACCAACCAATAGTAGACTTAAATTTTTTACAATGTCATTATATTGCTTTGTCATCTATAAAAATAGTAGAAAGGAACTTTTGTTTTTCTTACGTCCAAACAATGTAAAAACGGACTTGTCAACGTTTACTTGGAGGCAGTGCTTCTCCGAAATATTCTGAATATCAAATGGCGATTAACAGCTGCCAGCACCTGTGAAGATTCCTCGAAATCAAATGATACATAAATTTGTGTGCTCCAATCCTAGAATAGTTTTCTTTTGCATATTT